ATTTTATACTTGTTATACTGCAATACTACCTGCACTGAACTAAATTGGGATCTATGATACCATTGGCTGTCCATGTTTAGGTAACAATGCATAGTTCCAAAATCATTTGAGGAGAAATAAGGAGATTAGGGGATATGAATATAATTTAATAAAGTGTAATGTAACTAATCAGACGTTAACTATGTAACACTGAATATGCATTAAGTACTTACACCTGCATCAAGAATGTCCTGGGAACGGAAAACGATGTAACGTGTTGGTCGATGGAGTCAGTAGTTGCTAGAAATCTTGTTCAATATACATGTTAAGTTGCCATCCATGCTGTTACACATCTCTGTTCTTGCTCCTTCTCATCTGTATTCTAATTTTGAGAGACATTGCCTCTCTTTCTCTTTGACTGGCTCATGATAGGGGGTGGAACTTTCTTCACTGCAACCTTTCACAGCTGCCTTTGATCCTTCTGCTCCACAATGTCAGGACGAATCTGAGCTCACCTTTCTCTAAGCTCACCAGAGCTAGGGCAGCAAAGCCTTCTATCCCTGCACCTCATTGTTAGCTTTTGCTGTGAAGAAAAGCCTTCCTCCAGTAAATGAACACCACTTCTCAGGTCATGAATGCCACCTCCATAACCATCTAAATGTGTCCTAGATTTTATAGGATGTTTTTCCTTTTACAATGCATAAAACCTGAAGTATTTTTGTCTAATATGTTTATTTCCGTTTTGGTTTTTTTGTGTGATTTTTTAGATAAGATACTGTAAAAAAATCACGTATGTCTGCAAAAATGTTCAGTCTGTACCTTCACCACAGCTATGCAGATTTCTTTTCTGACATAGATAGATGATGTCAGAGAGACAATGAACAGTTGAGTACTGCTGTTGTCCTTTGTAGGAATAATACCTAGAAATGTGAAGGTAATTTCTTATTCATATATGCATTTTTTTCATACCCTGAAATTGAACTTCTAGATTCTTCTGTAACTGTTCATGGAGGATAGAAGACAATTTTTTTCTTACAAGCTGTATTGCTTCATATGTCTAGTTAAGTATAGGTGACAGTGAATTCGTAATAACTATTAAACTACATCAAAAGTATGGGGTTCTGGACTATATCTGAGCCACAGAAGTTCCTTATCAGTAAACAGGTAAGTGCTTGATGCTTTGAGGGAGACACTACACATGAATCTGTTAGATAGGTAAGTAGTGCAGATGAGATTTCCACTCAATGTTAAAGCTGTTACATACTTTACTAAAAGGTACTTTTATGAAAATACTTGCTTGAAGAGGTACATTTGTATTTTTCCTTAAATGGAAAATAAATAGGGGGCCTCTGACAAATTCTGTTCTTTGTGTCCAAGTTAGTCTCTCTCCGTATTTCTGAGAGAATCACAATTCCTTGTTCATGGAGACAAACAAAATATAGAAATAATGCAAAATATTCCTAACATAAGTTTAAGCTTGTGCAGTTTCAACCACATTAAACTGTCATGTAAATGTGACAGTTTTTAAAGTGCTTATCAAAAATAGCTTGTTCATGAGATACCAAAGCATTTGTCAGTTTTTGACATTTGAGCAAATACTTTTGAGGAGTGTAGCAAAAAAAGGATGTTGGTCCACACTGATGGTGAAATTTATGATTGAAGGATGAAAATTTTAATATCCAGTGAAGGCAGAAATTGGGGATTTCACCATATTTTTGATCTGTATATATTAACTCCAACTGCTTACATATTTTCTAGATTCATTCTTTAGCAGCTTATGTGTAGTTATCATTAAAGCCATCTTGACGATTTTCCTTGCATAGAGTATATAGATTAATTGTGGCACAGCAGATTTTTCACTTCTATTTTGGTGTTGTGTCCCTCGCTTACAGTATCAAGAGAACTGTCTTGCACCAAAATGTCTTTTCAAGCTGCTCTTCACAACCAAAATAGCTCTCCTTTTGCCTAACTAAAACCCCACATATAGAGTATAGATATGGAGGGCAAATAAATATGCTTGTAGTCACACAGCCACATAGCCGAGATGGAAGCTTTCCTGTTAGGTTTGGGTTGGGAGGAACGGGTTAAAACTCGGAAGACTGTTGAGAAAGATTGTAAATCACTCAAGTGACCTTGCAGTTGGAAACAACTCTTTATAAGCCTCTGAGAACCACAGTCCAGTGATCCTCTAGAACGAACCATCTCTGCTTGTGCGCCTCTGCCTGATGCTGCTTTGGGGATCCCCTCATTAGCAAGGTAAATGGAAATACATTTATTGTTTTTGTTCTAACTGCAAGTTTGTAGCTATTCTGGCTGCCTGCCTGTGTCAACTCACAGTTTGAAACAAGACCAATAACATCTTTAAAACTTAAGTAACTTCATAGAATTAAATAAGTATTTGTCCCATCAGAAGTGAGATATATGTCATGCTTTATAAATACATGAGCCTCATGTTGCAGTATTTTAAATCCTTCATCTCTTTCTCTACTGCATGCATTTCAGGTGTCTGTGTACATTGAAGTTGTGATATTGTCATTCAGTCTCATAAAGTCCTGGCAGAATTCTTCTGACAGACCACATCCTTACTGGCCTGTCTAACTTAGCATTAGCAGCAAAGTTGTTCATCTCAGTCATCACAAGGTTCCCTTCTTTTTTCAGAAGGTTATGTTTAGGAATATACTGTATAGCCCAGGTCCCAACACTGATCTCTGCAGAACTGTAGTGGCAAGTTTCCTCCATTCCAGGAGTTAATCATTAACTCATACTGCCCTTCTCCCATTTCCTTCCCATCTGTTAATTATTTATCAAGCATAAGAGTGAAGGTCTTATTTTAGGCTTAAGCCTTCTTTTAAGGCTTAAGGTTTCTTTCAAAATAAGTCTGCTTTAGGAGACGTAGAGAGAAGCCTTTTGTAATTCCCATAGGCTTTATTAACTAGATCCTCATTGCTTATTGATCCTTTCAAAGGCTTTAAAAGCTTTTACCTCTGATAATAAACGAGGCCAAAGTTTGCAGTAGATTTTAAAAATGTGTACGATGAGGCAAGTACCAGGTGATTACTGTGTATGGTATGTAATCCAAAAAACAGTGTTTAGACATCTGGGTCACTAAGCTATGCTAATTACTCCTAATAAAAGCTTTATGTCTTAACTAAGGCTTTACCATCTGGATTAAGTAATTTTTCAAGGTATGTAATGATAACTGTGTGATAAATACATAGCTTATGGACTGCAGAGGTTTATTATTATTTGGAGGCAATTTGTAAATATGTTATGAAAATGCTAAAATATGAAGTGAAAAACACTTCAAATAGATATAAACTTTGGTATCCAAAATAAAGCAAGCATAAACAGGACCACTTAACTAAACACATGAATTAATTATTTTCCAGTGTCTTTAATTCTAAGTTCATTTTGATCTTCCCAATATGGTACTGGTGATTATTTGTCTTAGGTCAGATTTCTTTTATGCAAGATATTAGAAAGACACTACTGTGAAGGTATTTTCGGAGGTAAGCTTAGAACTTATTTTTTTAAGAATACCTTCTTTTTTATTAAATGAAGGAATAACTCTCTAACACATTTTTATTTACTTTGCATTTGTATAGTTAGTTTCGGGAGCCCATGATTGATAAATTGTAGCATTTGAAGGTTTTATTAAAATTTATACCTTAGAAACAATCACTGTTTGGAATTTTAAACCTTGTAAAAGAAGAAACTGAAGCATGCTGTGAACAAGTTGATAGCCCATACTGACAATGTAAATAAAACTCCTACTGCATTAATGCTGTTTTGTATTCAGCTGCAGATTATGCGGTGAATGTAGAAAACCCTTTGCAGAAGACAATGGCGCAGCACACTAGGTTTCTCCTTCAGCTCCTGAACCTGATAAATGATGGGAGAAGTGCTGGTTTGTCCGAACAGAATGCTCAGTGCCGTGGGTTTCCCCATCACTGGGCCAGCTCCGTGCCAGGCATTGCTCAAGCAGCAGCACAGGCTGGGACTGAAGTGCAGCTCTGAGGAGAGGGACGTGAGGATCCTGCTGGACAACAAGCTGTCCATGAGCCAGCAGTGTGCCCCCGTGGCCAAGAAGGCCAACAGAATTCTGCACTGCATTAGGAAGAGCATTGCCTGCAGGTTGAGGGAGGTGATCCTGCCCCTCTGCTCAGCCCTGGTGAGGCACATCTGGAGTGCTGTGTCCAGTTCTGGGCTCCTCAGTACATGAGATACATGGAGCTCCTGGAGTGGGTGCGCTGGAGGGCAACAAAGATGATGATGGGACTGAAGCATATCTCTTTGCAAAAAGGGCTGAGGAAGGTGCACTGTTGAGCCTTGAGAAGAGATGACTGAGAGGGGACCTTATCAGTGTCTCTAAGTACCTAAAAGGAAGGCGTCAAGAGGATGGATCCAGGCTCTCCTCAGTGGTGCTAAGGAATAGGACAAGAGGCAATGGGCAGAAACTGAGGCAAAGTAAGTTCCATCTGAATGTGAAGAATACCTTTCTTTCTGTGCGAGTGACCACGCATTGGGATAGATTGTGGAGTCTCTCTCACCGGAGATATTCAAGAACTATCTGGATGCAATCCTGTGCGATGTGCTCTAGAATGACCCACCCTGAGGACTGAGCAGGGAGATTGGAACACACGACCCTCTGCGGTCCCTTCCAGCCTGACCCATTCTGTCACGCTGTGGGTCACGGCGCCCATCCCTCCTGCGAGGCACCCGCCCCGCCGGCGCACCGCGATTTCGGAAAAGCTCCCGCCGCTCCTGGCCGGGGCCATCCCGCCACTCCCGGCCGCCCGGCCGGAAGCTCCCGCCTCCCCGGGCGAAGGCCGTAGGGCCGCCGCAGGTGAGGCCGCCGGGGCGGCGCAGGTGTTGGGCGGCTGCTCCCGGGCCGGTGGGCGCTCTCCGTCCGACTCGTCCTTCTCCGGCGCCGGCTGCCCTTGGGACCCCGCGGCAGTTCCCTCCCGTCGGGTGAGCCGAGCGGCGCCGGGGAGTGCCCAGGGCCGGGCTGAGCGCCGGCCATGTCGCGGAGCTCGCAGGGCGGGCGGCCCGACAGGTCACCGCCGCCCCGCGGGGCCAGCCCCGGGTCCGCCACCGCCCCGCTGCCGCCGCCCCCGCTGCCCCTGCAGCCCCCCTTCGGCCCCGGCGGGGCCAGCCCGGGCCCCAGCGGGCCGGCAGAGCTGAAGCCGGTTCGGCGGTTCATTCCGGATTCGTGGAAAAACTTCTTCAAAGGGAGACGCCACCCTGGCTCCAGCTGGGATAGCACGGCCTCCGACATCAGGTACATCTCGGACGGGGTCGAATGCTCGCCGCCTGCCTCTCCCGCTCCGCTGCAACCCGGGACCAGGGCGGTGCCTGGCTCCTACACGGACCCATTCGGGGGGTCGGGCGGGAGCTACAACTCTCGGAAGGAGGCCGAGGCCATGCTGCCCTCCGGAGACCCCCTGGGCTCGCTGGAGCGGCGCGCCGGCACAGGGCAGACGTATAGCGAGCGGGTGGAGGAGTACCACCAGCGGTACGCCTACATGAAGTCCTGGGCAGGGCTGCTCAGGATCCTCGGCGTGGCCGAGCTGCTGCTGGGCGCCGCCGTCTTCGCCTGTGTCACCGCCTACGTGCACAAGGACAACGAGTGGTACAACATGTTCGGGTACTCGCAGCCCTACGGATACGGGGCGGGCAGCGCCTATGGAGGATACTCCTACAGCGGGCCAAAAACGCCGTTCATCCTGGTGGTGGCGGGAATGGCGTGGATCGTCACCATAGTGTTGCTTGTGCTGGGCATGTCCATGTACTACCGAACTATCCTCCTCGATTCCAACTGGTGGCCTCTGACCGAGTTTGGGATCAATGTGGTCTTGTTCTTCCTGTACATGTCGGCTGCCATAGTGTACGTAAACGATACCAACCGAGGTGGGCTCTGCTATTACCAGTTGTTCAAGACACCGATAAATGCGGCTTTTTGCCGTGTGGAGGGTGGTCAGACTGCAGCAATCATCTTCTTGTTTGTCACGGTGATCATGTATCTAATTAGTGCGGTGGTTTCCCTAAAGTTGTGGAGGCACGAAGGGGCCAGGAGGCACAGGGAATTAATGGAACAGGAGGTAAGTCATTAGTTACCGTTTTCTGTCTACCGGGTACCTCATGATGGGGAGGGAACAGCTGTAAGATCTTACCATGGTGTAGACTGAGTCGAACCAAATGTCTTCTCTACAGCAGATCTATAGCCCTGAGGTTGAATTTTAACCAGTCTTACAGTATTAGAAACTGCCAAATAAAAAGCGTTTTTAAGGTGTCAGATACAAAGTCTTGGACGCCTTTTTTTTAATGTTTATAATTCACCTTGGGTAAGGATCTGGCCCTGTTCTCTCGTAATACTGGGCTCTCTTCTTGAGCCAGCTGATTAACTACTTCCTAGTGTGTATTTTCCAAACAAAGGAGGAAACGAACAATGTTCATCTGTTCAGCCGGGTTAGGTGGCTTAAAGCCATCTAGCATTTATTTGAAAACTGTGCATTCAGCACATCAAGTACTAGTGTGGATAAACTTAAGAATGTGAAATACTTATTTTTATTTTACAAGCAAAGCTCCAAGCAACTTCTTTATGCCTTTTCAGCTTTCCTCACAATAGTTATCAGCAAATATTAGTAGTAACAGCCTTGGCTAGATTTCAATGTCTCCAATTTCAGTCAGCCACATCTTTTTCATGTCAAATATTTTGCCTGACCACTGGCCTTGCCCATACTAGAAGCATTCAGTATTTGCCTGGTTAATGATAAACCAACAGTAGAGATTTAACACTCTTACCTAAGTAAGTTCAAAGCAATTTGTGTAAAACTCTCTTCACTTGAAAACATCACCAAAAACCCCTTTTAAAATGACTAAGACTTAATATAGAATGAAAATTAATGCATGTGAAACGTACATAAACCTAACTTAAGAAGAGGTCAGCCTAGAAGTGATTTTAGAAGGTGAGAGTTTAAAGTTGCATTTCCTCTGTTCTGTGACTGCAGGCTGATTTGCAGCTTTCATTTAACACTGGTTTCCAGTTCACCATCTTGCATAAAATTGAGACTTTTCTTTTGAAAACTAATTATAATTCTTCAATTAAAGTTTTTTAACCAGCTGATAGTATGTCTTCCAAGAATGAGGTGATTGCCAGATTTATACAGAAGGTGTTCATTCTTCCCTGTTACTATTCAAGTTCATTTAGTCCAGTTACTAAACATTTCTAAAGGGAATACTTTAATAATAGAGGTTAGACTCTGGAGAGTGCTATACAAAACAGCTGCTGGTTGAGCTACCAGGTAGTGCACTGTTGTGTGTTCTAGGCAATGAAGTAGGCTCAGAGTGTTAGTGAGTTAACTGTGTGGGCTGGAATGTGAAATAGTAAAAAAGGAGCTTGAGAAGTGGATGGAGTATTTCCTGCAAGCTGTTCCTACAGCTGTGCTCTGGGAAATCCTGTTGTTCTGGGGTTTGGGTGGTTGTTTTCCTTAAACAAAAAGGTCTTTAAGTTAGTGGATCTGAAAATATTCCTTATGCTAAATTTTATCATACCTAAGTATAAATGTAATTTTGTGCACAGTATGATTTTGAAAATGTTTAAATTTTAGGAGTCTGTGCTTATGCATACTATTTTTGCTGAAAATAAAACTTAATTCTTTCCTTTTTTTTATAGATGAAAACACAATCCTCTTTTCCAGAAAAGAAGGTAGGAAATACGAATTTATTTTTCTGAAATAGTCTTATTTTTCTTTTTTTTATGTTTACTGAAATTATAAATGGTTATTCTTTCCCTTGTGACTATTTTTAATTTATTTATTTGTTTGCTTATTTGACCCCAAAGAGATTAGGTTTTGTTTTTTAAGTTAGTTTGGTCAGCAGTCTTCTGCCTAGAAGATTCAAAAGGAATTTGTAAAGAATTTATTTCTACTTAGGCTAGGTTATAAAATCTATAAAACTGTAAAATAGCAGATATGATGGCTGTCTCTCCGTGTTCTCTTACCCTTGTCTATGAGGTGACAAGTTCTGTAGCATTTGTCACAAGAGTTTGGCAGACATGACTAAAACAGCAGGTTGTCTGATGCCTGATAGGTTTGAGACTCTTCCTGGCTGTGTGCTTAATTTGCAGGAGAGCCAGTGGAAGCACAGTGTAGGTGCCCTGTGAGCTGAGCTTCTTCCTTGGTCTCTGAGACTGTTCCAAAGACCCCCTTTCCAGTTCTAAAGCATCAGCAATGTTAGTGTTTCAGCCACACAAAGTGTCTTGCATACACTGCAAAAATTGCATAGGGTTTCCAAAGAAATTTTGAAATTCCAATCTTAAATATCTCCTGTTAGACACTGAATTTTTGACCGCTGTTTTCTCTGTTGATTCAGTACTGGATCAGGATCCTTTTGTTTGTGTTTTAACAAGATTCCGCATGTTTTTATTTCTGGATCAAAGGATGAATTGTGCAATAGGAAACAAGGAGAAAGGGGAACTCCAAAGAACTGAATTATTCCAGTTTATTCACAAATTAAATGAATACAGAAGGAAACTTCCTTACACTATTTTTTTAAGACAAATCTTTCCAAACCTCCAGAAGTATTTATCTGTACTGCTGTTAGGACAAACTGAAGAAAAATACTGTGTGAGAAGCATTACTGTAACTCATTAAACTAATTTTCTAATTACAATAAGAGTTGTAAGAAATATCTGTGGTTTGCTTCTACTGCTGCTCAATACATATATCTCCATCTTAAAGTTGCGTATTTTGTGATACTTATGTAAAACTGATTTAATTAAGAACAAATTCTTTCTCTTTTAAAACAGTATGAAGGTGATGACAGACCAAGGGAAGAAGTCAGTTACAGGCAGCTCAAATCACTGGAAAGAAAACCAGAGCTACTTAATGGTCATATACCTGCAGGCCACATTCCTAAACCTATAGTGATGCCAGACTACTTGGCGTAAGTGACTTGATTTTGATGGACCAACTTAGTGGAGGATACTTGAATAATGTTTTTCACTCTGCATTTCTCCTATATACACTTGTGGTTTCTCTCCCATGCATGTGCTATGGGAACTCGTAATTGTGTCGTTAAAAAGTAGAGAGGATGGAGCTGATATCAGTGGCATAAGACCAGTAACTATAAATAAGAGTCTTAATTAAAAAACAAACCCACACAAACCTCAAATGTTGAAGCACAATGTCATAATCAAGCAAGTACATTAACTGCTGTAGGAACAGAAGACCACTATATGGATACTAGAGGAAAAACCTAAAATACATGGGAAATTGCCTTTTTACAGCCGGAAATTTGACTACTCTTACACTTTCTAAGTGCTGAATTTGTAACATGCTCCCTTTTAAAGGGTAAGGCTTTCCAAGTCTGATATATTAGTTTTTATGCAATTTGCTATGGGCACAAATAGAAACAAGGGAGGTTTCACCTGAATATTAGGAAAATATTTTTCTCTGTGGGGGTTTGCACAGGTTCCCCAGAGAGGCTGAGTCTCCATGCTTGGAGATATCAAAAGCTGCCTGGACACTGTCTTGGTCTAAGTGTTCCTGATTGTGTAGGAGGTTAGATCAGATAACCTCCAGATGTCTCTTACAACGTCAACTATACTGTGATTCTCTGATTTCAATGCTTTACAGACATGCAAATTTCAGCAGGTTATGAGATTAGCAGAAATACAGAAATACACTGTCAAGGTGAAGAGTCTAAATGTTGTTAGTAAGTTGTATCTTTAAAACTAATTCTTAATTTTTTTTTTAGGAAATACCCTGTAATTCAAACAAATGAAATGAGAGACCGGTACAAAGCGGTATTCAATGATCAGTTTGCTGAGTATAAAGAACTGTCTATGGAAGTTCATGCTGTATTAAAAAAGTTTGATGAGCTGGATGCATTGCTGAAACAGCTTCCACACCATCCTGAAAGCATATATGTAAGTACCTGTGAAATGGGCTCATGGAAAATAGTTGTATTAGGTGGTATTAGGCAGTTTCTGACTGTCTTCAGCTAGGGCTGAATGTTTTCTAATGCTGGCTGTGACCTGGTGTGAGAGCAAGCTTCCCTGTACGTTACATCATCTCTGAGAATTAATTAGAGTTACCAAGTTCCAGTTAAGATGTGTACATGGTTTCCTGGAGGTTTTGTTTCTTTGTTTCATACTAGTAGCTTTTAAGTTCTAGTGAGTCACAGTATTTTTATTATTTCTCAAATACAAGAAATACTTCTAAAATGTTATGACCACAAGGTATTGATCAAATAGGAATTCTGATGAGTATTTTGTAGAATTTACATTAATATATGCAGCACACTCAAAGTTTAAAAATCTGTGGTTTCTCATTAGGAACAGGAAAGGATATCAAAAGTTCTGCAAGAATACAAGAAGAAGAAAAACGTAAGTGTTTTTACATTTACATTGCTATTGAATCTAATGACTAGAGAAGAGAGTGTAAATAGCCAATACTTCAGACACTAGGCAGATTTCAGTATCTCAGGGTACCTGCAGTGCTTTGTGTATTTTGTCTTCTAAGACTTTGGCAAAGTTAGGACACAACCCATACACTCATGCCAACAAGCATTTTTGAGAATAATGAATCCTGTAACCATGTGTGGGACAAAACTCCAAACCCCAACCCCAAACCAAGAGTTGAGCATTTTCATCTTCTCAGAGTATGCTTCGTCGTTTAGCTTTCTGCACTCAGAAGATTAGTTCAGTTATATTCACTGACTGACACAGCCAATGGATAAAAACAGAAAATATAGTCTTACCATCGAGAAGAAGTTTTGTATTTTTTGAGGCATGGAATTTAGAAACTCTGAAAATGTAATTTTCAGTGTAATCCAAGACGTCTCTCTGTAATTTTTAAATGCAGGCAGCAAATATGTATTTGTGTCCTGTTAAAAACATTACACGTTACAAATACAATTCTTTTTCTCCATGGAATTCAGAGTTTGTGTCCATCTTAGTTATGCTCATTGCTTTTTTGGGAGGAGGGGAAGGATTTATTGAACAGCAAATATATGTATAAAATCTAAATTAGAAAATCTAAGTAGTAGGATGTCATTTATATTTTCAGATTTCTGTTTTAAAACAGCTCTATTTACTAAGTAACTACAGCATATAAAGGCAGAACATTTTCTTCTGGTCTTTTATGAGGGAAGGGGAAACAGGAAATAAGAAAGGGCCAGGGAAAAGGAGTGTGATTTCTTGAGAATATTTACATACTGTCCTTTTAGTCAAGAACATAATTGGTAATAGACTATGCTTGGAAGAGTCTGAAAGCCCAAAATATATTAATGTAAAGGTTTTTGTATTTTTTGCAGGATCCTGCATTTCTGGAGAAAAAGGAGCGTTGTGAATATCTGAAGAATAAGCTTTCTCACATAAAACAACGAATTCAGGACTATGATAAAGTTATGAATTGGAATGTAGAAACTTAGCAATGCTTTCACTTCATGGATACTATTTTCTGTTTTTAAAATCAATATGCGTATTTTAAGCTATTTATTCATTCTTCGAACAGTACACTTATGGGGATTACTTAATCACTGTCATATATTTGGATGTTGTGCATTATTGATAGGTTCTGTATGCAGATCCAATTGTAAGTGAAGTTATGAGATAAGTTAGGAAACCTCTGCTTACATTCTGCTTTCATTAGTGCAAATCCTAGCCTCTTAAATATGACTACTTTATTTGAAAATACTTCATTTGCAAACTTGCAAATCCTGCCAGAGAAAGCAGTTTCCAAATGCCTGTGGAAACTTTGCACAGACATGCTGTTAACAATTTTGGATTTATTTCTACCTGACATCTTAATGATATCATAAAGAGCTGAGCTGTTCTTTCTGTATGGGATTTTATGTACTGCCTAATTGTATTGAATAAGTTGGGCAATTCAGAAGCTAGTTTAGTAAGAATTTTTGTATTGTATTTCCGAATGCTGTGCATTATACCAGAAATCATCTTGAATTTTGCCCAACAAGAGAGGAAAAATAGCTTCTTATTTAAGCTGCTGGGGAAGGGGGACTTCGGTTTGGTTTTTATATTGCCCTCTTCAGAGATGATGCAACAAATCAGTACTTGGCCTTAAAGGTATAGAGGTACAGAATGAGACATATTAATGTTCCATTAGTGTTGCTGTAGGTCAGTGTGCTCTGCCTACCTTCTGGATCATGCTCTTAGGAGTACATGTGTTTAAGGGCTTCATTCTTCTTCAGCAAGTAACAGGACTTGTTGTCTATGCAGCTGCTGTTAGTGAACTTGGCATTCAGAGAGTAAGTCCAGCAAAATGAATTCTCATTCAAAGTATGAATTTCTAGTATCCTCTTTAAGGCCAGGTAAAATGTATTAAAAAACATACTTTCCAGAGCATATTTGCATAAATTCTATATATATTTTTATATTTTCTGGGGATATTATGCTGGGGATAGGTTTGTAGGTGCAAGTATTTTCATAAGCCAGTAAATTTTCTCTTTGTATCCTTTTTCATATCTTTATTTACTTTATTAACTTTTTTTTACTTACTAAAATTGTTAGAAGCATTGATAGTTTTTGTACAGTTTTCTATGACTGCAATTTGTCTGTTCTGAAATATGTTTTTAATATTAAAAAACCCACCAGTGTATCCATATTATTCTATTGTTTCTAAAGACATTTTGTTTGAAAAAGGTGCTCTGGTTACAATTACTGCAAATTTTTGTTAGTGATTTGGTTTTTTCTTTGAAAGAAATTTTTTATCTTCTACCTTAATTTAAAAGAACAACATCAGGAAATCCAGTTCAGTATGGAAATGGTAGTACTACCTCTGCTCTTCACTGCTGGAAATGTATTAACATACCTCACTCTGACCATTGTAGCCCTTCTGGTTTTTCAGCCCTTATCATTCACACTGCAATCCTGATGGCCACCTTCCTATTTGTAAAATCGACATTCCAGTTTTATCAGCCACTTAATTACAAGAGCTTTAGTGGATGAAGTAAATAGCACAAGATGCCATAGGAGCACTGATAAAATTTGAAAATTTGGCACTTCTTCATTTCAAAGCCCCAGTCTCATCTGCCTGGATGGTGCCTCAGTATTTTCATCATTCTGAGAACAGGTGACAGCCAGTGCTATGCCTTGTTCTCTCTCTTTTTCAGTGCCTTTGTCTCTGGTTCTGAAATTTCACAGGAGAAAGCTCTCTTTCTTATAAAGGAGATAGGCCAATTTTTTATACTTATTGTGCTGAATACTTGTTAAATTGTTCTTTGTAAGAGAATTTGAACTTGTCCAAATCTCCACAAGCTAAATAAATGACCTCTCACTGTACACTCAGGTTTCTTGTTTTTTCTCAGTGAGAGTTCTGGGCATTGCATTAATAACAGAAGAAGATTAGTGCAAGTTTGAGGATCAACCGGTGTTCATAAAGGACTAACGATAATATGACTGATGTTTTCTTTGGAAGATTCACAGTCTGCACACTTAATAGGTCTTCTTTCTGTAGGACAGTGAGACCCAGCTCCAGGCTCCTTTTGACGGTGGTCTGAGTTTCAGTCTTTGAGAAACCGGCTCCTGGTCCCTCAGACAGTGTCTGCATAGCCTGCGGAGAACCATTGTGATGCTTCTTTCCTGCAAAGTTTCCAACAAATGGATTGGGAAAAGGGAACACCATACCTGTGCCTGGAATGAAGAGATCAAGTGGCAACATCTGTATGTGGATTCTTGTGTTTCCCAGCAGGATGCCACAGGTGTGGCCAAGTAGATTTTCCAAATGTTGGGAAAAGATGCTGGGAGAGAAATATTCCCTTCTGTCCACTGTTTGGGTTTCAAACAGGATTGATGTAGGGCACGAGAGAAGTAAGCTACCATCCTAAGGTACTGCAGGCCATCCTAAGGCTGCAGCAGAGTGTTGCAACCATTACAGCAAATTACTTGCCCAATCCTGTGTCTGTTACAGGCCTCAGGGCTGCTAAAGCACTTCTGGTGTGTACAATCTGTGTGTTGGTTTTGCTTCAACCTACTAGTGGATGACTGAAAAGGGTCTTGTCTACAATGCTACAGCCATGCTGGAGCAAAACTGTTAATCTAAGATTAGTCTAACATGTTCATCTCTCAGGGAAAATGAGATTAGTGGAAGGATTAATGGCCAGAAGCTAAAGCAACTTGGAGCAAGGCAGAGATAGGAGGAAAGTGATGGGAGAATCCCTCAATCTGAGTTACATAAGAACTATCAAGGAAAGTGGCCTCTTGATACTCTTGAAGAATAGAAGGCATACTCCGGACAAAACTGAAGTTTTTAGATGATTATCACCTCAATCTCCCTGTGCAGTCCCTCGCGGCTCAGCTCTGAATTTACAATTTTGCATATATGTGTAAACAATGTGCTGTGTGGTCTTACCTTTGTGACTGGGTTTTTGCAGAAGGTAGTTAACACATAAATGAATCACCAGGGAATATTGCCTTACATCAGTGGGCTTGCTTTTAATTACAGCCTGTCCTCAAACCCTGAGTGTATACAACAAGAAGTTCTATTCTTCAGTCTTCCTCTTAGAAAATGCTTGCCTGGCTCCACAGATCTACAAATCAAGATGCTCAAGATTCTTAGCATTTCTACAACTGTTATAGTTTCTAAACTGGATTTGTGTTTCTTGTCTTTGTAAGCAGTTGGATATCCTAGATCAAAACAACTGTGGCAAGATTGGCATACTGTTTACTAAACCATACATTTTTTTCAGGCCAGATAAAGCAGTGACTAACAAATAGCCAAACAAATACCCAAAATTTTGACTTGTGCAATAGCCTGACCAGCTTTTGTGACAGCATATTGACTACAAATGCTCATGGCAATGAAAAACCTAATTGCTTTGAAATTGTAAAAGAAGGTATCCAGTATGTTACTTATTAATTTCAAAATCGTTGTTCGTTGTGGGATTTCAAGCACTTGTACAATCAACTTTTACAAAATTACTTTATATCCTGTGTTTCAGTCCAGCACTGAAATTGTTGGTCTTGAGAATAAAAAATACTCCTGTTCTGAAAGAAGTCTCATTTCTCACTTCTTTTATTCAAACTGCTAGCTTATAAAACACTTCATTTTAGTGTTCTATAGGCTGGACTTTTTCCTTCTAAAGAAAAGATGGTGTATGTTCTGATGGGAGTTGTTCAAACTACAACTATTTCAGTTCCAAGAAGCAAATCCTGACTTTTCAAAGAATTCCTCTTTTCCTGTCTTAAGGTTGCTTTCCTTCAAAAAAGTTACTGGTTTTTCCAGGTATGGTTTAACTAATTAATTTCTTCTCTCTTTCCATTATAATTATACATTGCTCCTGATAAGTGCAATAAGCTGAAGGGTACAGAAATGGTTCGTTTTGCCCCACTCCTGTTTCAAGAATTGTTACTGCTGTTTACATGTTTTCTTCCTCGTGTATTGTCTTACTTGGATGCAGAGTGAGACTCCTTAGAAACGGATGTTCAGCAACTTTCCTGTAATTCAGGAGGTGAAGCCCAGTCTTGGCATACTTCCACTGTACCCAGTAAAGTTTTAATCGCTCTGCAGAGCAATCAGCAATTAGCCCAGCTAGCTCTGAGCTAATTCTCACTGTGGTGCTTAAGAAGTGGAAACTCTTGGTGACTTGAATACTCAGTTATTTTAGCTATATGGAAAACATAATTACTTAGCATCAAAATACCTTAAACGTCTTGCATTTGCTGGCGGGGTGGTAGATGGCTGCCTTCGTTAACCGGCGTATGAGCATAATCATGTATTAAAATCTAGTGCTTTTTCCAGGCTCCTGCGTTCTTCTGTTAATTACTGAAATTGCTTCGGTTAATTGCCGAAGTGCCACCGAGGCCCGGGCAATGCCACGAGCCTGGCGGCTCTGCCCGGAGAGAGACACGAGCGAGGGCGCTCCTCACGGACCCCGACGAGCCATGCCTCCATAAGGCGTCTTCCCGAGGCGCTTGTCTTCTCCATGACCGCACATCGGAGGATTTTGATGATGTTGAGGAAAACACAGCGGAGCTTTCCCGGAACGGTCGCTCTGCGGTCCGGGCGGCGGCCGGGACGGTTTGGCGGCGCACCGAGGCGGAAGAGGGCGGGCGCCAGCGTGTCCGGGACGGCGGGGCCTGGCGGCGGGCGCGGCCGGGGCTGCTCTCCGTGTCCTCCGGCTGTACTCAGCCTTCCTCGGCCCCCCTCGGCTGCCCTTAACACCCTTCGGCCCTTCTCACCCCCCTTACCCTCCTCTCTCCCTCGGCTCCTCTCAGACCCTCTCTCACTCCTGTCTTTTTCCCGCAGTCCCCCTGGTCACCCCTGAACCCTCTCATCTCCGCTGAGCTCCCCTGATATTCCCTCAGCGCTCCGCATCTCCCTTGGTCACCCCTCAGCCCCCCACAGCCCCCTCGGCTCTCGCGGACATGGATGACGAACCCGAGCGGACCAAGCGCTGGGAAGGAGGCTACGAAAGAACATGGTGTGTTCTTACCCCCTCACCTTTCTCCCCTTCCTGGCGAAAGAGGAGGAAAAAGCTCCCCTCTGCCCACTGTAACAGTCTGGTTTGCGTAGGGAAATTCTTAAGGAAGACGAATCCGGGTCGTTGAAAGCAACCATCGAGGACATTCTCTTCAAGGCAAAGAGGAAAAGGTACTTGGTGTGGCCACGAGCCTGCTGACAGCAACTGACTTGGTCGCTTATAAAGGCTTGATCATCCTGGAACTGGGTCATGTGGGATGAAGTAAGCGTAAGGCATGTCTGCAGGGTGTTTTTATGTCCTTCCTCCTTCAGAGGGGCAGGTACATGCCAGAAAAAATGGTGAAAAATTAATTTTTATCTTTAAATACTGAATGTATATCAGAGATTTGTATATTAAAAAATTAAAAAACAGGATAGTTCGGATTGGAAGGGTCCTTAAAGATCATCTCCCTCCAACCTGCCATGAGCAGGGACACCTTTCATGGGACCAGATTGGTCAGAGCCCTATCCAACCTGGCCTTGAACTTACCCAGGGATGTGGCATCGCCACCTTCTCTGAGCAACCTGCTCCACTGCCTCACCACCCTCATGGTAAAAACATCTCTCATCTAAATAGACCCTGTTTTAGTTAAAAACATTGTCCCTTGTCCTGTCACAGCACAGTCTAGCTTCTGGTCTCATGGCTACAGAGTTCTGTTTCAAATTTTAGAAAAATTGCTAGAAAAAACCTTAAGTTTTGCGTTATTTCAAGTTATGTTAGAACTTGATTTGTCAGATTTGGATAAAATGTTAAAGCTTCATTAAACCTTGTAGTAAGAAATAATTCTTATTTATTTTCTGAGAGTTGTAAAATCCATGATTGAGCTGTGGGGTTTTTCACCGTGAGTAAGTGTGTGCAGTTTGTTGCTTCTACATTTTTACCAGAAGACTAGTATTGGATTTGTTTGCACTTTTGTTTTAAGAGCCATTCACTCATTTGAATTTGACTTAAGTCTTTCTGTGTTTTGTTAGACTCTATGAACACCATGGACAAGTTCGGCTTGGAATGGTATGTTAATACATTAACCTTCTTCTGTCCTTAGTCCAGAACTGCTTGGTTAGAGGTGGTATTCTGGATCTGAAATACACTTCTGCTGGCCTAGCATACTTCATACCAAACCTTGTGGTTTCCACTGTTTTTTATTATTTTTTTAGGCATTCTTTGTTTATTGTCAGCGTGGATGTGAAGCATGGCTATTCAGAGTTTGACACACAGGGTGTTTTTGGCACCAGAAGTCAGACCATACGTGCTTGCTCTGTCCATTTCTCTTCATGTGAAAAATGGTCATAATGGAAATGGGTTGTAAATAACCACATTGCTTTGTACAGCACTGAGCTCTTCAGATGAAGACATGAATGTTCAAACTATGCATGTTGTGTAGTTTATCATAAGAGTCATGAGAGAAGAACAGTGTGCATTTTTAAATAGAGGGTTTGTTTTTTTTTAAGGAAGAAGTGGAAGAATGCATTACTTTTCAGTTGATGTTTATTGCACCTCTCAATCTATTGAATTTTCCCTGTTAGAGGGAGGAAGTAGAGACTTTTTAGAGTAAATGGAATAATGAATTCATTTCAATATGTATTCTATGAGTGATTTTCACATGTGGTGGAAATGCAGATGCGTCACCTTTATGTGGTTGTTGATGGATCAAGAACAATGGAGGACCAAGACTTAAAACCGAACAGACTTACTTGCACCCTGAAGGTATTCCTGCACTCAGAGTTTTTTTCTTACTGAGACACTGTTTCTCTATAAGCCGGTTGCATTTTGCATTTCAAAGAATTGCAATCTCCTGTATGTGCTTAGCCTCGTATCTCATTCTTACATTTGTCTCCTTTCTTCTGTTGCTAATCTGTCACTTTCCTGCTTTTTCAATAGTACAATCTGTGTGGCGTTATTCTGCCTTGCACATGTACATCTTTACAATAAAAGCACTTCGTACGGGCATATTATGGGAAGACACATTTGGAAACTATGTGGAAATTAAGTGTTGCCCATAATAAGGGGACAATATGTTTTCATTACACATCTAGAATTGGTTTACATTTTTTTTCTTACGGTTGGGTTTTTTTAATGAATTCTTATTTGAAAGGACGCTAGATGAGAGTTTAACTGGATTGCTGTTTCAGATTGTGGGGGACTTGAACTGTGTTCATCGTGTTCTGTAGGGCCTTCTCCAACAATATTAAAGCATGAAATCCTGAATTTTTGTGGTTTTGTACCTTTTAGTGTTTTTTGGTGTATTGAAAACCTCCATTTGAACCAGCAGGAATCTAGAATGTCAACATAGGATGTGAATAAATTAAAAGGGGTGTAGTTTCTGAAATCTGAATTTCATTGGTTACATGGGATGAAAGTGGAGGGATAGGGTGAAAAAAGAAAGGAAAGAAAAGCCTCGTTCCCTCTTTTTGTTATCCAGCTACTTTGATTTGCTTTTTGTGATACGAGATGTTTTGCATCTACTTAATGCATGTGTAATAAAAGTGTAATTCGTTTTAAACTGTCTTAACTTTTCGTTATAGTTACTGGAATATTTTGTTGAAGAGTACTTTGACCAGAATCCTATTAGTCAGGTATGTACAACAGTGTAAGAAACAAGTAACAGAAAACTATTTTAAAAGGGTAGTTATAACTACCTTTTGGTTATAACACTACACGGTAAACTATTTTCAATATATGTGTACCTTCCCATGCTTTATTCATCAGTCTAGTGAAATTCTTGTTTCTGTCCGTTTACTGCCAGGCATTTAGAATTTTAGGAGATCTCTTTTTGTACCTTTGGGCAATAGTAATGAAAATATGGGAGCGTTGTAAACTGTATGCATCATGTTGTGCTGCTGTTGTTACACTTGAAGTAAAACTTGGCTAAACTTATGTGGTTAAACAATTCTGGTCCATAAAAACGTAAAAAGAAGTGTAATAAAATTCTACTTAAACTCATTGTAAAACTTTGTAAAAATTTTTTGTCTTTTTTTCCCCCTTTTTCAGATTGGCTTAATTGTAACCAAGAGTAAAAGAGCGGAAAAAATGACAGAACTCTCAGGTAGGGAAGTAGTATTCTTTTCTTAAATTGCAAATGTTTTTGTCCTTTTCATTGGTGTTATAAATTCTACCTGATACACTGCTGAAACTGAAGTTATGTTATCATAATTAGTTTTAATTTGAAAGATAAATTACTGCAAGTTGTCTGAAACCATAATCTGCATTTTGATCTGCTTTGATCCGGAATTGCGATCAAGTGTCGATCAGAATGCAACTCAGATCTCTTCTGTTCCCCCACAGTTAATTTTCTACCCTGTTTGTTGATTTGGTAGGTCATGACATCTATGTTTTTGTGAGATTTGATCAGATGTTAAGAAGTCAAGGTTTGTTTGGTTCCTGCCTGCTGTTAAACCAGCCTCTGTGGCTTCAGCAGGTCTCATTGAGGAAATTGAGGATCTTTGAACCATGCTTTGGGGATAACAGAGGAAACAAAACTCTTTTTCATTTGTGAGACTCGTCACACTCATGTTGAGTGCTTAATGATACCCAAGTGTGATTTTACTCTTTTTGGCTTCTAAAATTTCTAGCATCTGAGTGCCTGTAGAGTAAAAGTCTATTTTACTGTTTCTGCATTCTGATCAAAATACCAATTTGTAAGGAAAAATATAGACGCATTCCAGTTTGAAATTAGTCCCTGTTGTTGTACAAGTACACTTCATTACTTATACAGTTTAAATATTTCTTTAAACTTTCTTTAAAAAGTACTTTAACTTGTTGTATCAGTTAAATTGATTGCATTTTTTTCACTTACAGGAAACTCAAAAAAGCATGTAACTGCTCTGAAGAAAGCGGTGGATATGAGCTGTAGTGGAGAGCCTTCGCTATATAATTCCCTAAATTTGGCCATGCAGACTTTAAAGTTAGTATATACATGGAGATTTTTGTTTTCTTTGTGATTGTGACAGTTTTCAGAGGCAGGGACAGATTTTTTTCTAAGTAGCATCTTGATTCGTGCTGACTTGAGTCTTTAAAAGGTGGCTTTATCTCCTCTTACAGTATAAATCAGTAAGTTAAATACTCTACTAGTACAGAAGTTTATTTTCTACCACTAGATGCTTGTATTTAGGGATGTCTTTCTTATAGAAATGTGACTTGAAAACCAAATTAACGATGGTTTGTAGATATTGTGATGAAAGACACTGCAATTCTTTTTTACTGAAGGGCTGAGATATGAGAGAGGACAGAGTTAGGGGCTTGTAATGTAAGAGAACAGGAAGAGAAACAGCATTGTGTCACAATAATCTCGTGAGAGTTTTGGCATACTTTAGAAAGATCAGGTAGGATAGATTCAGAGCACTTGTTTGCTATGTGAGGTATTGAGATGTCTCCCAGTTCGTGGAAGACTGAATAAAGAATTACAGCTAAAGACACTGACTGAACAAAGCTAATAATCAATGTAATGAAAAGCTATGTAATTACTAGCAGGAAGAGAGTTTTCAGCTAAGAACTAAAATTAATTAAAAGTAACGGATTTACACTTAAAAACTGATTAGAGCTTTTTAAGAAGTCAGGAAGGCTTACTACAGTGTACTTATTTGAAGATGAATTTTACCTGTGGGTATGATTAAGGTACAAAGGATTCATTACAGCAAATAATCAGGTAACGACTACACAGTTAAATACTGTATTTTAGATATTGGAATGGTTTGGAAGGTGAAAAATCTGGTGTTCAGACGAAGATCTTATCACAATTTGTAGAGACATATCATTTTCTGACTTCAATACATTGAGGTCCTTGGAGATGTTATCATACAAATAGTTTAGTGTGCAGAAGTAAATTAACTGTGTGCTTTCCTTAGGCACATGCCAGGACATACAAGCAGAGAGGTTTTGGTAGTCCTCAGCAGTCTGACGACATGTGATCCGGCCAACATCTATGATCTAATTAAGGTACAGAACTGAAGTTTGACTACTGCATTGAACTGATCCAAGTTACTGGAGGAAAAACAGGCAGTTGCAGTGTCATCACCAATTAATTTTCATTTAACACTTTAAACCTTTTTACTATTTCTTGTTCTGCACATGAATTTGAGTTTGCTTTTTTCCTCTATTTTAAGTGTTTAAAAGCAGTAAAGATCAGAGTATCTGTCATCGGTCTAAGCGCTGAAGTTCGAGTTTGTACAGTACTTGCCCGAGAAACTGGTGGTATGTATCTGAAGTTCAGTAGTTATATTAATAAGACAGGTTTAAAATAAAAATTAAGTACGTAATTCGTTATATATTTATTACCGCATTTTGATATTTTTAAGGATAAATATTTTCCATTGTGCTGGCAGAAAATTAAAGAGTTGCCCAAATCTACAAAACGTACAGTAGTAAATGAAATCATTATCAGCTGGTAGCCTCAGCTCTAGAGAGAAGAAATACATATATTTTCAAACCTTTTGGTCCACATATAAAGCTATATGATGTGGAACTTCATCAATGTACCATGTTAATATCCATTGCTACAGTGGTAACTCTTATGGTATCATTACTACAGTGTAATTTTGGAGCTCTGTGCCTTCATATCTAATTTAACATTCTGTTATTACTAGTTTTAAAATTCGTCATTTACTGTAGCATTAACAGAGCTGCTTTTTAGGAACAAGTTTGAATAAATTGTGTTTTCTACCTAAGTTGTTATCTGTCATTTGGAGTATATGCTTGTGTTCTTTTTTGCTCATAACCTGACAGTAAGGCATTTCTTTGTTTGTGAACAGGAACATACCACGTTATTTTAGATGAAAGTCATTATAAGGAACTGTTGATGCACCATGTTAGTCCTCCACCTGCCAGTTCAACTTCTGAGTGCTCCCTTATTCGAATGGGTAGGATACGGTTTTGTCAAACTCCTAGCATGAGATTTGCTTTGTCTTTTCCTTTGTTTGCCTTTTCTGTGTTAAGGCTATACAAATAGTAAGAAGCATAATAAAGACACTGTGCAATTTTTTTTTGTTTTAACTTTCAATTTGCTAGATAACTATTGGTTTTCTTGATGTTATTTCTTCAAAGTAGTCAGCTTTTACATAAAGCTTATTGAGTAAGACAAATTACAAAGTAGAATATGGAAACAACAAAGTGGAACAATATTGATGGCATGGTAATTGTTAAAAATTTCATACTTAGAAATGAAGAATAAGAAACTATTTTATTTCTCCTACTGCTTTTTTTCTTGCAGAAGGCAACTATTACAACTATTAATTGATTTAAGAACCGTAGGTAGTACATGTTTATTAGCAGCTTGTGGAGTGTTCTTTCAACAAGTGGTTTAGGTTTCTTTTCCTGATGTGTTTAGCAATAAATTTAAGCTTGGAGTTAAACCAGAATAGGAACTCTGATGCTACGAAGTAGAGCATTGAGTTGTCACTTTCATCCACCCTTTTCATTGATAAAAATGTATGTATTTTTATGTCTAGATATGATCTGTAAAAAATAATTGTAGAAAGAAAGAAAGATATCAGTCTCCAAGAAGTCCTGTAGTCTCAGTGTCATATACTGCACTTGGAAGGTGAACATAGGCTGAATGGATGCATATGAAAATATTTCCCCCTTAATTAGAAACTGTTGTTTAAGTGAACATTTCTATGCTGCTCATTCTGCTTTCCCACCATTTCACATATTTTTCTTTTTAACTGTTCTTCAAAAATGGGGCTCCAGTGCACTTCAGTTAACACAAAGTCTCTATGACAAAGACATTTTTTAGTTGGGGGAAGTAAAGTCAGGGAGGTGTGGATGTAGGAAGAGATCTTCGGGAAGAATTCGATAACTAGCAAGAGTGTATCAGTTCTCCTGTAATAACAAATGGGAAAGAGATAGGCCTGAATGTCTAGAATAATCTTTGAACTTCTTCACTGATCTGAGAAACTGACATGCATGTTTAAAATTGTTAGTGTGGGATGTTTTTCTCTTCAGGTTTTCCTCAGCATACTATTGCTTCTCTGTCTGATCAAGATGCAAAACCCTCCTTCAGTATGGCGTAAGTAGCATTGATTAGAATTCTATGAGCTGATAAGAATTCAATATTAATTAATCATATTTAGAAAATCTGCTTGACAGTGAAAATATTGCAAAATAATATGAAAAAAAGAGTGAGCCGTATCTTGTGACTTCATTTTATTTCCATTGGTAGCTCCAGTATATGTCCATAGTTACCTCTGTTAAATATGTGTTTTAAAATTTGCATTTACGGGGTTTTTTTTTAGGTAGTAAATGGTACTTAGTTTTGTTACACAGTGATTGAGACACACAGGTGCTACAAGGTATTAAAGTAATTACATGCAGTTCTTGATTTAATTAATACTATCATTATAAAAGATAATTATGAGGATGAAAGAGTATTATCTGAATAAAATACTTTTTGTATTTCTTAGCATGACTTTAAAGGGACGTTTAAAATAGAGGCCTCACTTGATGACTGTACCAGTGCACTTCTCAATGAAAAGAATCATTGTTTTCCGGGGTGATAGAGGTGTCTGAATTTCAGAATGAAACAATGTCTAGCAGTGTGTGCTGTTTGGAAGAATGAGTGCTACATGCATCTTAAAGGCAATATAGAATATTTTTGTGTCTAAAAAGAAACAAGCAAGGAATTACTGTTCATATATGGCTGCTTTATATGGAAATATTTGGTCTTTGTTTCCTGTGGGAAAATATGGTCACTGATATCTCACCATGTCAATTGTTTTCTGACACTTAGACATTAAACAATTACTTGCAATCTAGTGAAACTTTTAAAGTTATTTGATGTGAGAAGAACATTATTCATAGTTACATAGTAGCATGGTATTATTATTAAGTACTGAATTGTTTCTTTCTACTGTAGGCAATTGGAAAATAACAGTGACCCAGGTCTTACATTGGGTGGCTATTTTTGTCCTCAGTGCAGAGCCAAATACTGTGAGCTTCCTGTGGAATGCAAAATCTGTGGTAAGTAGCAAGAAAAGGTGAGCAGATGAATCAGGAGTTCATGGTAAGAGAGTTAAGGGGTAGAACAATTCAGCTGTACTTAGTAAGTAAAAGCCATCTCTGCTTTGATTTCTGCGTTTCTGTGGCCTGGGATGTCAGCTTCGTACAAGTGTTTCTCAGGAAGAACTCTACCTGTAACAGTAAAGCTGTATCATATTCCTTGGTATAAGGAATGTACCTAAGGTAAAGTGGGGAAGAAGCGTGATGCACATGGGAATGGTAATTCTCAGAAATCCTCATTTAACTAAACACACCCATATTTCAGAGTCCTCAGTGCAAGGCCATGAAAACAGAGTGCTTTGGAATAAGAGGACAGAAGTAATCTCAGCTCCAGGAGTATGTGGATGAAGGATTTCCTAGTTGAGCCCAAGGGCAGGCTGCATAGTGACACATGACAGTCTGTAGAGCTGTAAACAGAAAGCCTTTTGGTCTTGCAAATGTTAATGGACTGTGCAACCAATAATGCCTCCCTCCATTGCTCTTAGTGAGGGTGGGAAGAAAGATTAACATGGTTTATAATATTAATATTGTGAGGGGTTGCTGTTCTCCTAGCTTCTACAGGCATGTGACTAAAACATGATAGGTATTAGCAGGATGCATTTGGTAAGAGGATGAAATAGTTTTGGGTCACTTTGTCATAGTTTAATTTCAAGTTTTTCCTACCAGCATGAGTTTCATTCCAGCAAGGGAATGGTGTAACTGGAGAAATCTGTATATCTGCAGTGGATTCTCTACAGCTGCAGTTTAGACATTTACACTACATGTGAGTGTGTAGTGGAGATGTTTGTGCCAGCCCATGCCCATGCCCCAGCTAACCTGTTCCCATGGTCTAACCTCAGCTGGCAATTCAGCCCCAGACACCCACACACTCCCCACTGGTGAGATGGGGGAGAGAATCAGAAGAGTAAAAGTGAGAAAACTCATGTGTGGCATTAAAGGCAATTGAATAGTTACAGCAAAAACTGTGCATGCAAGCCAAGCAAAGTAAGTAATTCATTCACCACTTCCCATCAGCAGAATTTCCAGGAAAGCAGGACTCCATCATGGGTAACAGTTACTTGAGAAAGTAAATGCCATCACCCTGAACATTCTCCCCTTTCCCCTTCTCCACCCAGCTTTATAGGCTGAGCATGATGCCACATGGTGTGGGATATCCTTTAGTTCTCTTGGTGCACTGTTGACTGCAGTCCTGACTGTGTCCCCTCCTGGTGCCTTGTGCACCCCTGAACTTACTGGTGGAGTAAGAAGCAGGAAGGGCCTTGATTGTGTGTAAGCACTGCTCAGCAGCAAAGATAACATTCCTGCCTTATCAACCCTGTTTTCACCATAGATCAAAAACATAGCCACATGCTAGTTAGTATAACAAAAATTAACTGTTTTAAAACCAGCAGACCTGTGTTAGCAAAAGTAGGGCTGTAGCGTGGTTTTGGCAGTAGTATAGCAGGCTGTAATATAGCTTTTTAGCAGGGCATCATTTTAACTGCTGGTGTGATACACCAGAACCATTGCCAAAAAGAACTTCCTAACTTCACCACTGTGTGTTGCAGATGTATTTCTAAAGGCTGAATTAAACCTTTTCAGTAGAAATGTGAGCGATTTGCTTGTTCTTTGTATTTGGATTTCGAACTGGACAGGATTACATGTTTGGCTAATGGAACAAGTAATTTTACTTTTTAAAATTCTTAGAACCTCTCAACTACTGCATAATTAAAAATATTGTTTTTCCTTTTTACTTTTATTTGATACAGGAAAGTTTTTCAACTTGTAACAATATTGGTGTCTCTTTATTTGCAGGTCTTACATTAGTGTCTGCACCTCACCTGGCTCGGTCTTACCATCACTTGTTTCCTTTAGATGTCTTTCAGGAAGTTCCACTGGAAGAATACAAGGGGGAACGGTATGCAAATCTTATTTGTGATAATGAGTATGTTTGTGGATCCTGTAACGTTTTAGTTAAAAAAGTAAGAATAACTGGCAACAGCTTCTTTGCTGCTGGAGATCCTGAGTGTTTGGGTGGTGTGGGGCACCTCTGGCAGTAAGAACCACTTACAGTTTCCATGATCTGTGTGTTCAGTTGAATAGCTGAAATAATTGCCAGAAATTGTTATTGTATGAGATCTTTTTTTGAACACTGATTTATACATTCCTGACTTTTTTTTTCAGTTAAAATATACAATTTTTCTTTTAGGCATTGTCAAGGCTGCCAGGGAGAAATAAAAGATCAAAATGTAAGTATGTTGAATGGCATTGTAATTTGCATGGGCGGTTTGAGAAGTAGAGATGATCCTTTGCATTATGTTCTAAAGACTAGAAAAATACTTGTGAAGGTTAATGTCGTGGTTAACTAGAGTTCTGTATTAAACAGTCACGGTTTCTAGACTGCAAAGTCTGTAGAAGTGTGAGAAAGGATTTCCTGGGGAACTGCATTAAAGACCTTTTGCTCTCAGTCATTTGGAAGTATTTACAGTGACCTGAGCTCAAGCTTGTGGATATACTTGCTGTCAGAAGCTTTAATTCAATTGAGTTTCTGTGATGCTAGCAGTATAGTCTGTTTACATTTTCATGACATAACTGTTGCTCTCCTGTAGTGCTATGATGATGATAATTTTTGCTAACTTGATTTGTCTTTCTATCTCTCACTACCCACAGGTGTACCTATGCAAAGTGTGTCAGAATGCATTCTGTGTGGAATGCGATCTGTTTGTTCATGATTCCCTGCATTGCTGTCCTGGCTGTATTCACGAGCACCCTGCTCCTGTATCTGTATGATCTCATGTATATTTTTTTTGATTGCTGTATCTTTGTCAATCTTGCATGAATCTAATTTGTTTATTCAGCTTTAACTGACACACCTCTGAACAATAAGATGATTACAGAGAGATGAACAGTGGAGTAGGTGCAAACTGTAATGTTTTAATGATTTTATTACTATTAATATATACTTGAATTACCTGTATCTATCGTTTGTTCTTGTCTAAAGAGCTATGGCTTTTTCCAGCTGGTATTATAATAATGTGTATATTTGTAAATGTGAAAGTGATAAAACTGGTTTTTATGATAATGTGATAATTAATCTTGGTTTCATTACTTGTTCAAAAAGAAGCCCTGAAAATATATTTTACATATCTGTTGTTACGAACTTTTGGTTTTGGTGGATGGTGGATTTGGTGGAGTAGATCAAACTATTCTTCTGCAAGAATTTAACAAAGATGTTTCTGAGCAATTAACTGGTAGATATTTCATTTATTAATTTCAAGTATTATGAGTATTCACCTTGGCTTTTGGTAAGGCAGCTCAAATACAGCTGTTACAAATGGTCTGAAAACACATTTTAGGTTTTAATGGTGCAACTTGACGCTAACTGAATTCTATTGCTCCCGTGTCTGCAGCTGTCTGGTTTAAGTTACAGTTTCTGGGAGAAGGGTAGGGTTGCTGGGGCAAGACCTGAGTTAATACAAACTATTGTTTGATGAACTCAGTATTGAAGACAAAAAGATCTGCTGTTTGGTTCTGAGGCTACACTGAATCGACAGAACTGCACGTCATCTTCTCTCCTTGCTAAACCCCTAGAGCAACAGACAGTAAGGTGGGTGCAGGAGGGGAAGCGTCCATCCTTTCCTGAACTTTGAAGAACAGAAATTGAGACAAATTCAAAGCTGCCATTCTGCAGTGTCTGTTCAAAGTGTGTTTGCAGCTTGAGCCTGTGAGAATTGTAATGTGCGACACCCCAGTAAAAGGAGGTTACAGGTGCAGGTCTGAAGCAGTACATCACAATGGATTTTCTTGAGTCACCTTGTGATGATTGTAAATACATCAATGACTGAATTGCTCTGGGTGTATATGACTTAATTTTTGAGCTTTGTTTTTTGTCAGGTTAGAAATAGCAAGATTACAGCTGAATCGTAACACAGAAACAAGCAAAAAAACCCAACCTTCTCTTACCTTAGTTCAATTTTTCATGCTCACAACATATAAACATACATGCAGCTTTTCAGTTCTTAATAGGCGCTTTTCATTCAATTGCTAGTATAGCTCTTTCAATGCTTTTTCTACTGATAGTGCCTGCATGCTGGATTGAGTGCAGTCATTCTTTTATGTTGGCAGAAAAATGTTGAGCATCTGCATCTTGTTTTGTGCTGAGTCAAACAACCCCTATAAATTCTTTGTGCTTTCAGGTGGTTGCAGTGCCTATTACTAAAAACTAGCAGAAAAAGGACATGAATGCTTGTTCTGGTCTAGCAGGCCATTCCAAGCCAAACTAACGCTCTAAGCATCTGGCTCTTGGATATTCTGATGCTGGTGATAGCCTCTTGAGATAGTGTTTTCTGGTAATATTTTCATCTTTGCAGTCAGTATTTTCTACTAGAAATAAAAGAGGGTTGTCAGAACAAATCCTCCTTCTTCTCTTGCTAGATACCAAAATAATATACTCCTACCCAGCTTCTATTTCTGAAAGTAAAAACCATGTAGAAGTTCCAATGATAGACTCCATTATCAGCTTGTGGTCAGAGCAATAATTTGGCTTGTACTTTCCTATCCTTCTCTTTGGTAGAACAGTTCAAACTAGCTCCTGAAAAATAACTTCTAAGGCAATATTTCTCTGATATATAAAGACTTTTATCTGTGTCCTGTGTATTTAAAGCAGCATGGAGGAAATCTTTCCTCCACCTGTTCTACTTGACTGGAATTTACTCGCTCTCAAGTCTCCCTTGCTTGTGGGAAGCTCCAACCTTCTTAATTCTTGTTCATTTCCTTGCTTACTATATCTGCCATAAGATTAGTCAATCAATGAGGTTATTAGGAGGCCTGTGAGAAATTCTTGTAGGTCTTGAAGATGTTGCATGAAAGGTTTCAGATTTAAAGTGCGAAGGAAGAGACAAAAAGACCAAAACACCATGTAGTGCAGTTGAGGATGCAGCTGTGGCAAGAAGTTTTGAGACTAGAGAGTGCTGCCATGTGGAAAGGAGAGGATTTCAAAAGGCCAAGAGCCCTCACTTTCCTTCTAGTTTACATTTTCTTTGTAGGAATAAAAGTTCCCATCTGTAGTAACACTCATAGCTAATTTCCAAGAGTGGAAAAGCTGAAAAAAATTCATTAAAATCTGAGTAAAAGAGGACCTCCACACTGAAGAAGGTGGATGCCTGAAAGAGGCTATGACCCTGTGGAAGTTCCACACTGTAGCAGGCTCTGTGGCCCCATGGAGAGAGGAGTCCATCCTGGAGCAGATTTGCTGGCAGAACTTGTGACTCTGTGTTGGACTCAAGCTGGAGCAGCCTGATCCTGAAGGACTGCACCCTGTGGACAGGTCTCACAGTAGAACAGTTCTTAAAGAATTGTGGTCCTTGAGAAGGACACACATTGGAGCCGTTCATAGAAGACTGTCTTCCATGGGAGGGACCATCCTGGAGTAGGGGAAAAGTGTGAGGAGTCCTCCCTGATGGAGAAGAAGCAGTAGCGCTGTGTGATGAATTGACAGCCTCCATTTCTCTGCATTGCTGGAGGATGGTGTGTTAGTTTGAAAGTAAAACCAGTGCAAGACTCCAAGTCAGTAATACAATTTAATAGGAGAAAAGAGAAAAAATAAAATACATGCAATAATAGAAAAGAAAAAACCACCGACAAAGTCAGAAATACAGCCTGACACCCTGTCAGTCAGGGTGTTGGTAGCAGTCCGTATAAATGGTGGCTGCAGTCCTCCTGGATGACAGATGTGGTTCAGTTGAAGCAGTGCTCCTGTAGAAGGTGCAGTTTTCCTCCGAAGATCCAGCGATGATGTGGAAAAGGTCCGACTTTCCTCTGGGATCCAGTGGAAAGGTCTGCCTTCACGTCCCAAACCCCAGTTTTTATGTAGGTAGGAAAGGCTTGGCTCCTGCCCCTGGCTGGGGCATCTCCCAATGGGATGATGTAATCTTATCAGTCACACAATAGGACTTAATGGCCCATTAACAGAATATGTCTTCTGGAGGAAGGATGGGTTGTGAAAAGATAACGATGATCATCCCCGATCTTATCAGATGGCACATGAGCAGAGGATATCTCCCACAGAGATAAGGATCACCACCCCTCCCACATTTTAACAGATGGTGATAGAATATACATTTTTGCATTGTACCGCAGGACAGATGGATTTAGAGAAAATTCTATGTGAAGTCCATAAAGAAGGGAAAGATGTAAGGAAGGTGTTTTAAGATCTGAATTTATTTCCATTAACCTACTTTAATTTGGTAGGCAAATTAATTTCCCCTGTTTAAGTCTGTTTCGCCCAGCAGTAACTGGTGATTATTTATTTCCCTGTCCTTATATATTGACCCACAAGCCTTTCATTGTGTTTCCTCTTCCCTGCACAGCTAATGAGGGTAGGGTAGAGCAGCTTTGGTGGGCACCTCTTGTCCAGCCAGGGTCAACCCACCACAGTAATTTTTCAAAATACAATAGGACTAGAAGACTTCTATAACAATCATAGCACATTTTGGCTTGGGATTTGGATGAGAGAGGAATGTGAGTTTTATACCCAGTTTAAAAAAAATTAAAAACAACACATTGAATATCCTGGATTTTGAATCACTTTCTTAAAGATGAATTTGTTTGGTAACTGTCATAAATTTTTAGGATCCCTCAATTACTTGAGAAAACAAAGCTCTTTGGACTTACAGGGAGCAGAATTTGAATGCATATAGCTGAACTGCAGATATGTCTGCTACATTCTTCGCAGACTGAAGTATTTTCTATTGTTGTCTTACCACAGTACTAATAACATGACAGAATTGTGTGTTTTGCTACCTGTTTTTTTTCTTAATCTAAGCAGAAATTTAAAATGTGCTATCAACATTCAGTAATAGCTTTGAGATGGAAGAATTGAGAAGTGTATTGATTCACTGAGGCCACTCTAGGTTTTTAAGCTACAGGATGAAGTTCTTTGGATCTTCTAATTGCCTGTATCATCTTGCTTAAATCTCATTTCTCTTCTTTCCCTCTGTTGTGGTTGTAACACCTTCTGAATACTTGCTATTGTTATTGTAAAGGCACTAGTCAATTGGAGTTCACAGAAGTTTCAATTTGGCTAGTCAGATTTAATAATACACCTGTTTATACCATCTCTGCAGTTACCTTAGCAAGCTAAAATCAACTTTTTATAACCTGTAGAAACCATATTATTAAGGAAAGAGAGGTGATGATGAATGTTATCTAAAAGATGTGCATAATATTATTTAGTAGTCTTGATTTTTCAAAAAAATGTCAAAAAAGATCCTGTAGCAGAGACAAATAACAAACACATGGCTGAATCTTTCTGTCTTGCACTGATTCCCATTGTAGTCTTTGATTTTCTCACATTTGTCAAATACATGGAGACAGTTCCAGGAAGTCCATGAACTACTGCAGAAGAGTTAAAACCCCACATAAAAAATGAGTATGATAGATTAAAGTCCTTTTTGTCCTATACATCTCATTCATCATGGTCTTTGACAGAAATGGCAACTGCTGCCTTTTTTCTCACACCCTTGTTCAATCCAGTGTGCAGTGGTTTTGCTGTGGGTTATTTACCACGATGGTTAGATGTACCCCATGCGAACACACATGTGAAGCACAAGAAATTCTGTCCCCCTTGTGAATTTGTCCTGGGCAAAAGTGTGGATAATATTTCAACATCCGTGTTCAGAAGTTGAAGAACCCAGCAGAGACACTTACAGGTACAGTTTGTGGGATGCAATTCTTTGATAGATGGCTGTTGTATGCTAGAGGAACAAACCCTGATTTACTTGCCAGAGATGGGTTCTTCTTTACAGGTAATTGAAAGCAAAGCTGTGAGGGATTGTTGGTTTGATTTATAGAATGGCACAAGTCTACTTACAGCACTTGAATGAGTATACATTTTCATGCATCATTTGGCAATGCACTACATCCTCCATGAATGCTCTCATCTTCATGAGAATATAGGCAACTCATTTGATCCTCAGGCAAAAACTATTCTACTTTTTTAATCATTCTTGCTGTGTTCCCTGCACCTTTTCTTGTCCTAAAGTAGTATTTTTTTGAGTTGAGGGGACTTATTTCAAATGCACTGTGTAAGGTATGGATCAGCCGTGCGTTTTTACAGTGACATAATTTATCTTCTTGTTAGTCTGTAACAGATGCCAGGCTTACAGATACAATGTCTTTTCCTCTACACCAGAGGTCTAGACTGCTTTTTAAAAATAAGCAGTATGTTTTCCCCACTGAGCAATAATTGCTTTGATTTTGGATCTACCTTCTGCTATATGCCCTCCCCTTTTCTGATTTAGACAGTGGAAATCTGCCTGAATTCATCTGCGGTAGACATGAATAAAATTATCCCAGAAAGTGTCATCTCAAATCCTCTTCAATTGTATTGTCCCTTTGGAAAGGTTCCTTTACAGCCTGGTTAGCAGATGGCTCTGCCAGCTCTTTTGACTGGATTTTTGTTCCTGCTGTCTGGAAGGTTTAAATTAGTTTAGCGGTTCTCAGGTGTCTTAATTTTTTACCCAGGCTGTCTGATTTTATTTTACCCACTTCATTTGCTAGAGGTTTTGAACCTTTCGTTTTCTTTGTTTAAAAAGCTTCAATTTTTTGAATGATGTTTTCTGTCATGGGGAGAATGGGAGCTTCAGACGAAGTTTATCAGGGAAACCCTCCCACTGAGACATGAAGTGCGGAAAGGACCCACTTACCTTGTAAACTCCTGAGAGAGAAGTTCAGGTATGGCTGGACCCACTCTCAACCCCAGATTCTGTTTTGTTTTCCTGTAAGCCCAAGATGCTGGCAATCCAGTTCTATCCCTGCTTTGGAGAATGTGACAACAGACCAATGCTCTCCTAACAAATCAAGTATCTTTGATTGAAAGGCGATCTCACCTTGGGCATCTTTGAGGATGGGAGTCTGACCAGACTCTTTTAAAAAACTTGGCTTGCAGAAGCCATGTAGAAGCCACTGCTCTTACTAAGGCCAGGTGTTTTACATAAGCTTGAACCGAGCTGGTTAGCTATATAAACATAAAACAAATAAAAGATCCACTTTCCAATGCAGGTGGGACAGAGGTTCAGTATAGTCCTGGTGCCTAGCTGAAATCTTGTCTTGGATTTCCATTAGGAGAGTAAGGCAGCTGAAAAATGAGAATGGCTTTTGCAAAAGTTTTGACAAGGAAATTGAAATTAAATTGCCCTAGCCCTGTCTGAGGTGAAAGCCAGAGCCAAGAGTGGCAAGGAGGGTATGTTTTTAGAAAGGAGAAGGCATTTATCTGGACACTTATTTGTCTGGTTTTACTAGGAGAGTAATATTGAATCAGGTCTCACAAAGCAGTTGTGATGAAGGGCGTGTGTTCAGGTCCTTCTGAGATAGATGAGCCAAATGAGATGAATGGCTGTCTTCAACTGGAATCAGAGGTGTTGAGCACCTCTGAAAGCCTAACACTGTCCTGCAAAAAACAGGTTTATAGGGAACAGGGCAAGGATGAAACAGATTGCATTTTGAGAAGGGAGGATTTTCCACTCTGTCCCCCCTCCCCTTCGTTTCCTGTGGGTGCCTTGACTTTGTTAATGGAAAATTCCTTGTATCTCTAGAGTACTCACGAGACCTCTTACACCCTCTCTAGAGATGTAGTTTGCCTTTTCTGCTTATGACCTTTATAAGCTATTGAGTTACAGAATGAAAAACAACAGCAGGAGTAAACCTGAGAAAGGAAAGCCGATAGTAACCTATTGCCCAGAATCTAAATTTTAATGGACTTTTTTACTCGGATCTGGTGCTGTCACTCCTTGGCACAATAATCAGGAAAGATATAGTTGTTTAATCTTTAACAGGAAAGGTCATCTTCCGTCTGTAGCATAAAATTTAGTTGTTTTTCTTAACCTGAAGGAGCTCATCCTTCTTGCAGGGTAAAAGAATAAAGTCTGCAGCCAAACTGATGGTTTAGTAGTGTCTACACCTGCTGTACCTCAGATGTTTCCCATTTATCCTGTGACTGCAGGATGATAGCCTGTTAAAAGTAGGTGAGTTTATAGAAGCAAATTTCAAGCGAAGTGTCCGAGTAGAGAAGACACTGCTTCAAGATAAATTAATCTTCTGTTTGTATATTTTACAACAATTGCAAATTGTCATTTTTAATGGGTATTACTTCTTCCTGTTTGTTCTATACACAGCTCAAAATATGTCTTGCTTCTCAAAGTGTATTCAGCCTGCTTACACAGTAGACTTTCTTGAGACCTCTATTGAAATGCCTTCTTAGTTCCCCTTCTACAAAGCAATGGAAATTACAAGAAAAATAAGCCATGGAAAAATAGATGGGATTTAAAATAGAGCTTCATAACTTTGTTGCTAGTTATATTAGCTTATATGCCCTAGCTGTTAAAACTCTGTATTTCCAAAATATTTTTTGAATGTAATTCTTTTCTAGTGTATTCTTAAAACTACGACGTTATAAATAGGCCAGGGAAAATGTTCTTTTTTTTGTGTAAACAAATGCCAAGTCTGTTGTATTATCTTATTTTTGATATTTTGACATTTCAGTATATATAGTGACATAATTACAGGAGTCACATCTTGTAAATAGGGTGACCATAAGGCAAGGCTGGAAAGCTCATGTGATGGCACACAGGCCTGAGAGAGATTGTTATGCTTGGTATCTCAATCTCTGCAGAGCTGATCTGACCTCCAGTGGCTGCACAAGTGGGCATTTTATTTGCTTTGTTCTGTAACACTGGTATTTGAACACTTGTAAACACACCAGTATCTTATTTTACTAGACACTGATATGCCTTCTAGAGTATACTTTAACAGTCTCCTCAGTCTGAATATCACAATGCTCAAATATGCAGAGTTCAAAGTTCTACTATTTTTCTGAACCTAGCAGCAACAAATTTGTTTTATTGTTAATGTACAATACCTCAGCTTCACTGTTTATTTGTTCGTGTTTCATATGGCTCTGGAGCATTTTTAAATCCTTATTGATGCCTGCTTAATTTTGCAGTGAAAGTAGCAAACTATAGACGTTTCCAGAACCTTGGAAAACTGCTAGCAAGTCACTATGTTACAGAAATTTCTTTAGAATACTTGATAATGTGTCTGCTTTTTAAAAAGTGGCCATTGTCCACATGCTCACACATCAGATCACAGCCAGAGCAACAGCAATGGTGGCTTTTCATCCCTGTTTCTTCATCGTCTGGTCCTGTGACAGTAACAATGGGTTGGCTCCTTGATGCAGAAGATGTGTAGTATCACGATGAAGGATCCCTAGTGGAAGAGTTTAGAATTACCTTAGCGAGGGGTTTTGCCCCTTTCACCAATTTTTTCAAGACTAGAAAAGTTTGCAAGTGTTAGGGCTTGGGGTTTTTTTCCCGTTTTTCTTCCTGCATTATTAACTGTCCAGATAAACCTCCATTGCAAACAAATATTGTTCTGGTTCCAGTTAGGATAGGGTTAATCTTTCCAGCAGCCAGGAGAGGTCATTCTATACACCTCACAACTTCGATGGGGATGGGAGAAAGGACCTTTCCAGGTCACTTATCCTGGCAGTGGTCAACTGGTTTTGGGAGTTCTCAGTTTAGTGAGCACTTGTGTGAATCATTTGCCTTTCTTATACACTCGTTTATTAATACTCTATTCAGTTTTCTTGCAGTTAAATCCGTTACACAAATTATTTGTTTAAAACATAAACCCCTTTACTGAAGTCATAACTGCAGTAAAATTGTTGTAAGCTAGATTTTACTAGTGTTAAAAACTGATGAAGACTACTTTTTGTAACGTCAGACACCAAGACAACTGATTGAAGCAGAGGGCAGCTCTGCCTCTTCATCCATCTGTGAAGATGATTTAGAAGCTTTGCCTCACTGCAGTCAGTCTGAATTTATGTCACCTAGACAATTAAAAAATAAAGACTTCAAAGTAGCTTAGGTAAGTTATGAATAGAGGTTTTTTTCTCAATTGCTGGTGGGAAAACTGATTTTTTGACCCATAACCACAGTAGGAAAAGGAAATGAATGCAGTAAAGGTTCACGCCCGTATTTCCCTGAAAAGCAAACCACTGGCATTAACTAAATTACTACCTAGTTTTGTGGCTACAGCCTCTATTAAGAGTAGAGTAAAATTCAGGCCTGCATTGTAAGGGCTGAAACCTATGTCTGTACTTACCTTTCCACAGGTTTTCCCAAATTTGTTTTCAGTAATGGTAGTCAGAAAAAGGCAACACACCAAGGCTTTCTGCTGTATTTCAGCCATTCATCCAAACAAGAGATGCCTATGAAAGCTCAAAATAAAAACTACCCCAAAACAAATTACATCCCCAAACTCAAAGCTTAAAAAGTAGAACTTTATTCACACATTTGAAACAAGACAATAGTCGTCCTGAAACCAGCTGTCATATTTCATGATTCTAATCAGACCTGTAAGATGTCCCTCCTACTATGACAGTGCACTGTTTTCCATGTCAGTGCCACCAGTGGCCACTGTAACACACATTGCTGCCATAGCTCTCTCCTAAAAGAGGAGACCATAATCAATTGTTCTGGTGCTGCCATTCAGACAGAAAGTCTGAGAAATGCAAGATGTGTTGAGAGATAAATGAAATCGACCACATGGGGTCAAAAGAGTTAAATCTATCTTGGTAAAAAGACTTGAAACTGCCTCAGGAGAGTAAAAAGTATTTTGTTGCTACAGTGCTTTTGAAATACATTTGACTAAGGTCTTTAAGAAACAGTTAGTTTCAATGCACATTTAATTACTAGTCTGAAGTTATTTATTTGTTAATAGGGACAGCTCAGTGTTAAGAAAATGTTACAACTAATTGTCTTGATAAAATTCAGTTCTTCACAATCCCCAATGCATAAGTGATATACACCTCTCAGCAGAAAAGATTTTTACCTGGCTTTAAAAAAGAAGCACAAATTAGTATAAAAGAGCTTTTTGGTTTTAAACACACAAAGAATTACTCAATTACATTACATTACAGAAATTACATGTTGTTATAGAAAATCAGAAAACAATTCCCCAGGAGAATATAGTTTTGTTTTATAAGGAAGTAAACAATACACTGGAGAATTCTGAACAAAGCATTTAAAATAAAAGCATAGGTACTGAAGTACTGAGAACAGAACTGCTCAACATTACCAGACTGAATTTGTCCTGAAAACAAAGTTTAACTACAACCTACCATCCCATCTGTGTAAAGAAACAGAGATGAAAAAACTGCATTTCACTTACAACCTTTTGTTCCCAAAACAACCCACTATGAACCATTAATAATTCATATAAGCTGCACTGTTAATCCTGATGTAGAGAGATGCTGTAGCTAAAACTCTCATCAGAGCAATTAATACTTTCCTTCATCCTTACAATTCCACAGCTGCTAAGCAAAGAAGGGATTACTACTGGCAGAAGTAGTCTTTACAGAGAGCCATAGGAGTGGATTGAAGTCCCAAAGCCAAGAGGTTTTTGAAGGGAGTTCAAAATTTGACTATATCTTCATTCACCACAAAGCTGCAATACTTACAATCCTTCAGAACAATGGTGGATATTCGGTTACTTTTCATGAGTTTGTCTCTCCAGTGCTGCTTCCATTCGGCTTTGTTTTAAACCCTACAGGAAAGAATTTAGTAAAATCTTGGTTTTGCCAACATGCAAATAAAAGCTTTAGTTGCAGAACAAAAACATTTCTGGACAATCTTTTCCAGTCTTTACAAATAACGATCAGTTTTTAACTTTCTTTGGAAATCAGAATGGGCAGTTTAGAAACAATAAAAGCCAAACTATATGTCTTCTTTAAAATCAGAGGCTACAAAATCATTTCAAATACATGCTTCTTATTCAATTGAAAGTAAATTAAAGCAATCTACAATTATATAAAATCTGAAGCACCAAATCCTCCCTTTCCAACTTCCTCAGTGCAAAGAGTTCAGCATGTCATTTTCACAGATGAAAATATGAATCAGTAGTACAAGTCACAGATTTTCAGCCACAGCACAATATACTGACAGTTCATACTGGACCTTCACAATGACATGAAACAATTACCGATAAACAATCTCTGCAAAAGTGCCAAATCTGATCTTAAATGCGATAGTACCACTCATACTGAAAGAGAATACATAGAAGACTATCAAAAAATAAACGTATTTACTCCCTATGTCTAAAAGGCAGAAGACGTTGTTTTAGAATGGCTGTAAAACAGTGGCTATGAAAGTACCTGACAGGATCCCTCCAGTCGAACAAAGTGCTAAAACATCAACTAAATATATACATATACACACATACGTACATATATCTATGCTGGCTCAACTGAATTTTATTCAATGACAATACTTACACAATACAAAACACCCTTACACATAGCAATTGTAAACCAGAATAAGCAGCCCTCTCTGTGCGGCTTTTCGCTGCAAAGAGGAGAACCAAAAGCAATGCAAAATTACCAAGACACTTCAAAATCACAGCAGCACATACCAGGTAATATCCAGTGTGGTAACCACTCATGTACCAGGCTATCAACATGCTCCCCAATGCTTCATCATCCTCAGCAGAGTCTGGCCTCATAGGTGGTGGAGGAGGAATCAACTAAGAAATCACAAAGGAAATGTTTGTGTTTCAATAGGGTGTTTCCCAGATTAAATTCTATTATTCTCATAGAATTTAATTATTCTAAAATTCTAATTCTAAAAGATTAAAACATGAAACTGAAAAATAGAAACATATCCTCAGTTTGTTCTCTGAAAAGGAGTCAAAGATGTTTTCTAAACACATGTAATTTCCAAAGTCTAGGAAAAACAAGACTCCTGTAGCTTAACTGTACACAAAAAGTGTTACTAGGGAAAAACACTATCATTCATCTTCAGTGAAATGCTGTTAATACAAAGTGTAGTTTCTTCTAATAATTTACCCCTTGGCATTCTTACCAACGTCTTCACTGTCACAGAAATGAGTGCAAATCAGACCTTTTATGTTAGATTATCATAATATTTGCAACTGAATTTATTAACAAAAACATGAAGAATACAGGCAAACAGAAAAAAATGTGTTCTAAAAACACAGGCAGTGAGCACATTCAGTGAGAAAACCCGAGATCACCAATACTCATCTTCCCCATTCTTCTGTCACTTACTGGTGGTCCTGCTGGGAAGGGTGGGGGCCAGCAAGATAAAAATGATGGAGGTGCCTTGAATTTTGCTCCAGACTACATGAGGAAAAAAAGAAAAGTAGAACAGTACAAATTAAAAGGGAATTGGGGTATTAGGATTTTACTTAAGAGAATTATGTGAAACTATTCACATTTCTTAAACAACAGAGAACACACCCCAGAAATTTAATGAAAATATAGGCAACAGCTATTTCTGAGGCACATTCCATAATTTGAGAAGTACAACTTTAGATTACTCATGTCACTGAGGTAAACACTACTGAAACAGGGTTCTGATTAATACAAGCATTTTTAACAGGTTTTCCTAAGTGGAAGTCAATGGTTACACTCTCAAAAGGAAGAAAGAGATCAAATGTTTACACAGGCAAGCAGGTAATTCCTCTGCTCCTGCGCAGATGGGGAATTTGACTAAATTCCATTATGCAAGTGAATGTCCTTAAATAAAAATCTAGATACAAATCTACTCATACAAAAGAAAAAAGATTAAATAAAACCTTACAAAGAAATCTCGCACAAACAGTAATATTTAGAAAACATAATGCTGTGTTTTAGAAAACAACTGCATTATTACTTAGACTCCTACACAACAGGAAAACTGAAGGGTGTATTAATACCCCATTCACTCCTAATTCAAGAAAGCAGCTACAGCTGAGAGGCTCTATGATATGTGAACATCACCTTTAACAGCTTCAACGTCCTGTGAAGGGAAACATACCAAAATCTTAAAACATCAACAGCACTGCCATTAATCACATCACCAGAATCCAGGGAACAACATCCCTCTTTTAAGGTAAAGGCAATTGGAAAGCAAGTGTTAGCTAAGGACCAGAAGGTTCTCCTCACTAGACAGCAGCGCTGCAGAAGGACTACACTGTGGCCAGACTATTACAAAACGGCAGACCAACAGTACATCAGTACCAACAGTGTATCAGTACATCCATTCCCAAAATGCTGCTAATTGAATTCTAGACAATGATAAATATCATCTTTTTGTCTCAGGATTCACAATAATACCAGGCTTAACAACGGTACACGAATTATTTTTAATTAAGATTGAGCTTACCTTTCCTACGCCTGGGGCTGGTGGTGGTGGTGTGGGAAATCTCAAGTTCTGAGGAGAAAATTTTGCTTTTGTGCAGTTGCTTTTGTTTTGGGGTGACAAGGAAGATTTTTCACTTTCATCTGTTGAATATGGAGTCTCATTGTCATTCTAGAAGACAAAGACATTTTTATGACATGCACTAAACAAGAGTTTACAACAAGCAATTTTAGTGTGAAAAAGCTTGGAAAGTTCCATTCACACCCTTCCCCCTCTCTAGCCCTCCCAGTCCTACTCAGGAATAACTTTATCTGCTCACCATTTTAGCAATGTTATCTTTCACTAGTGAATTTCTTGTTGTCCCCTCCCTTTCTTCCATGCTGAGTTCAAGAAGTAAAGGGATGCTTTCATTCCCTCCATCAGCTTGTGTCTGTTTACAAGAGAACTGAGCATCGCTTCTCACTCTGAACACCATCAGTGCCATCAGACATACTAAAAGAAGCTTATTTTCCAGCTTTCCCATTTCTTTACAGAAGAACGAAAGAGTCCCTCACCTCCCCAAGAATGCCCCAGCCCACTTACTGTTTCATCACTGGCTGGAGGAAGCAGATCAGACAGGTTCTGCTCCTCCTGATTTCCATATCCCGTGTAAGTGACAACACATGTGCCTCTCTTCTGGTTGATGGAGGCAATAGTTGCTAGATACAAATTACCATCCTCAGACCAAACAGCACTGCAGCTGTCACCAACCTTCCACTGCAATAGAAGCAAGAGAAGCGTGTAAATACCCACACCAATGGCCAGAGAGAAGGTGCTTTTTCCTGAACTACTTTTTGTCCAGAAAGATGGATCCCCCCTACAGTGTTTCCTTTGTATTTACTGAAATTCCTCTACGTAGCTTAAAAATAAAGTTTAGAACGTTATCACACCATCACCCCAAAATGTTACTCTCAAGGTGCTGAAGCAGCTACTTCTGAGTACGGAAGTACAACATGCAGTACGAGCACCACCGGCATTTACAAGTGAGACGACCTGTTTCAAAGGCGCTGTATTGCTCTTGTTTCTATTTCTGTTCTTTTTATGGTTTTTTCTCTTTATCACCAGGCGCTGCTCCTGCTTCTCTGAAGGCTCCGAACATTCCCCATTCTTTAAGGCATTCTTAGGGAAAAGAAAGGAGAAAACCAATAAATGCCAATCCAGCGGCCTCAACTCCAGATCCAGCCATAGCCGCGCCGACCCGTTACCTTGAAGGAGGCCACCGCCTTGTCGTACGCCTTGATGAGGGCCGTGTCGTCCCAGATGTCCGAGTCGTCGCTCTGGGGAGGCCACACATCCTTTAGCGCCATCGCAAGGCCCCGCTCCCAGCCCCGCTCCCGGCCCGCCCCGCCATTCCCACCTGCCCGGTGCCGCGCCGGAACAGCACCCCGTCCGCCATGGCCGCGCGCCCGCCGCGCACGCGCTGAGCCCCATGCCCGCCCCGCCGCCGGAAGGGGCGCGGCCCTGCCCGGGCCCGCCGGGGGGCGCTGCCGCCGCGGCCGCGGGGGTCTCTGGGCCGGCTCGGCCGGGAAACCCGCCCTGGTGAGCTGCAGGGTGGCGGCCGGCACCGAGCCGACCGCAGGCGGGCGAAGGAATTGCTGCTGTGCTCGGGAATGACAAGGAGCTGCTGGAAAGGGTCCAGCAACGGGTCACAAAGATGATTTTATATATATACTCTCTCTTATGAGGAGAGGCTGCAGAAGTCGGGCCTGTTCAGCCCACAGAAGAGAAGACTGAGAGAGGGTCTCATCGAAACGTACAAATATCTCGAAGGCAGGTGACCAGAGGATGGTCTCAGACTCTTTTCAATGGTGCTCAGCGATAGGATAAGCACTAATGACCCTAAACTAAAACACAAGAAGTTCCACCTTAGTATGACAAAGAACTTTACACTGAGGGTGGCAGAGCACTGGAACAGGCTGCCCACAAAAATCACGGAGTCTCCATCTCTGGAGATACTCAAACCTCACCTGGGCGCATTCCTGTGCCACCTGCTCCAGGTGAATCCGCCTTGGCAGGGGGCTTGGACTGGATGATCTCCATAGGTCCCTTCCAAACGTAACTACTCTGTGTTTCTGTGCATTGCCTAATTTCTCACCTGCAGGTGTTACATTGCCAGCACCAGCTACATTTTCTTTCTAGTTCCCCTAAAATTGTGCCAGGGGCCTGTTGCCAATAAATGAATGCACTTCGAAGGAACACAGCTTTAAAAGCAAAGGCTTCAAAAGTTGCCTCTAGAGACTGAATCCGCTGCTGAGGATGCACTCAGTGCAGGCAGCTCCGGCCTGCAGCTGCAGTGGGAGCCCAAGGCAAGAGGCCGTGAACTGCCAACCCACTACACAACAAAGGGCACAGGGATGTGTGGCACCAGCCAGGGAACTAAGAGAAGGCAGGAGCCAGGACCCACCCCTAGACTATGAGGGTATAAAAGTCCAGGGGTTCCTTTGTTTAGGGTCCCTCTGCTGAGGCACCGGGTGGAGCTGTTACTTTGTTAGTTTTTGCATAAATACTAGATTATATTAAATATCAGGATGTCTGAGAATCTGCTATGGGAAACACGAGATTGAGCTGGTAAGGAATCCTGGTCTGAATGTGAGAGTGAGGGGTGTAACTGTGAAGGGGCTTCAGTCCCAGCTCAGGTGGTAGAAATGTGACTGCCAGAGTGGCTCCTGGATGGTTAGATGGGGAAGTTTCCTCAACAGTTTTCCCCTGGTCAGTATACAATATATATACTCAAGCATGTTTGTGAAGCAAGGGCTGAGTTTTTCCATGCTAACTTTTATTCCTGCGATAGGTTTAAGCAGTAATTTCAAATCATTTTAGTGGTGTGACAATTTCACGATCTGCTTCCATTGGAACTCGTTAACATCAAGCCTGGAGCTTCTTTAAGTTAGTATCAGGACTCAGTTGAGTCACTTTTGTACACCAACATCTGCAACTTAAAGAGGCATTTCTTCCTATCGGGCAGACTTAAACAGCACGTGACAGTACCTATAATGTGCACTTCTTATAAACTTTACTTATACTTTATATTACACTTACATTCTTATACTTATTTCTCCACAAGATTATCCCTTCCTTATGTTCTTGGTAACTTCTTAGAAATCACGGATTTTGAAGCATAACCATTTCAGATTAGGCTGTATTCCATGCAACATTTTATTGTAAAAATATTTTGAGATTTACAGTTCAAACCTCTGCAAGGTTAAGCACATTTTATAAGTGTGCTCCATTCTGAATGAAGCTGTAATTTCAATAATTCAAGCAACCAAATCTGGTCTAACTGTAGATTCAGAAATTCTGTAACTGGAACCACTAAGTAAAACTAACAAATGCAGCAAAAGCTAGAATAAAGCTATTGCTTGGTATTTTTATTCATACACATGCAGAAGACTGTAGTCAGTTTTGAAAGAGCACTGTAGACAACTAGGCCCATAGTAACCATAAAATACTCTAACTAATGGTAGTTGAACAACTCTGCACAATAAATGTTTAATCATTTAATGGCCAGACACTTTTATGAATGATCTTCTAGGTCCTTCTGCTTCATTCAGTGCATTCTTATCTTCTCCATAGCAGCAGCTCATTTTGCTCCTGCCTGCAGAGACTTCCTTTCATTAGCTGCTTTTTGCTTTTGCTGCATGATCTCAGAGTCCCTGTGAAGAAAATACAGTTGAATATCAGATACTGGCTTACAGTTTTTCGAAGCAGAGTTCCCTCTCTTTAATAACGCCCACTTCAAGAAGGAGAAAAGATCAGTATAAAATTTCTCATCCACAAGCACATTATTTTTATTACCCTGTTTTTTTCAGTGCATGCATTACTCCATGAGGCAGACAATTTACTTGACTAGTAGACCTCATATAATTGTTTCGGTTTTAGAAGTAAAGGACATAATGGATCAAGCATCTTCAAGAAAGCATTACATAATCTTTTCCTGTTTGCAGTAGGCAAAAACCTGCTCAAAAAAATTAAAAAGCTTTACAGGAGTTAATAAAAATAACTCTGTTTAACAGCAGATACAGCAAAATTTCATTCACAGTTTATGCTCTGGCAAGTGATTAGCCAATGAATAAGAACAAAGTATTCAAATGCTGTGTCAGCTATGACACTGGATTCTTTGTGAGCCTTTTCCTTCTCCTTTTTCTGCCTAAAAATTTATTCACCTTTACTAGATCTTACCTCTGTTTCCTCTGAGAAGCAGACAAGCTATCTTCTTTCCTTTTGCCTTTGTGGATCTCCTGAGTTTTCTTCAGGTTCTTTTGGCGGGCAAGTTCACGCTGGTTGCCACCTGCAAAATAATATACAGTTTAGCAAGTACTACCACTTGATTTTTCCACACAGTCTGCCTGTGTAAAAATCTGTTGTAAAGGCAGCACAGTTTGGCACAATGTGTAGAGCTGGTATGATCATATCTTCTATCTCGATGCCCTCTCCCAGTGTACAGCAGGAGAAATTAAAGATTCATAGTTGTTACTTTTTCAATTATATATGTCATCTTCAAGAGGTTACCAAAATGCTAACATTCCTTACAGAAACAAAATGTAGCTTGTCATAGAAGACTGAAGAAAAGCCATCACACCAATAGGCTGGGCAAAATCATGTCAGTAACTCATCCAAAGAGGAGTCACCCACTTTCAGATTTCAGCATTCAATATAGCTTATGAATTAATTTTAGACTGAAAGAACAGCATTGAAATCGATTACACTCAAATACTATTGAAGAGGTGACCTAAAAACGTGTTTTTAATTGGAAATCAAGTGCAGAACTTAAGCCTGGACCTTAGCAACTGGGTGACATTACTTCCAACAAAAGTGAGAGGAGTAACATTACTTCTATATGTTATATAAAGACACAAACCCACCTTACTATCAGTAGAGAGGACACTTCAGGGAGCAGACTTCTTTCCCCACGACTACCAAACCAACAAAGTGCCAACAAGACAGGAATGCAATCTCTTTGATCATACAGAGTTCCTGAGGGCATGACATCAGAACTATCGACTCTCCATCTAAATACCAAGGGTCTTCCAGGCAATGGCCACAGACTGCAAACTCTTCTGCATTAGCTGGTAATCTCTCCTCAGTATTCTATTCCTTAGTTCTATTTTGCTCCAACTTGCCAAACCTGGTTCACTGGCTTGGTACTTCTTGCTCTACTTTTGGACTGACTGTTCCAGATACACTAAGCATAATCATTTGTGCTGTTGAACTAATGATCGCATTCTTTTATACTAAAAAATGACAATTCCATCTCTTCGTAATTTCCATTGTGTCTCTTTTTTTAGTATCTCTACAGTTTTAAGACTGCCTATGCCTCTTTCAGTTTCAAACCCAGAGATCTCAATCTCCGGGTGCCTGTAATTTTTGGTCTACGAAAGCATCTTAGGACTAGGTCACTTTTAAACAACAACCCGCTGTTATGAACCACCACTTTGTACCCACACCATTTCTGAGTAGACAAAGGCACCTGCCATGTCAACAAGTAGACAAGAGCAACCCTGCAGAAGCAGGGGTTTGTGCATTCTTCATAACAACCTATGGACTCCCTGCTAAGAGATACCAGAAGCTCAAGTGAAAACAGCCTGCTTCCCAAGGGCTGCTCTTGTCTTGAAAGATATTTTTTGTCTGTGCCAGGACATTAAGTACTACCTTTTGGAAAAGCTAAGAGAACTTTTACTTATCATCCTCAGTAGCATCCTGTGCCCAAAGTTCATCTAGAAGAAGACCACTTGTTCAGAGACTGAAGCAAACCAGCTGTTTCTAGCAGTACTAGTGTTGATTAGAACTTGATGACTCATGAGCAGATGACATATTCCAGGCCATAAATGGTTCCTGAGTTTTGTGGTGCTCAGGAGGCTAAAACATTATATGAACAACTGGGCAGCAATGAAAGAGCTCTTCTGCAGTGCTTGAAAAAAAGTATCTTCTTTTATCATGAAGAAAACAGAGAGGAAGTCAAAACAAACTGCTAGACCAGAACTACCCTCCACCCCAAACCTCATGTACTTCCTTATTAGCATTTACTCTCCTTAACTCCCGGTTCTTCCTTGTTTTCCAAGCAAACACTGAGCACGGGCTCTGCAGAGTTTTTCCCATATGCACAGCAAGGTTTTATATTTAGGAACAGAACTCAATTGTATCACTGAAAAGCAGCTGGCATAGCAAAGCGGAGAAGGTAGAAAAGCTGAGCAAAACAGAATGTATACAACGCATAGAGTAGCAAACAACTGTCTGAAGAGAAACTTACCACCAACGCTTCCAAGAAACTATTGCCAAGGTCTATTTGTCCCTATTACTTCACCTGAGATGCTGAATAAGTATCCCTATCTTCAAGGGAACCACTGGTGTTTTCTACATTCTATAGTATCAATCTAAATCTTGTCCCAACAGAAGACAATTCAGCTTCCTGAAATCCAAGCATAACCTGCCACAAAAACACCCTTCCTGCTAATACATTTTTATACATTCCTCCTCAAGCATCCCCATCCTGGCCTGCTTGTGCAAGATATACACCTTAGTTCAACCTGTCCTTGCTCTTCCAACTCCAGGAGAAGAAAAGTGCCAACAAAAATCATAAACGTGCCTCTTTATTATGTTCTGTGCACAAACTGTTTACATTCCAGGTCTTCAGCTGCACTTCACCAGCAGTGTGCCCTTATAACTGTATTTCCGATATGAAAGTGAAAGCACAGCCTCAAAACTGTGGGTTTTTTGAGTGAATGTGAAAGCATAACCTCATTAAACACAAGGAGTTTCATTACTGTCAAACACAGCAGGCAGAAAGCACAGGAGCACTCCTAGCAGCCAGGGGAGCCGGAGCATCCTAGGTCCAGTTCATTCTCCGCCATTTTAGAGCGGGTGTACGAACAGTGCTGCTCGTCAGCACTGAACGCGGTGATGATTTACCGAGTGCTCCTGCCCTTTCAACAACAGCTTCAACAACCCCAAGATAAGCAGCGTAGTATTCAATGTTCAGCAGTGATATAAAAGTCCTTTATTTTCAGTCTGGACGGCAGCCGGGACTGAAATGGAGTGTGGCTGTTTTTTCAGCCCATCATCACCTTTATCTCTTCCTCCAGTCCCGCCACCTCTGCTACGCCAGAAGGCGGAGGAGGATGTTTTCGCCTTTTACTTCGGACGGCGGCAGGACTCCGCACGAATTCACCACTGGTTAGATTCCGCTGATGGGACGCCAAGTCCACAAAGAGCCAGATGCGGCAGCGGCCTCACACAGCGGCCGACTTCCGGAGCCCGGCCCAGGCGTGACCCCCAGCTGGACTGCCCTCGGTGTAGCGCCCATGACTGGAACCGACCAGGAGGGCGGCCCAATTCCCACCACCCACTTCGCTTCACCCGACAGGCCTCAAGTAGCCCCCCAGCACTCACGGGTCATGGTGAGACGCTCAGGCCGCGCAGCACCGCTACCGCTAACACCACAACCGCTGCGAACTGCCCAGCAACAGCACACGCCTTTCCCACCTCGGAAGCCGTCTCAGGCAGCGCCTGCCGCCGCTGCCCCTTATGGCACCTCGCTGGTCGCTGATGTCACGGCGCCGCGCGGACCTGGCCCAATCAGCGGGACGTGCGCCACTGCCTCCCGCCCCGTGGGCGGAGGCCCTGCGAGGTTCGTGCAGTGCGTCCGCCCGGGCCGGGCTGTGGGGGATTTGGTGTAGCAGCCTGGGCCCGGAGGCAAAGCGGGCGCCTGGAGAGCTGCTGAGAGCCGGCTGAACCAAGGACAACGCGTCTGAGGAGCTGCTGGGGCGTTACAGGCGGCTCCGGCGCTGCTATTGGTTGCGCCGTACACGCTCCCCCTCCTGCCCCTCCTCTCCTGGTCGGCGCACGCTGATGACGTCACGCGTCGCGCCGCCGGGGCGGCACGCCGTCAGCCGGCCGGGCTCGCGGTGTCACCGGGCCGCCGCCGCGCGCTGCTGACACCGCCGAGCTCGCGGGCGGGCACGCGGGCGGGCACGCGGGCGCGCGCCTCTCCCGCCGCCGCCGCCGCCATGTTCCGGCGGGCCCGTCTCACCGTGCGGCCCAATGTGCGGCCCCCGGGCAGGGCCGCCAACATCGGCACTGGCGGGGTGGACCCGGAGCCGCCGGGACTCCCAGGTTCGGACACCCCGGCGACGGACGGAGGAGGGACCGCGGCGGGATCGGCGGACGCGCGGCAGGCAGAGAGGTGAGTCCCGCCAAGCTCGCCTTGGCAGGGCAGCGTCGGGCCGCCGGCGGCGCTGGGCCGCGTATCCCCGGGAGCGGGACGGGCCTGTGCAGGTCGGGACCCGGCGGATCCCGGCAAGTAGCATTGGCTCTCGGTAGCCCTGCTTGTGGCCTATCACCGTCCGGTTATCCGTGAAACCTGCTGCGCTGGCTCCTCCTGAAGATCTCGTGAAAGACACGTGTGGTCGGTGCCTGGTGACTGCGCGTCTGGGCTTGTCGGGCAAGACAAGGATTTGCGGGTGTTCGACGCGTTCGCGGTCTAACCTGAACCCGCGTTTCTTCACTGCCGTTGTGCAGCAGGCGCTTGGAATAGCATTGGAACGGGCTGCCTAGGGAGGTGGCGGAGTCACCGTCCTTGGAAGTCTTTAAGGAAGGACTGGACATGGCATTTAGTGCCGTGGTCTGGTTGACAAGGAGGTGGTGAGTCGTGGGTTGGACTCGATGATCTCGACTTAACTGATTCTGTTATTCTCTATGTTAAGACTGCAAAAGAGTAGTCCAGTGTGGTCTGACACTCGGTTCTTTCTGGCTCCACAGCAGCCAGGAGCCCTGGTTTACTGTGTGCAGCAATTCTTTGTGCTCTGCGACTAGATGAGCTTGATTTTGCATTCTTACAGCATTTTGTCTTTTGTATCCATTTCATGCACTGGCGAGGGAGGACTTCGTGTCTTTTTGCAGGGTTTTTTGCCTATTTTAGTTTTTAAGTACTGGAAGCACATGGTAAAGTTGGCCTTAGGAGTGGTCCTCCCTGAGGATCTCCTTGTTATGGGCTAAGCCTGGCTGGTTGCTAAACCCCACACAGTTTATTGCTTGCTTCCCCACACCCCTGCCCCTCCCAGCCTCATGGGATGGGCAGAAAATTAAAACGGCAAAAGTGCAAGAGAAGGTGTGTCAAGATAAAGAAATAGCGCTACACATAAGCAAAGCAGAATTGGGAATTCATCCACCACTACCTGCAGATGTTTTACTGTCTCCAGGAATGATGTCGCTGTTGACCTCGTTTTAGAGAGATAAGACATGCTCTTTTCATGGAGCAAAAGAAGCTAAAGGTTTATTGCACACATCCCTTTATATATAGAGTTTTACAAATATTTCGTGTCTATCTCCTATTGATCAGTAACAAGCTCTTACTCTGTAATAATTGGTTAGTCTAGAAAAGATGTCAATGTGCAAGAAAGAGTTGTTTGTGAGATATTGCTTTCATTCATTTACTTGATGCTTGGGAATTCCTGAAATAGATGCAAGAAACAATCCTAATCTGTAGAATTCTTTCCCAGGGAAACAAACTGTTTTTCACCGTTGCAGGGCTGTTCTCATGAAGAGCTGGTAGCATTCTCATGGCTTATGTCGGATCAAGTCAGAATTCAGTCTCTCTGAGACTTGCTCAGGCCTATACAGGACTGCTGTTTAGCCACCACAACGGGATTCATCATTTGTAACAGTTACTTGGGAAGACAAATGCTATAACTCCAAATGTCCTTTCTTTCTTGTTCCTCTCGCTTTTACTGAGGAGCATGATGCCGCATTTTGTGGTATCACAACAGTGATCAGTCATTTGAGAACAGTTTTCCTGGTTTCGTCCCCTCCCAGCTTCTTGCCCATCCCCAGTGTGGTCAGCCATGCGTCAGTGTGAGAAAAGACCCTGGTGCTGCATAATCATTGCTCAGCATTCGCTGGAAACATGGGTGTGCTATCAGCGCTGTTGTTTCACAGCATCACCATGTAAGCTACTGTGAAGGAAGTTAACTCTGTCCCCACCAAAGGCAGTACAGATCAATGCTTCAGGGCATTTCCTCAGTCTGATAATTGTTCTTCAGAACAACATTCACACTTCTTTTGTACATTTGGGTTTGAGTCTTTCACAAATACCTCTATTCTTTTAGTTGAAGCTTGTCCCTTATGACAGTATGATGAAGCAGTGTTAGAGTCTTCTGTTTTGGTGGCTGGAAATTCAGGTCTCATACTAGTTGGCATGGCATGTCTTTAGGAAGCCCATGCTGCCTTTTATTCAACTTGTATCCTACATTTTTACTTGTTTTGCACTGTGCTTCAAGGATGTCATTATTTCAAGTTGTATTTATAACATTTTTATGTTACGGGAATCACCTTACTGGATCTTTTGCTGTCTGATTTTTTTTTTAATGAAGAAATTTTTACTGTTTTTCACTTAGATGCTACTGCTACTGTTTCAAAAGATCTGTTAAAGACTTTCGTGTTTGTAATTTAATGGGTAGTTATATATAACTGATATATATAACAATATATCAGTTATATATAATTTTAAGTTTCAAAACTATATTGGTGCAACTCTGAAAGGCACTCTGATCTATTCTCGTGGCCTAAAAATAGGCCTTTACCTTACAGCTTCTGACAGGGTAGCCCACCTAGCTGACCAAAGGAAGCCAGTCTTTTTGGATTTCAGTAAAACTTTTGAGACTGCCTCTCACGGTATCCTTCCTTCTGGACAAAACATCCGGCACACACTGGGTTAAACACATGATGGGATGGGTGAGCAAGTGGCTCACAGATCAGGCACAAAGGGTTACAGTGAATGGGGTGACTTCAGACTGGTGATCTGTCACTGGTGGGGCTCCGCAGGGCTCCAACCTCAGCCCTGTGATATTCAGCATTTTCATAAATGACCTGGACACAGGATTCAAAGGTATGCTAAGTGAGTTTGCAGATGATACAAAATGGGAGAACCTGTTGACTACCTTCAGGACAGGGAGGCTCTGCAGAGAGATCTCAACAAATTAGAGGGCTGGGGAAACACCGGGCATATGAAGTTCAAAAAGGGAAGGTGCCGGATTCTGCAGCTGGGGTGAGGCAACACTGGGTGTATGGACTGACTGGGGGACAAGAGACTGGAAGAAAATGACCTGGGGGTCCTGATCAATGACAAGTTAAACATGAGTCAGCAGTACCCTGGCAGCCCGGAGGGACAGCCCTGTCCTGGGGTGCATCAGCCACAGCATCACAGCCAGGCAAGGGAGAGGATTGTCCTGCTCTGCTCTGAGCTGGGGCAGCCTCACCTCCAGTGCTGGGGACAGGTCTGGGTGACACACAATAAGAATGACGAAGGGGGCAACAATGATGTTGAAGGGCCTTGAGGTGAAGCTGTACAAGGAGTGGCTGAGGTCACTTGGTCTGTTCAGCCTGGAGGAGACTGAGAGGAGACCACATTGCAGTCTGAAACTTTTTCATGAGGGGAAGTGGAGGGGCAGACACTGATCTCTTCACTCGCAGCTGCTCAAGTCTGTGTCTGTAGTATCAGTCGCTTTACTTTTGTTAATTATCAGGGAAGTGAAAATTTTAAAAGTGTAAGAGAATTCTAATTTTTTAATACAGTTTCTGTTAAATTATATTTAACTGTTCAGAAATCCAGTGTTGCACTCTGATTAAAAGCTCCACATAACACAGATGGTATGGAGAAGGTGAATGAAGAATTATTTTCAATTGTCTCCAGCTGTACAAAGAACAGTGGGTGTTGAGTGGAATTTACAAGAATCTCATTCAAAACACATAAATAGGCACCATGTAATAAACCCTCTAAACTCTTTGCCCACGGGTGTTCTGTACTAAAATGTGTATGAACTCATAGTGTGGGACAAATTGATTCAGCCATTTAACAGAGTCTGCAAAATGCAAAGACATCATCTGCAGCATTTGCCTGAATCACAGACAGTAGCTGGAGTCAATTTCGAAAAGTTTCATTGTGTATTTATACTTTGTTTATATTTCTTGGAAAGCATTTACTTCTGACCATTTTTAAAAGAAGAACCTTGGGTGTGGTTGTCCTTACGTACAGAAACAGGGCATAGTTCCAACATAAAATTTAAAAAACTGTCTTTATGACTCAGTTGTAATTATACTGCAGTCTTGCTACGAGCAACAGCCATGAAGCTGAACACTGGTGGAGTCAGCAAACTTGGATGATCATAATGGTTGGCAATTTTACTTGCATTTTGAAAATTACTTCTGCATAAGTGATAGAAAAAGTACTTACATATAAAGTTTTCCAGGGAAGCTAAGAGTTATTGATGTGTTAAGTGTGAGCAGCAATTTGACTGCTGAAATTTTTCTGGAAGCCACAGTTTACATATCATCTACTTGCAAATGTGTAAGAGGAATGTTCACTTTTATTGTAATAAAAGTAATCAAACCACTATTACATACAGCTTTGTTAAAGTGTTTTTAATATGTCGCCTATGTTATACGGGTAGTTTTTTATAAAGTTTTATGATACTGGTATTTTCAGCTGAAAGGAGAGAGCCTTCCAAAGAAAGAGGTGGAGTGTGGGAATATGTTACTGCTACAATCTTGTTGATCAGCGATTAGTATTAGAAAATAATACAGCAGTTCTTAAAGCTGTTTATTTTATGAGGAAATACCAGCTATAGGTTGGTCCTAGCATGGCTTCTTGTGTTTAGCTGCTTTCCCGTAGCCTAGTGTTTATACTAATTGGCCCATAACCACATCTTTAAAGTAAAAGTAACAAATCTATCACTGTAAAGACCTTCAGAATACTCTTTTAAATTTTCCAGTGATGACAAGGCGAATAATGCAAGTGGCACTGGGGAAGCTAGTAAACCTGCAGAGATGCTTACGCAGAGAAGAAAACGTATCTCCACCATGCCAAATCTTGTGAAACCCAGAGCTGGACCATCGTCTGCTCAGCGTTCTGCACCAAAACAGCAGAGGCGAACATCGCAGTCCTCTGATGGCAGTGCTTCACTTCAGAAGGATCCCTCCCCATCAGAAAAGAGTAATGTTGAAAGCTCTGTAAAGTCTCCCATGCTTCCTGAGAAGAAAACACCTGTGCCACAAGTGCCACAGTTTTCACCACTAAAAAAATCTGTGAACAAAGAGCAAATTGTTGGTGTAGCTGCTCCAAAAAATGATGATAGCTTGCAGAAGAATGTACCCTCTCCTCTCAAGGAGAGACCAACACAGGAAAGATCACGAACACAAGAGGAAAAGCTACCTGTGAAACCTTCTCCTGAGAAAGTCAAACGAACATGTTCTGACCGGGAAAGGATCCTCAAAGCTCGGAAATTAAGAGAAATGCTTAAAGAAGAGCTGAAGAAGGAGCGGATGGTAAGGCCTCTGTGTTGAGCAGCGCTTGTCTGTAAAGGGCAAGACACTCTGTGATTCACCCTGCATACATTATCTCATTGCTGTTGTGTTTTCTGATGTTAGTCAGCTGCCTACTGCTTGTAGTCTGTCATACCTCGTAACTCTATGTGTTTATTCTGTTTATAAGCAGTAGCAGCATTTTGTTCCCTAATAATACAGATTTTACATGGAATTGCCTATCTTTTTATTTGATTAGACCACAAGTCTTTTTGACATGACATCTGGTTTTATAGTCAGCATTCTAATTTTGAAAGTTTCATGGTTTGTAATATAGCAGGGAAGTGTGCTGTAAGAAGCTTGGATTTGGGATGTCTCATATATTTTCAAGTTGATCATTGTCCAAGTTATGTAATTTTGAATAACTTCTAATTTATTTGTGCCAAGTATTGAAAGCTTCTGAAAGAGCAAGTGGCTTAAGGGTCTGTAATGCCCTCGTTGAGAAAGGGACACTTAAGATAATCTTTGGTTCTTGGGAGTGGTATATGTGTGCATGTGTGAACAGCAAAATTCCATGAATGGGTACTTTGTAAACAAACAAAAGTAATAATAATTTGTGAAATATTAAATACTTTTAGGGTGAATCTAAGTGTTTGTTGTTTTCTTTTGTTTCATTTTGGTTTATATGGAAGAAGTTGAAACACAGGCCTCCAGTAATTGAAGGACGTTCTCCACCAGATCGTTCTAAAATGACTATGAGAGACTTAATATACTATCTGCCAGAAAACAATCCTATGAAGTAAGTATGACTTTTTTTCTATCTCCTTAGGTTAAATTACTTTTCAACCTCTATAATACTTAAATATGGAGTATTAGCACAGATACAGTATTATTGCAATGGTTGCAAAAGCTTCTAGACTATCTTCTAGTTTTCACATCTGCTTAATTCTGGCACAGAAGTGAGAATGGAGCTTAGTGTACATGTTGAAATACACAAACATGAACCTGTCCTTAGTGTTGATTTATCTCTGCAGAAATACAGAGTAGTAGAATTTTAATTTCTTTTCCATCTGCTTGCTGTGAAATTTTTAGTTGTGGCTGTTAAAGATATTATAATTGCCCACTAGACCCAGTGGACCCAGGAAGCTAAGCATTTTTCCTTTTAGGTGCTGAAGTGCAAAATGCACTGCAAGACCCTTGAGGGTAGCTGCTTCTGCTCCATTGATATATTTCACCAGTAGCAAGGCTGAGTTGCATGCAGGGAACACTAATGCAGTGGGTTGCACAGACTGCCACAGGCAGAGCAGAGCAGGGCCTTTTCCCTGCAACTGTCAAAAGCAGTCACATGAATAGGAGCATAGTTATCCAAGTCCTGTTCTTTCAGTAGTAGATGAGTTTTCTGGTGGTGTCTGTTATCACCTGCTTGTTAATGTTTGTGTGCTTGTGTGTTTTATTTATCGCTTGCCTTATTTTTTCTTTTACACTAAATAGTTCCTAAGGAGGTAAAAAGCAAGATGCTCTCATGTTCCCTGTATCCCGATGTATCCCAGTGGATTTCTACTTGAAATAACTTTTTTGTCCTTGCTTGTAAAAAAAAGAGTGAAATTTACTAAACGTTGGTGGTTGTGTAGTTCAATCTAGATGTGATACAAATAATTGAAAAAAAAAACCTTTGTGTTTCTTCGTCCATTGTCCACTAAAAGCCAGTTTAGTGGAAGAAAGCAGAAATGTATCTGTACAAACAAACATCTCTAGCTTTTTATGGCATTTTAGGTCTTCATTGGTAGAAGAAAAGAGAACAGAAAAAAATTCTGCACTGAGTCAAATGAAAGAGTAAGTCTTGATGGTGAAGTATAATCAAAAAGTTTTCTGGTGTAAAAAACCCTGCATTTCTGTGATAATACTAACGGTGTAGGTATATGTCTTTACTGTTTCAATATCATAGCCTAATTTATAGAAATTGTAATTTGGGCAGGTAGGGTGGTTAAAAATCACTTTACTTTCAACATTAAATTTTGCATATTTCCTTTTTACTGTAGAATGAAAAGCAGGTTTCAAAGTTCACATATTGACTGATTTCTTGATGCGTTGCATTGCTGGGTGGTTCATCAAATTGTTGAATGTCTGACATACTGAGCAGCAATTCAAAACGCTTACTATTTTTGCTTGCTATTTTAAAAACTGTAGACAGGAAGAGAAAAGTACTCCTGATCATGAAGAAGAGGAGGACGATGAAGAGGAGAATGGGGAAGAGAGTCAGGATGGCCCACTTCTTGTTCCTCGTGTAAAAGTAGCAGAAGATGGTTCAATCATTCTGGATGAAGAAAGGTGATAAATTCCTTGCCTGACTCATGTGGACTGTACTGCACTGTGGCTCAGTTTGTAAATAGAGGAATACTTTACGCTGGGATGAGTATGAGTGTTTTTATGTTTGGGAGTTGAGCTGCACTGACTTAGGAGACAGTACAAGGATGCAACAAAATACGAGCAGCCAGTAATCTGCATCACTGGTGGCATACTTTATGAGAAATGTTGCTGGGGAAGGAGGTAGAGAGGAACATTACATATTTTATTACTGTGAACGAACACTGAAGATTTCTCAAACTTCTAAAATCATCTGTTTAGCTGACTTTTTTGCTTCTCAAAGTTAACATGTATCTGCTTACTGTTATTTGGTTATCAGTACAATTTGCTCCAGCTTTGCATCTTGCCTGTTGCTGCTTTATTCTTCTGTCAGTGCTTTCAGTAACTTTGCTTAGAATATGATGTTTAATAAGTAGATTATTAAATTTCTGAGTTCCCCAAAGGTACTAACATGAGAGTTAGACCAAGGTTTAAGGATAAAGAGGGCATGGTAAAAAAATTTGAAAATAATGTAGGAGGATATTGAGAGGTTCTCATGGTTTTACAAAATATATTTCGGAAATGTTAAAAAGTTTTGGTTTTTTTTAAAAGACACTTAATTATATCTGTCTGTATTATATCTTATAAAACAGAAAAAACAAATTTGCTCACAAAGGATAAATAGGGTAGCGTTTGCTTGCTGCATTCTCCCATTAAAGTACATGTTAGTGTAGTTATTAAAGTTATTGCATAGTAGAAATGCTCTCTTGTGGTTAAAAAATTTGAATAGCTGTCTTATAAACATCTACTAGGTGTTTTCTTAGCAATATTTTGAGGTGAATCTTCTTGTGTGTTTTCTTTCCCAGCTTAACTGTAGAAGTTCTAAGAACAAAAGGTCCATGTGTTGTAGAGGAAAATGATCCCATCTTTGAGCGTGGCTCTACAACTACATATTCTAGCTTCAGGAAAAGTTTTTACACAAAACCATGGTCAAATAAAGGTGAGTATATTTTTGGTTTCAAGTTTTGAGTCTGCAAAGAAGTCCTAGTTTTCACCTATGCTTTATACTTGACAGTTTTCATCTCCAGTGGAGAAAATGGATCTACTTCCATGTCATCTCATGTCATCTCTACCCTCCGTCCACATTCTTACAACAGGCAGAGATGTGGTATTTAATGTGAAAACTGGCATGTTTTAAAAGTGCAGTGCCTTTTAACATGTAGGCTATCTGCCTTTTTTTTCCACCATGGATGTTTAAATGCTGAGGAAATGCTAGTCTGCTTTATCAAGGGCATAATTTTGGATTCTGGTTTACAGATATCGGACATCTATATGGTACTTAAACTAGGTTCTTCTGGCATTGGCAGGAATAGATTGTGTAAGGTGTCTCTGTGTGGACTGATTTCAGTGCAAGTGGACAGCTGTGTTCTTACGAGTGGTTGGGTTGGGTTCTTCATTACTCCTGCTGTGAATTGACTATTATCTCTAGGCTTACAACACCGTGCAAGAATTTTTACAGTTGGAAATTACTTTTTACCACTATAGATGGAAAAATTAGCTTCAGAATTCACTGTGATCTCTTTGGAATGCACTCTTTTTCTGTTAATAATGGAGACAGTAGATTTACGTGATGTTTTTCTGATTCCTGTTTGTGCTTGTGGACATGGACAATTTGGGGTTGGTTAGCTTTGGTTTACTAGCTTTAGAAAGTACTCTTCACATTTTGCAGTTTTCTAATAGATTAGACAGTTCTTTCTGTTGATAGTTCGTTCAGCAAATGTTAATAGAGGGGCCTAGGTAAAATAACAAACATACTCCATATATACTCACCTGGACTCGCAGCTACAGTACACAACCTCAGAGTTACAGATCTTATCACATTAAGGTCGCAAGATGTTCTCATTTCTGATAGCAAGAAGGATGTTCTAGTAAATATTTAAGTGTGTGTAATTTTTTCTTTCTTTTCCCTTCTAGAAACAGACATGTTCTTTTTAGCTATCAGTATGGTAGGAACAGACTTCTCCTTGATTGGGCGGCTGTTTCCTCACAGAGCCAGAGCAGAAATTAAGGTAAAAATTAAAGCACTCAATAAAGAAACGGAGTATCTGGTTTTATTTTTCTTTTTCTTATTTGCCTTCCCTTGCTTCCTCTACTAGTGTTGATAATTTTGGTGCTATTTTTCTCCACAGTAGTGCTTATTTTCTGATACAACATTAAAATGCTGGTCGAATTTCAGTGAATGTATCTAGTAAATGTAGCATACTTTAACAGACTGCTTTAGTTGAAGAATGCTGATACACCTAAATGGCTGTTTGGTGAGGGGCTTCTGTGTCATCTCATTTGTTGTACACAGCTGGGAAAGTCTTTGGTATTTCAAACCTTGCTCAGATTAAACGTCAGGAAAAGGTGTAGAAAATAATAAAAGTGTAGCTGATGATATCTATGATAACAGATTTTATATTTAAAAATTAATTACAAACTTGTGTTCTCTGGATATGCATGTGAATTTCTACAGTTTTAGTTGGTTTGTTGCACTGAAGGCTTAGCTTGAACTGCCATTTTGTACAACATGTTGCTGGATTTCTTTCTTAATGATAAACACAACTGTGCACTTGCTTTTAGAACAAGTTCAAACGTGAGGAGAAAGCTAATGGATGGAGAATAGACAAAGCTTTCAGTGAGTAAATATTCCATATCCTAATGAGTCACTAAATAGTACCTATCTATTTTCATGGTAATTTCTGTGCTTTGCCTTGTTTGAATTACTTAGAAGAAAGTTTTTGTTCATAGATGAATCCAGAAGCTGTGGAATTGTAGGTTTTCATAACAAGCATACTTCACAATAACGGTCTTTAGGTTTGTTTTCTATCTTTTCTAGATGTCTGCTAAATGAGATTAATATAAACTTTCTTCTGTATATTCAGTTGAAGTTAGTTCTTATTCATGGGAATTTCTAGCACAGTTATTTATTGTAAACTGCTTTGAGACTCCTTAAGACTTTCTTAATTAGTTGAATGAGGTACATATGTCCTACAGCAGCATATTAATACATTATTTAGTACTATGGTACAGTTGATGTATTTGTCAGTTCTTAAGTTTTCTGAACTACTTAGTTTTATAACTTTTTAAAACCAAACTACCATAATCCAGGCAACTTCAACTTTATGTCAACTTCAGCCCCTGCTCAAGTGATACAGAAATTACTTACAAGAACTCTCTGTTTAAATGTATATAACCTTTTTTTTAATATTATGTCACGTATCACTGATTATTTTACAAAGATGAAACTCGAGAAAATAATAAACTTTGAAATCTGTTCTCTTTCTTTGCTTTAATCTGATAGAAGAAAAACGACCCTTTGATTTTGAATTCTTTGCCCAGCTGCTTGAGAAGGTCTTAGCAGATGAGGGAAAGAGGAAGCAAAAGACCGTTAAAAACCAGAAGCCAAAAGAAAAAAAGTCTCCAAGGCCACAGAAGTCAAAAGGTACTTTAAAAGAGTGCTTGAGATGGCTATACAGACCAATGGTCAGTAATGTGTTGCTGGCAGAGGAAAAATCACATAGGGCATTGCATTTTCCTTCCCTGTTGTGGACAGGACAAGAAAACCTTAGCTTCGTAGTGTAACTTTTTCAGGTGTAGTTTATTGATGTGCAGGATGATAATAATTCATAACAGAGCAGGAACTTGATACCACGGTGAAAATGTTGCTCTTCCACTATCTGAAGCGCTGATATTCTAATTTACCACTTGGTAAGTATCACCATGAGTTGCTAATCAATTCACTTTTGGAATTTTGGGGCCAAAATCATTTTTTTGGCAAGCTCTTCTGTGTTGGAAGTTTTCTTGCATTTAAAACCCTCTTCTTTTAAGGGTTCTGTTTCTCCTTCTATAGTAGTTTAACTTCCTGAGTCTGAGTAGTATGATTCTTTTCAGAGAATCATGTAAAAATTATTTTATCTTTCTGGTCTGTTCAAAATAAAAATTACGTTTAATTACTCTTGATCACCAGTGTCTTACTACCACTTAGTATCTGGAAAAGGACCATTGACAGATTCACTGTAATTAAAAACAGTTACACTGATGCAATTTCATACATTTCTTGCTAATTCTTGTTTGTTCCACAAGGACCCATCCTTTTGTAAGTGGTATTGTGAAATAAACAAGTGAACATCTTTTAAAGATGCTAGCTAGGAAGTAACACCTTTTAAAATTGAAGTAGTTGCTGCTTTTCGGTAGCCTTGGTTTTGGATTTGATTAAGTAAAATATCTCATGTATTAAGACTTAAAACCATGTGGAGAAATCTTGTTTCTATACATTAGTGGTAGATTAAAGATTGTCGTGTAAAGCAACATGAATATGCTTTTCTACTTCATTTGCATTTTGGACTTCTTAATTACAGGGGAACAAGTTCATTTAAGATGAATAAAAAGGAAAGTTTCTTGGTGGTTAAGTACAGGATCAAGACAAAATGTCCTTAAAATAGGGGGGAGGAAAATTTTAGAAACTCATTAAACCGAGAAAATAGCTTCTTAATTATTAGCTAAATAGTATTTCACCTTTCTTATGTAAGCTAGAATGGTCAACTCTTGTACATTTCTTGATGAAAAGTTACTTTTACATGGCTTACGTTCTGTAACCATCGTCACGTATTTTTGCAGACATACAAAAATTCTTTATAGGAATAGCAACGTCTGTTTTCCCTGAATGCAAATGTGACTGTATTAACTGCGAAGAAGCACAGGCATTACAGCATTTACTAAATTTGCTTTACATCCCATACTGACTTTCTCCTGGTGAAGTGTTGTCCCATGTACAGAATGTGTTTTGTATTAAATGCTGAAGTTAATCTATGCTGGAGCTTTTCTGGCAAGTCAATGACTGACGCTCCCCAGTCCTGCTCATACACCTCGCAGTGTATTGGCAGTGATACATGAATACACAAATGTTTTTGGTAGAAGTGCCTTTGCTGTTTGTGGCTCTTAGTACTCTACCAGTCCATTTACCAAGAGCGGTATTGTCTCAATAGCAAAAGCTGCCCGCACAGAAGCTGTTAATGATCAAGATGAAATTCAGGAAGCTGGAATTTCTGATGCAGAAACAGAAGCAGATGGTGTGACAGCTGAGAAAGAAAATGAGGAATCTTTGGGCATTTCTGAACAGGCAGAAGAACAGGTTGCATCAGAGCCAGCATTATCAAAAAAGAAGAGAAAGAGGAAGAGAAAAGATGATCTTGAACAGGAAGTGGAGAATATTCCTGAAGAAATGGCTGGTCCTTCAAAAACTGCTGAAGAAGGGAAGTCCTGTAATAAAAGTAAGAGGCAGAAATGCTCACTTTCAAATGTTCAAATAAAAATTTTATATAAAGTCATTGTGAACTTAAAAGTCAGAATTTGGTCTTTGATTTATATTGCTGATCTGCCTTGTAGGAGGTTGTGGAACAATGCCTTTTAAAATCAGCTTTCATTCTAAATCTAAACATACATTGTTTAGATGAAAACAGTTCTCTTAATAGTCTTATTAGTCTTACATTAACTCTTCTCCACTGTAGCTACCATTTGATTACTAGAATTCTAAGATGTTTTCCAGAATGTCCAAACTGATTTAATTCTTATTAATATCAGGAAAAACAGTGATACATGCAAGCAGTGATAGTCATACTACCTGTGGAGAAGAAGTGAATTGTGCTATTGAAGGAAAACAAAACGCGACTGCTGTAACATTGGAAAAGAGATCAGAGTCTTGTTCACCAATGAATAACCAAATGGAAAGAGAAGGTGGTGTCAATTTATGCAGGTAATGTTTATAATGGAAAGCTTAGGCAAAAAAAAATAGTTTAAAGTTTTAATGTTGGTTTTATTTTTTCATGATTACCACCATTTAACTGCCACAGAATGTGCGGGTTTCTGAGAACTGTGCTGGGATTTAGTAAGCTGTTTATAATTTACATACACAAAATATTCTCTGCCGTAATGAGCTGCACATGCAAAATTAATGTACATAATTACTAAAGTCACTTCAGAAAGTTACTTCATTTTTTAAAGGTGTTTAGGAAGACCATTGTTTATGCTAACTTCTAATATTTCTCTTGAAGCACTGCTTGATAATGTTGGTAAGTTGAGTTACTATGTGCTTGGAATTCTTGTCTGTAACATAAGTATTCTTGTGGAAAAGGAATGTTGCTTAGATTTTATTTACGCAGAATTTAGGTGAAAGGCAAGCTTTTGGGTTCGGTTCTGGCCATACTTTTACTAAGAAGAAAGTGTATACTCGTTTATAAAATTTGTTATAAGTGAATATGGAAATCTAAAAATTCATTATGATACTGCTTCAGTTTTCTGTGTTAATTTGCTGTATTTACCTGTATTGTAATTGTTTGTTATTTTGTACAGATTCCCAAAAACTTCCATTTTCTTTAATAGTTCATTAGAAGTAAATGAAGGGGTAGTTATTTGCCTTTCTAAACCTAGATTGTTACAAAATATCAAAGGAAAAAACCATTGGCATACAATTGTTCATGTTAAAGTTTATTTTTGTAAAAACAATCAGTCCGCAATAATCAGATATCTTTTTCCAGTGCAAAAGTACGAAAGTTGTTTTAAAGCTCGTAGTCTGCAAATATTACTAAAACTTTGTGAGAGTCTCTGAAAAATGGGTAGTTATTTAGCGTCAAAATTCCATTGCTTTTCAGTGCAACTTCCTATCTGTAAGCAAAAATAGCTTTTTTTCTACAAGTACACTAATGTTCCTGTATGCTTTTATTTATTTCAGCCTTGAAGATGGCAATGGTGTTATACCAGAAGTAGAACCTGCTAAATTGAGAACCAGAGATATTAGAGATAATGCATCACAGGAAAGCCAGATTCCAGAGTTACCAGTTTCAGATATTAGAGACAAGGAAACACAAGCCGTAGAAACTACAGAATCAAAGGTATTATTTTTTTATGTAGTCCTTCTCAAGATCTTGCTCTTGATCATTAAAAGTGGTTTGCAAATCAAAGCCATTTTTTGGTATTTGTGATGTGTTCACCACCAGATGGAAAACAATCAACAGGCCTAAGAACATTACCAAAACTGAAATTCTTTCAATTCTCCTGGGCTTAATGAGCTGTCTGTTAACCTAAATGTATTAAGAGAGTATATTGTGCATGCCTGACTTACCTCATAGACAATTTAAGCAGCTGAACAGAGTAATTTTTCAAAAGTGAAGGACTGCAATACGAGCAGCTAGGCCTTGTAGCAGGATTTTGCTGTCATATGCTTACTGGTGTTGAAAACTGATTTGAGTGGAACACACGTTGTTTGTGCTGCTCCATGAATGATCTAAGTAATGAAGCAGGGTGTAACCTCAGCAAGTTTACAGATGAGGCAGATCGAGAAGGAATTGCTAAGACACCCAGAGGTTATACAGGCCTCCAGAGGGACCTGGAGAGGCTGGAGAAATGGACTGACAGGAACCTCAGGAAGTTCAGCAAGGGGAGATACCCCAGGGGAGGAACAACCCAAGGCACCAGTGCATGCTGCAAGCCACCCAGTTAGAAAGCAGCTTTGCAGAAAAGAACTCGGCTGTCCTGGTCGTCTTCGAGTTGAGCATGAACCAGGAAGGTGCTGTGGCTGCATAAACAGCTAACAGTGACCTGGGCTGCAGCAGGAGAAGCTTTGCCAGCAGGCCGAGGGAGGTGATCCTTGCCCCTTGTTCAGCACTGATGAAGCCACACCTAGAGGACTGACCAGTCCTGGGCTCCCTGGTAGAAGACACCTGGACACACTGGAGACAGCCCCTCAAAGGGTCACACAGATGGTAAAGGGCTGGAAGCATCTCTCCTGTGACAAAAAGCTGAAGGAGCAGGAACTGTTCAACGTGGAGAGAAGACTCAGGGGCATCTCTTCAACATTTCCACAAAAACCCAAGGGAAGGGTGCAAACAGGACAGAACCAGGCCCTTTCCAGGTGTACCCAGTGACAGGGCAAGAGACAATGGGCAAACAGTGCAAGACAGGAGGTTCCTTCGGAGCACCAGGAAATCCTGTTTCACTGTGAGGGTTACCAAGCACTGGCACAGGCTGCCCAGAGAGACTGTGGAGTCTCCATCCTTGACAAGATTCAGAAGCTGTCTAGACACAGTATTGGGCAGCCAGCTCCAGGTAGCTTGATGTGTTGGTTTTGTGTGGCCTGGTTTTGATAACAAGGGGCTAGAGGGATGGCTTCTGTGAGAAAGTGCTGGAAGCTTCTTCCATGCCCAGCAGAGCCAATCCCTGATGGCTCCAAAGATGGATGTGCTGCTGGCCAAGGCTGGGCCAATTCAAAATGATGGTAACACTTCTGTGACAACAGATTTAAGAAGAAATCAAAACAAAAAGTGGTTGCAGAGTTGTAACTGCCACCAGAGAAGAGTGAAGTGAGAACACGTGAGAAGAACAATTCTGCAGACAATAAGATCTGTGGAGAAGTAGGGGCAGGAAATGCTCCAGCCACTGGAGCTGAGAGTCCCCTACAGCCCGTGGTACAGCAACTGTGCCCCTGCGGCCCGTGGGCGTCCACAGGGAATGAAGAGATCCACCCACAGCCCATGGGGATCCACAGGGGATGCAGAGATCCACCCATAGCCCATGGGGATCCACAGAGGATGCAGAGATCCACCCACAGCCCGTGGGGATCCACAGGGGATGCAGAGATCCACCCACAGCCCGTGGGGATCCACAGAGAATGCAGAGATCCACCCACAGCCTATGGAGGAGCCCCATGCTGGATGCCTGGAGGAGGTTGTGACACTGTGGGAGACCCATGGAGAGAGGTGCCCTGCTCCTAGGCTGGAGCAGCCTGTCCTTGGAGGACTGCACTTGATGGAAGAGTGACCCACACCACAGCAGTTTGAGGGGACCTGGTGCCCATGAGATGGAGCCACATCAGAGAAGCTTATGGAGAACTGTCTCCTGTGGGAGGGACCCCAGGGTGCAGCAGGAGAACAACTCCTCTCCCTGAGCACTGGGAGAGCCTCGAACTGACCATAATCCCCTTCCCTGTCTCCTCGCACTGCTGGAGAAGGAGGGAGAGGTGTGGGGAGGGTATTCTTAAGGTTGTATTTTACTTCTCATTATCCTGCTCTGATTTTGTTAGTAACAAATTCATTTCGTATTTGTAAGTTTTGCCTCTGATGGTATTAAGTAAGTGATCTCTCTCTTGGTCCTTATTTCCAGCCATGAACCCTGCTTTAAATTTTCTTTCCTCTGTCCAGCTGCAGAGAGGAGGGAGTGAGCAGCTTTGGTGGGTGCCTGGCATCTGTCCCAGATTGACCCACTACACTTGATCTGGGGTGTTGGACCAGGAGAGCTTGGCAGACCCTTCCACTCTCAATCACTGTGGCAATCTTGTTTCTGCTTTTCTTTATATTGCAGTAGAAGATCAAATAAGTTTTTTTCTTTTCCTCAACATTTCTTTTCTTCCTTAGAATGAAGATACACATCACTCACAAAAAACAGATGGAAAGGAGAGTGTATCAGAAAGTGGTTCACAATCTGAAATCATGTAAGTGGGATTATTTTACTTTGTGGTGGCACTTGAACTAAACCTGTATCTACTCAATTTGAATATGATTCCAATTGACCATTGCAGGTTCAACCAGTCAGGAGATAGTGATAACTTGTTTTCCATATTCAGTGAAGATTTTTTGGTAAAAATTTTGATTACTGAGTAGCAGTGCATTAGCTAAGGTATAAATGGTAGATAGGAATAGGGAGAAAGACTTAGCTAAACTTTGAGAAAAAAAGGTAGTCTTTCTACAGCCAGCAAGAGCAAGAGAATGAAATTCTGCCATATTGTGGGTAAAGCTTGGCTGTGAAATTTGATTTTTGTTTTTTTAAAAGAAGGGCCTCACTTAGTTCTTTAACATTCATAGATGTCCATCAGAGCTTATTAGCTGTACACATCATGTGTATGGTGTATTTCTTCTTTCTTACTTGGAAACTGTTCCTTTTCAGAACTTGATGCAAACTTCTAAGATAAAAATACTCTCAAAATGTCTCTGTCTTATCTGTACTCCTTTATGAAGTTAATTTTGGTGACCGTTTCTTACATTGAGAGATGGTATTTAAAGAAGTCTGTGCCTAAGATTTCCATTTTTGCATGATCATTGACTTCTTATTTCATAGTATAGTTTTTTAAAGGCGATTTAGAGATGGGGTTCTAGTTAATGCTAAGTTGGTATTTATACTTCTGTCTTTCCGTTTTTGAAGGGCAGATCACTCTTATGATAAAGACTGTGAAAGCTTTATTTGTCTTGTTCTAGGGAGAATATAAGAAAAGTTAGTAGTTCCCAATCTGAGGATTATTGATAAGATGTAGGGCTGTGTCAGTCTGTGAATCCCAGGACATGCCATTGCAATGGTTAAAGACACAGAGAGTGATGTACATATCCCATTCTTCAGTAAGATGTGGATGTTGGCAGTAGGACAAGGTATTTGAAAAAAGTTTGCTTTTCCATGACTGAGATGGCTTTGAAAGGGGATGGGACGACAGGAGAGGTGAATGCAAAACATTGTATATAGGAGAGATTTACATTGTTTCTTTATAAAATTAATTGAACTGACATGAATTGTGAATCCCTAGGAGAAGAAATATTCCTATTTAATTAACAGCAGGAAATACTTCCTTCAAATATTTTGAAATAGATTCCACTGAAAGCCAGCAAAGTTGTTAAGGTTTATTTGATGCTCTTTTCATGACATTGTAGCATGTCTTTTAATATCAGAAAGATGCAATGGAGGTTTTTTTCTGTTCATTGTCTTGCTGCATGCAATGTCCATGCAGTCCATGATGCTTGACCCATGCAATCTGTGATGCTCGTGACATACATCTCGAACCATATAAGACTTCAAGTTTCTCTTTGGTAATAATGTATATCATCTTTCGTTATACCTTAAGGAAAACTGAAAATTCAGCAGATAGAAGGCGCTTTGGAAGACCTAAACCCAATTTAGTGAGATCTTCTGGAAGGAGGGAAACAGCACCACAAGACAAAACGGAGGCCAAAACTTCTCCAACCATTGCAAATGCAGGTGAAAAGGTCAGAAAGAGGAATGTTGCTTAGTGTGTTGTTCTTGATGCTGCATCTGTTTTGCTCAATGGGGATACTGTGGGCCAGCGACCGTCTTAGAAATAACATTTTGGGAACTGCTGCTATGATACCTACACACTTGTAAAAGAGTAATATTCCCTACATCAATTCCAGTGCTCTGAAGAAGACAGTAGAAGAAACAGAAATGAAGCCACAGAAGTAGAGAACAGGGATTTGGATACTGCATCTCAGTAAGTATTGAGATTACTTTTCCAGTCTCCTGGTATTAACTGACTATAATTGTTAATTTATTCCATATAGTTCTCTTAGAAAAAGATAGTAATAACTGGGAAACTTTAATATAAATTTCAAAATTGACTTAAGCATTTTTTGCATGATAACAGGTAGAAGATAACTAAGGTAGAAGATATGTGCTTCTTTTCTGGCAAGTTGATGAAAGCATCACTTTATGAAATACCTGTAATAATACCTGTAATACCTTATGAAATGCCTGTAATTTGAGAGGGGGAGAGTGATAACTATGTCTTTGCTTTCCTCTCAGCCTCAGTTATTAGGTAATGACTCCACTTGCAGAAGCGGCTGTGGTATGCAATCTAGTTAGGTTCGTCCCCTGTGTGACAAATTAACCTCCTTTTAATACATAGATAAATTGAGTTTCCACACATTGTAAGACTGAACAAAGCTTGTTTTTTGTGTGAAGCCACTTGCATAGGTTTGGGCAAGTCTTTCTGAAGACACCACAATTCCAGTAAAGAAATCTTTGCAAGACATTGTATGGTTAGACAGGCTTGAATATTATGAAGTAAATGTCACTGTTGTGGATCCTTTGTGCAGAGAACTCAAAAAACCTGGAATTGCAAAGACAGTAGTTAGAGGATATCGACAGAGATTTAAACCTAATGTTTCAAGAGCATCTGGAAGGAAAGAAGAGCCTGAAACACATGCAAGAAATGATGAAATATCCCATCTGCAGCCTAAGGGGGAAACTGAGAAGGTATTTAATAAAGTAACATAGCTCAATGTAATGTGTTAGCTAAAAAGCTGCTGGATGCATCATAATGTTGTCTTTTTTTCTTTACTTTTTTGCTCCCGAGTATGACTAGGAATTAGCAATTTAATTAACCTGCTTTCAGTGACAGCGTGGTATTGCTCAATAGCCTCAGCTATGGTGAGAGATTATTACATAAATAGTAGATACCAATAGTCTTTCATGTTCTGCAGCAAATACAACTTCAGGTGTTTGCTCTAGTTTTTACTGCACCTGTCTGACTGAGAAATTTACCCTGTAATTGTTTGTGTTTCAGAAGTAATCTATTTTGTCTCCTCTTATGAACAGTTAATTAGTCAGGTGATGCTGTACTTTATGAATGTAAGACAGTTCATGTTACAATACTCTGTTTCTATTCAGAATAATGACCAAGGTAATAGCTCTGATGTTACCAGTGAAGATGCTGCAGAAAAAGATGACAAAATCCTGGAGACAGTGTATCAGTAAGTATGAGAAAAATAAGAGTGCTGTCCAGCAATTTATCATTCTTGTCACTTCTGTAGTATTTGTAGTGTGGTAGTTACAGATGTTTTTGAAGAAACTTCTGCAGTACAGAAATTGAGGGCAAAATAGGAATCTTCATTATTTATGGAACATATATTGAGCATTTTAATTTTTAAAGTGGTACTTCTAAATTAAAAGTCAGTCGTGGTAAATGTAAAAAAGCTAAAACAAGCCTTGGCTATTTGCTTTTAATATTAAAATGCATCCATTTCCGTGGTTAAGTATTTAAACGGTAGGAGTAAGTGCTCTTAAAGAGGTGTTAAGTGTCAAAGAAGAGGAAGAAAAAGATCCAATACCTGGGCAATGTACTGCACATATTTATTAAGTGTTGCATTTTTCTTCAGTGAAGTGGCAGCTGTAAAAGGGATAATACATTTTATAGAGATTCTAAAAAATAAAAACTAAAAAAAGCAGACTTTCCCCCAAATCCTCCCCCACAAAAAAAATTCTAAAACAACCTAAACCAAGAACAGAAATAAAAAAACCAAAACCTCAAACTTCTCTTTTAAAGGGAGATAGTTGAAGAGGATGGATGGAGATAGAGTGGGTGTGATGATCTGCCAGAAAAATATTTTCAGTTATTTCTTTCATTAACCTGTTCTGTAACTTGATGCTCAGTGTAAAAATGTGTAGTAGAAGAATCTAACAGTTCTAGTAATGCTGCTTTACTGATACTTTTACATGAGTAAGATAAAAAAATTATTTATGTATTTTCTGAACACATTAAAGAAAAACTCTAAATACTTGCATAATTTTAAATTCTTTATTAAATTAGGTCATCTGCCTCTAGACTAGATAGGAATACAAACTGGTCGTCCGTTATGGATCAGAAAAAGGTCTCTCTAGTGTGGTATCCTGTCAGCAACGGGAAGAGGAGAATAACAGGGCAAACATAAGTTTAAACTCTCAGTCCCCAGTAGATACATTTCCAAATTTACTATTTCAGGAAGCTAGTAATACATTTTACATAAGTGTATGTTAATAACTATTTAAAAGAAAGGGGGAAAAAAAATCAGTTCTCCAAGTCTCCTCCCACTTTCAGATGTGGTATGTACTTCCCGGACTATCTATGTTTTCTCAGGTCTAACGAAACAGCTGGTTTAAAAGAAGATGGCAAACAGATTGTGTTGAATCAAACACCTCTAAAGAGAGGTAGAATACAGAGACCAAAACCAAATCTTGGAAGAACTGTTGCTAGGCAAAAAGAAATGATACATAAAAAAGATCCTGAAGAGGAGACAACTGAAGGTGGAGAATCAGAAAAAAGTGTCAATCACCATCAAGATGAAAACAATGATCCCTGCCTCAAAAATGTAAGTTTCTTGAGCAGTTTCTTATGCACACTGTGTTGATGGGTCCTTAGTAAAAGCCTTGGTAACAAAGACCTAAGAATTTGTAGGGAGGTAACAAAGACTTAAGAATTTGTACGGATAGGCTTTGCATGCTTTATTTATTATTGCAGTATAAACTAAATTGTCATAAAATTTCCTCATTTTTGCACTTGAGTTCTGTTTTCCATGGTGTCAGGTTTAACCCCAATCAGCAACCAAGTACCAGCTTGCTTGCTCACTGCACCACCACCAGCACTAGAGACAGAACTGGAAGGGTAAAAGCTGGAAAACAGGGGCTGAGATAAACTCCTAAGTGCTGGATGTAAGGTTTAATAGAGAAAGCAGAAGCTACAGTCGTGTGCAGAGCATAACCAGGAACTCTTCTACTACTTCCCATGAGCAGGCAGGTGTTCAGCCATCACCAAGAAAGCTGGGCTTTATCACTTGGGAAGATAAAAGCCATTCTCCCTACTTTGTATACTGAACTACATGTCAGCAGAACATGGAATATCCCTTTTTTCAGTTGGGGTCACCTGTCCTGACTGTGTCCCCTCCCATCCTTCTGTGCCCCCCCCAACTTCTTCTCCAGCTTGGCAATACAAACAGCGGAAAAGGCCTTGGCTCTATGTAAGCCCTGCTCAGCAATAATTAAAACATCAACCCTGCATGCAGCATTAACCCAAAACACAGCCTCATACTTGTGAAAAAATCTAACTCTATTCTAATCAAAACCAGCATATGTGGAAATGGAATATATCTCACTGTGTCGTATTGTGATACCAGATCTGAAAAGAGAAATGCAAAGAAAAAATGTCTCAGAAGATCAACCACTTAAAAGAGAAAGTAAAAATAAAAATAACTTTTTTCGTTTATAGTAGACGCTGGTATTAGTTGGGTGTACAAGAAGCAAGAGAAATCTTAATGTTTCTGTAGAAAATACTAAAATTTTCTTATTTTCCTCCTGCTCTCCTAGTAGAGAGGTTGAGCAAATATTTAATCTTAATGGAGCGGAACTTTTATTTGTTTTAGGATTTAACAGCTCATGAAGACACTCAGCCATCCAGTGTGGTGTTAGAAGGTGTTTCTACAGATTCTGAGATGAGCTCAGTATATTCAAAACAGTGTTTCCAAGAAAAGTCCTCAGAAGCAGAAAGCTATAAAAGTGAAAAGGGATTGTCAGATGTCTCGAAACAGATTTCAGATTCCAATACAAGGTAAAGTTATTTTCACTTCAATGGAGAGAAGAGATGGTTCAAAGCTATCAGTATCTCTAGGTCTTATACCATTTTACATTCAACTCCAGCATTACAAACGAGTTTTATGTATATAAATACATATTTAATCAAGACAATACTAGATGTTAACTAACAAAACCCTAAAAGCTTGAAATCATTCAATTTATATGCTGTTGGATGTTAATTTGACCTTTAGGCTATTGGTCTAATTTTCAAAAAAATGCAGCTTTCTAATGCTCAGTGATTGTCTTCTCCATGTTGGTCTCCACAGTGCATCCCAGTGTGTTTATATAAATCTTGAGTACAGGGTCTGGTTTCCTATTAAAGTGTCTCTTAAAAAAATATAGTCAGCCACAGGTGTTCTGTAAGTCTGCTGGGTAGCTCTAAACATGATTAGAGGAAGATATTTATAAAATATATATATTATGTTAAAATGTCTCAAATTGTCTTCCAGGTGTCAAGTGGAAGTGGCAGTTAACTTTGCTTTCCTACTTATAAGATACAGAGGCTTTTGGTGATGATCACTGTGTTTTTTTATTGGATTTTTTCCATGTCACTAATGTTGTTATTGCACTGAGAGCTGTATACAAGTATGCCATGTTGTCCCTTGCCTTTGACTGTTCTTCTCGCTTGTTTTTGTAGGGAATCTCATCCTCAAAAGGAAGAGGAGAAAACTGTTGTATTGTCAGCTCGGCTACCAAGGACACGATTCCAGAGACCAAAGCCAAATTTAAGAACAACTAGTAGAAAGGAAGTTCTGGATGTAAATAATAAAGGTGCATCACAAAAAGATACCAACAAAGAAGAAAGCTTGACACAGTGTGATAGTGAATGTAGCATCCCACCTGACACAGATGTAAGGCTTTTGGTTTTTTCCTTTAGTTACATTTGAGCTTTTGGTTTTGTGAAATGAAATACTGATTTAAATAATGCAAAGTTAACTTTTTGAAACAATTTTTTCAAAAGCTAAAATTTTCTACATTAAAACTTGTGTACTTTTCACTTGGTCGTATGTGAGGAAAAAAAGATGACTGAATCTCTTGTTATGTGTCCAGATGTCTTTGTGACTCAACGTGGCATTATAGAGTTGACAAAGAAGAAAGAAAAAGTATTTGTAGAAGATGGCATGGCACATAAGAAATATAGATTTCAAAGTGTTTTGTCTTAAATGAAACATGTTATTTGTCCTGGAAAGACTAGGAAATCATTAGTGAGCAGTTATAGAGAAGTTTTTTGGGAGAGTGCAAAGAGCTCTCTGAGTTTTTCAGAGAGTGATAAGTACCAAACTTCATAGACATCATAAAGGCTATTTTTGGTTTATTATTACCGCTTTTTCTGGTTCTTGTGTTTACATTTTTCAGAAAGCAGGAAAATGTGAAGTTTTAAACACACTAGAATCCTTGGGAAAAGAGAAGTCACTTTGCTCTCAGGAGGTTCCTGAGATGCCAAGTTGTAAGTCCCCTAAAACATTTTCAAGATCAGAGGATGCTGAACTGAAGTTCTGTCTACCTGAAATTAGCCAAGACATTTCTACTACTATTACAGGGTAAGGGTTTAGCTATTTTTGATTCTTGACTGTAACAATGAAAGAATTTTACAGGGAAATCATGGTGCTGATGGATTGCCATCTGGCAAACGTAGTCTAATGAAAATACAGCATAAAATTTCCATTCTCATAGTTTAACGCTAGTGATACTACAATTTCAATAGCTTCTATGCTAAGCATGACGTTAATGAACACTTACTTTATAACTGTTTCATCATCTGAAAAACTGGATTGATTCCATGTAAGCAGGGAAATACTAATTTGCTTACCAGAGAAATCATTTGAAAATTGCTTTGGTTTTATAGCAGCAAGTAGTCAGTAAGTTAATACCTTCAGTGAGTTAGTTAATTCTGTTGTTGAAAGTATTTAGAAGACCAGTGCTTTGAAATTTTTGCTGGAACAAATTGTCATTTGTAATTTAAACTCAGCTGAACTTTTAGTTTACAAGATTTCTCTTAAAAACTCAGTGGTTTTTGCATGTAATACTAATGGACCTATGTTTATATTTGTTATATGTGTTTGTACTAAGTTTCAGATTATTTTTTCTGTCTTAACTTTGCATTGTTGACAAAAAACAGCACTCAAGAAGAATGTCAACACACACCTCTTCCACCTGTCCAGCTGGCACAGAACAAGAGGTACAAGCCAAGCTTGGTAAGAACTGTTGGAAAGAAGGAGTTACAAATATCAGAAAATGAGAGTAAGAAAAAGCCTGAAGCCGAGCAAAAAGATGAGTTTGACAATACTGTCATGGTAAGCCTTAGTAAGAGTGAGCTTTGCCTTCAAAGTTGGTTTGAAGTGCATGTTCACTTTTATGAAGTTAAATGAAAACATTGAAATTGCATTGCCTGAAGCTGAGATAATACAGGAAATGAGAAAAAAGTTCCCAAACCCTGGTAAGTTGAGGTATTGTAGGTATGAAATCAATGAGGTCTACAACTTGAAGTATTAATTTTTTTTTTTTTACAAAGGATCTTCTTTTGATTGGATTGCATGATAGGAAAAAATGATGTACATTTATACAAACTCTGTAATAAAAATGAATAAAAATTATCTTTTTTTTCTCATTTCACCTTTCCTGTTTGGATGAATCAAATCTGTGTTGAGCAATCTAGTATAATGTCTCAAGTGAAGGCAGAGGACACCTATTTTTATGAAAAAAGGGGTTTTTTAATTGATAAGCTTTAACTGGCTTCATCACTGCAGTAGCCGATACTCCTCTATTTCATACAAGTAACAAGTAATCCCCACAGACACTTTACCAGGGTCTGTAAAAGATATGGAAATCCTCAAAAGCCATTTACAGTGTGATGTGTTCTTTGTAACCGTTTTGTGGGTTGCACGTGAATCGTATCATGGGGGTAGTGATATCTATGTAGACTTACCTTAGGTTTGGCATACAGCTAAACTTTGCAAGAGTGACAGTTTTGGATGATGTTTGTTTATAGCTGGTTTTGTTCTTGAGCATATGAAAAGTACTTGTGTCCTGCGTTGATCTCTCATCTCCCTTCAGTGGCACAGTCAGCTCACCCCTAGCTGAGATAGTTCCTTGTGGTTCAGCTTTGGCTGCTCTAGACCTGTGGCCTGTGAACCATGCACATGCATGTGCTCTGTACTGGGCAAGTCTATAGAACCAGAGCAGATCTGGTGCTCCTCTTTATTAATCAAGCTGTCACAGGCCTGAAGTGGTGAAAAATACATTTGAGAGGCTTCTTTGTGGAGCCAGTATGGCAAATACAGACATAAAACTTGTTAGGCCTTCTGGATCTTGAGGCTGTGTTATTGTGGCTTGGGTCTGTCTGTGCTGCCCTCTGCAGTGTCCAGTTTTCAAAGGCTTTCCATTTACTGAAGTATCTTGTTTCCATGGTGCTTCATGTATTGGGGAATTGATTGAATACTAAATAGACGAGTGTTTCCCGTAATGCTTGGGTGCACATAGGATTTAAGAGCTTAACTCTAGGTATCCCAGGAGTATGAAGATTTCTGTTCCTTTTTGCATAGAAATTGAATTATGATAACATGATTCTTGCCTTTATTCCAACTGGGAAAATAGCATCTATTCTATTTTTGTAGCATCAATTTCTATTTTTGTATATAAAATATATGTCTGTTTTAGAAGCTTACATACTTCTATTATTCTTCATGCTTCTTTTACTGTAAAATAAAGGGTGAAAATGAAGCTGTATTGTGTCAAGCAGATGTATTGAGCAAAGAGGAACAGGAACAGCAAGAGATGCCTCAGGTGTTCTCTATTTCTGAAACCTTATTGTCTGAACAAAGCAGGTGAGGCTTGAGTTTATCAAAATTGCATTTGAAAAGCTTTTATCTGTGCATATTGAGACACCTTTGCAATTGTCAGTTCTCCTGTTCCTTGTCTTTTGTCTTTCTACAGTATTTAATTTTCAGTGCCTACAAACAGCTTCTTCCAGTGTTTTCAGAGCACTTTTTTTTTGGCTGCACTCTGTCATTGTTTATCTGGTACATACTTGATCTGTATGAGGTCACAACTCTTCTTGACCAAGGTTTTTTGTTACTGGTCCTATATTTTCTTAAGTAGGAATCACACATGTAAAATATATAACATACAAGTTTTAAAAAATGTCAGAGACTTGACTTTGATTCATCCATGTGCTCTTTCATTTTACTGCCACTGTTGTTAAAATAAAATCTTAAGTGTGTGTTAGACTGCCGATACTTTGATGTCGGTATGGGTAGCAGCACAACTTGTTTTTTATGTTAAAAATGCCTTGACAAAGACATTTTGTTATTTCTGCTCCAAAATTTACCATAAATGAGAAATATATTTGAAAATATAATATTATCGATCTTAAACAAAGCAGTCTCTTAGTCTCTTGTGTAAGTATTGATTCAAACTTAAGTGCAGATGTGCTTTTTTTCTCTCCCAGCCAAAGTCAAATGTGGTTTTTCTATTTCTGTTTGTTTGCTTTAAATTCACTAGTACTGAAAAATTTACCTCCCAAGAAGGCAAGCTGAGTGCTCTGGAACCAGGACAATTCATAAGGATTGAGCCTCCAAGAACTAGACCAAACCTAGAAAGAGCAAACTGTGAAAAAGGATCTCCAGTAATACAAAATCTTGCTGCCCCAGATGAAGAAGAAATGAATCAAGGAGAGAATCTGCCTTTGGCAGAGGAATCTGAAGACCTTCTCTCCTCAAAAGTGAGATTCTCTTCATTTTTTTCTGACTACACTTTCTGATGCTTGCTTCCACACTAGCTGTTTTGAAGAGATCTAAATGAGCTATTGTAAATGCATTAATAAATTTCAGCCTAGTAGGAATTCTTGTTCAGTGTTTGCAATCTATTATAGGGTTTTCCAAAATCCTGTTAGTGACATATTGATAAGACATATAAAGACTTCATTTGAACTTTGACATTTCAGTCATATTGATGATACATGAATAGTTACCTATATGCTGTATTTTTGTTGCTGGATTTCTCCTGAGCTCCTTGGTGGCTTCTCATGAAGGACTATATTGGTTATAGTGTCTGTTTTTATTAGCTAAATGCCTTCCTAGAGAAACAAGGAATGATGATGGTGCCATAAACTACTTGGAAGTTTTAAATGAAGTTTCGTCTCAGATTAACAACTTGATCATAATTTGCAGTAATTTATTTTACAGGTGATGTATTTTGTGCTAATGTTTTTTTTTTTCTCGAAGGATGACATGGAGGTATTGTTGCTTGTGGGAAATTTGTCTGAGAATGACAATGTAGACATAAATTCGGGAAGCATGACGTCAGGAACACTTTGTTCTTCTAAAAAATCACCAAGTTGCAACACCAAAAAAGAGCAAGAACAGTGTCTATCTACAGATGCTACATTAAGCACTCTGGGTACTACAGAAAGGTAAAGTTACCTGTTAACAAAGTAAAAAAAATCTCTCATTTTGATTTCAGCTGGGGTAGAGTTTATTTTCTTCTTAGTAGCTGGTACAGTGCTGCGTTTTGGATTTAATATGAGAATAACATTGATAACGCACTGATATTTTACTTGTTGTTCAGCAGTGCTTACCTTGAATTGAGGACTTTTCAGTATCTCATCGTGTGCCATTGTGTAGGTGCAAAAGCAGATGAGCAGCCAGGACAGCTGATCTGAACTGGCCAAAAGGATATTCCATACCATGGAACATCATGCTCAGTGTGTAAACTGGAGGGGCTTGGCAAGGAGCTGCTGAAGACTGCTTGGGGACAGGCTGGGCATCAGTCAGCAAGCTGTGAACAGTTGTGCATCACTTGTTTCACTTGTGTTTCATTCCCCTCTGTCTCCTTTTCATTATTTTATATTATACTTTGTTTTGATTGTTCTTACCTAAACCCACAAAGTTTACCTTTCTTTTCTAATTCCCCTTCTCCCTAGCGTTTGGAGACTGACTGACTGCATCGCATTTATTTGTTAGCTGGGGTTAAGCTGCAACAGTACTTTAAAACTTTTGTGCATTTGTCCAGTTGTTTTTGTACAGCACTTGCTTTTGGAAGCACAGGCTCTGAGTTGTATTAGCTGCTATCTCCTATGTGCAGTGAAAGTCACTAGGTGGCATTCTTAAGTAATCTAAGAGTTTTTAACAGGATTAGGGGATTTCTTTGAAGGCAGTTTTCCTTTTTAAAAGGACCTTAATGGGTGAGAGCAGAAGGAAGTAATCAGGGTTTAGCGTCTGAATTTCTCACTAATACATTCTTGAATGTGCACCAAAGACTGAGCAGTGCCATTTGCACTCCTTTATAATTGAGAAATGGCAAGAAGACAGCAAGCTAATTTTATGTTTATCTAAGATATATTTTGAGTCTCTTCAGTTTTTCTTTCCAGTAGGAGAACTTCCTGTAATGATGCTTATAATACATGTGCAATATGAGGCAGATAATGCTACTTACATGCGATTGCTCTGGGTTATATTATAAGCTAACGTTACAGTCTTAGCTTACACAGAGCAGTCCCAAATCAATTTATTTTACAATTTTGCTGTTTTCTTGAATTAACTTCTGGTTTGCATCTGTCTCTGAAACTCAAACTCTAAAACTCTAAAATATCTTCCATAAATTATGTTGAAATCATGTCTCAGAGTCTTTGTGATAACAAGATAAGGGCCTTGACAGTCTTCTGGTCATCTATGATGGTGGACTTTCACAGTCTCACAGAATGGTTGAGGGTGGAAGGATCTCCTAGAAGTGTTCTGGTCCAAACCCCTAGTCAAGCCATCTGGAGCTGGCTGCCCAATACTGTGTCTAGACAGCTTCTGAATTTTGTCAAGGATGGAGACTCCACAGTCTCTCTGGGCAGCCTGTGCCAGTGCTTGGTAACCCTCACAGTGAAACAGGATTTCCTGGTGCTCCGAAGGAACCTCCTGTCTTGCACTGTTTGCCCATTGTCTCTTGCCCTGTCACTGGGTACACCTGGAAAGGGCCTGGTTCTGTCCTGTTTGCACCCTTCCCTTGGGTTTTTGTGGAAATGTTGAAGAGATGCCCCTGAGTCTTCTCTCCACGTTGAACAGTTCCTGCTCCTTCAGCTTTTTGTCACAGGAGAGATGCTTCCAGCCCTTTACCATCTGTGTGACCCTTTGAGGGGCTGTCTCCAGTGTGTCCAGGTGTCTTCTACCAGGGAGCCCAGGACTGGTCAGTCCTCTAGGTGTGGCTTCATCAGTGCTGAACAAGGGGCAAGGATCACCTCCCTCGGCCTGCTGGCAAAGCTTCTCCTGCTGCAGCCCAGGTCACTGTTAGCTGTTTATGCAGCCACAGCACCTTCCTGGTTCATGCTCAACTCGAAGACGACCAGGACAGCCGAGTTCTTTTCTGCAAAGCTGCTTTCTAACTGGGTGGCTTGCAGCATGCACTGGTGCCTTGGGTTGTTCCTCCCCTGGGGTATCTCCCCTTGCTGAACTTCCTGAGGTTCCTGTCAGTCCATTTCTCCAGCCTCTCCAGGTCCCTCTGGAGGCCTGTATAACCTTTGGGTGTCTTAGCAATTCCTTCTCGATCTGCCTCATCTGTAAACTTGCTGAGGTTACACCCTGCTCCATTACCTAGATCATTTGTGGAGATACTGGACAGGAGTCAGTACAGTATTGACCCATGACACACACTGCTGGTTGTTAGTCTCCAACTGGAGACTTTGTGTAACTGATTGCAAACCTCAGAACCTGACAACTCAGTCAGTTCTTAGTTTACTTGCAGTCCATACTTCATCAGCTCCCTTATCAGCATGTTAGAAGAGACTGTGTTCAACAGTGTTACAAGCCTTACTGGAGTCTAGTGAGACACTATTCACTGCTCTCAATTTATCGAGACAGTCATTTCATTGAAAGATGTTACCAAGTTCAGTAAGCATCACTTCCCCAGTACGAATCCATCCTGTCTACTCTAACTTTCATGTAGTAGTTTCCAACTTTAGTTGTTCCATCACTCTCCCATGGACCGAGATAACTCTTACTAAATTGTATTCTTTTGGATTACTCTTTGTCCGTTTTTATCAAATCTTGAGCTTAGAAGGCCAAGATTTTGGTCTTACTGATATGAATGTGTTTGAACAGATAGAAGAATTGTATACTTTTTGAAAGCCGTAGAACTTTGAGCACTGGAATTAGTGAATATAATGTTCCTGCGGCTGCTTAATTTTGGAGACCTATGTTGGTATAGCTGGTACTTTCCAATCTCTCTGACTTAATGTTGTTTTCCTTCCAAAAAATCTTTTCCAAAAGTAATCAGGAAGGTCCACTGGTGCAGACTAATTAACTCCTTTATGTAGTGTTTCTTTTCTTTATTTTTTTTTACATGTAGCCAACTAAGCAAACAAAAATTCAAAGCACAAGTTCATTTCTAGCTAGAAGTACTAAATGTCTGATAGTAAGCCAAGCTTATGGAGTGTATTTTGTAGTTCTTCAGGAGTAAAAGTTGAAACATATTTTTGTAGATCCAATGATAAATTAAGTTTTGGAGAAGAAAGTGGACAGAGAGCAAGGGAGCCCCATTGGAATCCAAGGCCTGACCTAATGAGACTTACTAGGAAAAGGGATTATCCTGAAGAGTGTGAAAACAGAGAAGAGGACAACACTGAGAGAAATGAAGAGTCATTGGTGTTGTTAAGAACATGTGTATCAGGGGTAAGTGCTGGTCATGTATTTTGAGCCAGTTATATACCTCAATCCTTTTGCCCAAGTTCTTAGAAAGATAGCTGGCACAGAAATCCAGTATATGGCTGGAAAAGGTTAATGTGATTATTTGATTTTTTCAAAATTCACTATTGGAAACTATGCTGAATAAATGGCCTTAGAATTTAAATACTGTGGAAATACTTTACATACACTGTTGTCCTAAGTTCTGTGGTTTATATGATCAGAAATTTGCATTATAATAAATGCATGCTAACATTGTTAAAAATAATTTACTGTTTGTTATTCATTGGACAATGGAAAATAAGGTGGTTAACTAACCTCAGATACTACCTAATATCTGTGTTAATATACTTAGAAATTAAAATTAGTGTAAACATAGTTGAGACCTTCTTCAATTTCCTCAGCAGGCCTAGCATAGCCCAGACTAGTTCCATCTCTGTCTAATGCTGTGAAAACTGAGTCAAGTTTGTCTGGTATTCCCTATTTTCTATATGGATGACTTAAAACTTCTAGTTAACATAAAATATTAGCCAAGTATCCAAAGCTGACAGAACTGTGGTTGCTGATGTTAGTCTGTGTATATGAATAATATTGAAATGCTTTTATATAAAGTATGAGAGTTTTTTCTTCCTACCTTATTCCCATGGCAAAAAAAAAATTGTACCTGCAAATTATTCTTTAAATTAATGAGTAAGTTTAGAAAATTATTCATATTTCTAGCTTCTAAAGAGTTGTTGCTCTTGATAAATTGAGCATGGTCTTGTTCTGTTAACTACCAGCAGCACTGGGAATTCAGGCATCATAGATAACACCAGTTAATGACAGCTCTGCTTTAGAGTCCAAAACTAAAGACAATGAGGAAAAATAGCCTAAGTTATCAGAGATGACAGCTAGGCGCATTCTCAAGATCCTCAAACCAGTTGCAAATGTTTGGCGCTTAATATGGTAATAATTACCTCCTCTGTTCAGCAAAACTCCAGTAATACAGTGGAAACTGGATCCTTCTCAGAAGCTACAAGGAAACACAATTTTGCAGAGCATTTTGAAGAAACATCGCATAAGACAATCAGGCAGGACATTACACTCCAGTCTCCAGGGATATCAGCAGAGAGTGCGAGTCAGGTAGAACAAGATAATGATTCTCGGCTTTCTACCTCACAGGAAAAGCTTTCAGACAATTTCCCAAGGTAAAACAACTGTTTCGCTTTACAAACCAAACTCAGTTGGTTGATAATTATTGGCCATAGTTCTGCCATGTGTTATCTGAGTGCATGCAGCATGTCAGTTTTTGAGTCTTCCATCTGAACTTAGCAGATGTGTGCAGATACTCTGTCTCTTACTCTGCCTGTATTCTCATAAAATGAACACAGCCAGCACTCTCACCAATCCATCCCATGGTTTCAACAGAAATTCCTGATTTTATCGGGGATGACTGGAGAGTACCTATGTTTGAGGCATAGGGATTGTGGGAATAATCTAAAGAGAAATTTTGGTCTGAAAGTGTCCTCTGATGCCATTTGCTTCCACTCCCCACCAGTTTACCAAGGCAGATGTTTTGGGAGCGAAGTTTGTCATTACTTTTGATACTCAAAATGGTTGTGCCCATGATTTTGAGGAAGGAAACTGTAGGTAACTGATTATTTAAGAGAATGTTGTCTGAGAAACCAAGGCAGATAAGTAGTTACCATCTAACAGTTTCAATTTGTAAACAATAGTCTGATCAATTAAACTATCGTAGTTTGGGGCTTCAAGTCTAGCTTTAGCAAAAGACAGCTGGAAGTGTTCCTATGACTTAAAAAGTGTGTGACTTCCACATCCCTCAAAATTAAAATTATTTCATAGTTTTCTAATCAAAGAATTGTGTATCTTGCAAGTTCAATTGTGAAGATTTCTAGTATTTTGAAACTGCTTAATACACATTTGCAGTCAGTCCCTTATGTACACAGGAAAAAATTAAATTTCTGATTAAATACTTATTTGTCACTATGTTGGTCACAATGATAACTTTTTTTAAATTGAGTTTATTTTGATTTGTAGTATCCCTCTCTTTGGAAGGTCTTGTATTTAATTGTTTTTGTTCTGCACTTTAGAAGGCAATTCAGGAGATCATCAAAACAGACAGCACTGCCAGAACATGTGTTGGAGCCAAAACCTGCTACTTCTTCTGCCTCTGAATGTGAGGCTTATTGTAGTGAGAAGGGGAGTCAAAGAAAAGAAGCTAAACTGCATGTTACCAGAGACAAAAGTTTGAAAACTACACAAAGAAGAAAATCTGGGAAGGAACCCAGAAGTTCAAAGATAACCTTTGTTACCCTCCGGGCTTCTGAAGAGGAGGAGGAGGATGAGGAGACAGATGACTTTGAGCTTGGTGATGAAGATGAATGCTTTGCATCAGAGGAAGTAAACAAGGCTCCAGTGTTTGTTCCTATAGGTCTTCGATCTCCAAAACCAATTCCTGTGCAGATACAGGAAACCATGGAGGAGGTATTGTGTAGTGGGGTTCTACAAATGTAATTTTGTTCTGAGTGTTTAAAAAGATTTTATTCTAATTGTATCTCTGAGTATTTGGGTTTTATCTGAACTCAAGTTAAGAATGGTGTTGAGAGTAGTAGGGATGTTACTTGGCACATACACTTGGTTTTGAACTTAATACTACATCAGCCTAAAATCCAGTTATGTTTACAAACTGTATATAGGTCTTCAGGGTACTCACCAGTTTCTTTATTGGGGTTGAATATAGGCCCAGACTCAGTGCTCTTTCATGTGTTTTGGGGCCCAAGATGGATCAAATGGAGCACTTCAATTTCATATTTGAATGTTAGGAAATGAGGGTATGAGAAAAATGTTTCTGTATGTCATGTCACCCTTGCCATGGAAATTTAACTGTCAGGTAGGCTGACCTGACCAGCAGCCAGACACATACATCTGCTTGCTCACTCCCTTTTCCTGTGGGATTAGGAGAAATTAGAAGGAGAACAAGAAGATTTCTCTAGTGACATAAAGACAGTTACATACATGAAGGAAAAGCTGCGTGTAAATGGAAAACAAAATAAGGAATTTATGGCTGCTTTCCACTGACAGGTTACTTTCTGAAAATCAGGGCCTGTGTAAGAGTAACGTTGGAAGACAAATGCCCTAACCACAAATGGGCTCCTCCTCTCCTTCCTTTCCCTGAGCTTTTATCTGAGTTTGTCATCATATGATACAGAATTCCCCTTGATCAGTTTGGGTCAGCTGTCCTAGCTGTGTGCTCTCCTGATCTCTTGCTTACCCTGGCCTCCTTTCTGGGTAAAAGAATAGGAAAAAAGCTTTGACATTGTGCAGGAATAGCAAAAACGCTGGTGTGTTACCAACACTGTTGTAGTTATAAATCCAAAAGACGACACTATGTGGGCTGATATGAAGAAAATTAACTTCATCCCAGCCATGCCCAGTACAGTCTTCACCCTCTATTTCATACCATTTGTATCATGCCTAGGTTTTACACTATCCCGTACAAGACATTTTTCTGTTTTTTTCTCTGTCATCGCTACTTTACCTTCACTTCAGTGCTTTTTGCTTTCAAGTGCTTTTTTGCTTATTATTACTGCTAGTCCTCTTTCTCTCTTTGCCCACTGAAATCCTGCTTTTTATTGTCTCCAGGATTGATCACACTGTTTCTTTCTCCAGGTGAAACAGCAGAATAATTTAAAGCTCAGTCAAAACACCAAGAGATCTCTAGAACAATAATGGGCAGCAAAGTAGCTGCATGGAAACTTTTGCTAAATCCTTGATTTCAGAGATGTGGAATATATATTACTTGTGGAGATTATAATCAAGTTGCCTAGTTTAACATTTACAAGACATGAGTACTAGTGAAGGATGTGCTTAGATATCCAAGGACCCAGCTGTTCTAAAATTCAAATAGGTCAGTCAAAACATTACAAATTGCACTTGTAAAGTGTAAGCCTTTGAGAGCAGCCCAGACTAAGCAGTGTTTTCTGTGAGAACTTCCATGGAAATACCATAAACTTTCTGTCAAATTTCAAGTCCTCATTTCTGAAAATGTCAAATGTCTGAAGTTCTCAGTGAAAACACAGTGCTGAAGGAGACAAAAAAATAGGTAAAATGGTGAGTGGGTGTGTTTCTGTATATCTGCATGTCTGTTCCCTTTCTTGCTTTGGAAATAAGTCTGAACTGTTTTTCCATCCTGAAGACTTAGAAAGCAGAGAAAGAGTAAAGACTAAGAAAAACCACTTGAGGTAAACAGTCACTGTAAAAGATCTCAGCTGCATAACTTAATTTGGTGGAGAAATGAGTGACTAGAAACAAGGCCTTAGGTCTGATGCTTCCACTTAGCTACAGGTAGCGGTACCTGTTCTGCCTTCTGTTCATACCACTGCTTCCTTCTCAAATCAGAAGGTATGATTTTTGTGAAGGATCCTTCTAGATGTTGAACATCTGTTAATATGTGAGGTTTATAAAAATTTGCATTTGACAGATTTTCTTTTGTGTCTGATGAACTGAAATACCTGTAAAATTACTTTTACAGCTGGAAATACCTGTGAATATCCCAGATGTGCAGGTGGCTACTGATGCTGAAAGTCTTCCTTGTGCTTCTCTCCAACCAGTACAGAGGGAAGAAAAAATAAGCACCTCAATAGCTGTAAGAATGTCTTTTGTTTGTTTCATTGGTCATACAAAGCTATTTCAGCAGTCTCTTGTTGCCATGTCTGAATGTAACTGTGTAGCTTATTAGACTGCTACCTGTCCCACACAGATGTGAGGTACAGCTGTGGGAAAACTACGTTAGTAAATATTTTGTTAGCCTTAAAACCAGGGTAATGTGTGGGCACAGAATTTATGTGTAAGCATTAAATAAAAATTACGGAGCCATTTTATATAGAACTTTGATATTGTTTTCTTTGTATTTAAGGAAGCAATCATACGTGAGAATCCAGAGGTGGACAAAGGTAGATATGATACAATCTTGCTCATGTATTTCCTGTTAACTTGCTACCGATATATACATTTCCCCTTTTCTTAAAATATGTTTCCAAAGCTGCCACTGTCTTGGCTGACAGGCTCATCTGTGTCTGCAATGGGTCAGCTGGAACTGGCTGTGTCCAGGGCAGGCCCCTGCTGCCAACACCTTGCCATGTGTACCCAGTACACCCATTAAAGGCAGTCTTGTTGCTAGTTTGAATTTGCTAGATGAGAATGGCTGCTTGTCGACAAGCATTTTGATCCATAAGGTCAATTTAAAAAATACATACTTCACTGTATTGGTGATAGTGTCAAATACTTTTTGGGTATGGGTAAGTGGATTTCTGATTAATGTGTTTGTGATTTTTAATGTGTGTAAACAACTTCACAGGAATTAACGATGGAAGCACTGAAGCTGCTATGACTTTACTTGCAATGGGTGATCCAAATTTCCAGTTAAAAACAAGCACTGAAGGTATGATATGATTTATGGGACAAAGCCTTGCTCTTACGCTTTGTGGGCCCACCTAAGGAGGGATGGAGCAGTGGCTGCAAAGCTCTTCCACATGCTGCTGCATAGCAGGGGGTCAAGAACCTTTTATGCTTTTACCCCTATTGAATTGTAACACATAGTGAGTCCAGCCAGTGCAGGTTGGCTGGAAAGAGGCAGGCACCCTGCTGAATACTGCCAACTGTATCACTGCTAGAAAGTTGTTTCGGGGACCTGTTTTACGAAGCACATGTTTTAATTGATCTGGACACATAAACTGGACAGAAGAAAGGGATCAAGCTTAAATGGCTATAACTTTCAGGGATCTTTTCAGACCTTTATTGTGAAGCATAGCCTTTTCATCCTAACTAGCTGCAACCTGAAATTATCTGTGTTTTTATAGATTTTGTGTAACATTTATTATTTGCATTTTGCTAAATATAAGTTGTTGTTTTCTTACAACAAAAAGTGTTTTCTTAGGACTGTGTTTATCTGGGATTTGAATCTGTGTCTTTTTAGAGAATACCAACTTTGTTAAATGAGGCTTGAAGTTATATAGCTTTATATACATACGAAACGTGAGTGTTTTAAATGAAGTTTTCCCATTCTTTTTGTTGTTATTACCAGAACAGACACATATGTCTCCTGCTCAAGATGACTTGGACATGGCTGATAGCCTTGTAATTCATACCTACTCCAAAGAAAATAGAACTTCTAGTCAGTATTTGCTTGCTTCAGATACCTCTATCAAGGAATTGCTGTTTTCTGAGGATGGAAACAACATCAATGTAGAGCATCAAATCACTGGCACAAGAATAGGTGTTGAACAATATTCAGAGATGGATGCTACTGATACCAGGTTAAATAACTACTTCATTTTCTTTAGTGAGAGAGATCCTCTGGTACTGCTTACTTTTGCTGTGTTATTTCTGGCATTTTTATTGATTTGCAATCAGTCTTGCTTAAGTAAAGGTTTCTTTCTCAGTTTATGTAATTCAGTATGATAATCTGCAAAAACTCCTCGTCTCTTTCTTACTACTTTCATGAAGTGTTTGTATGTAATTTTGGGTATCTACAGCTAGTTTTTCTCTACTTAAGTTTACCTGGGGAAGGGGGGAATTAAAAATATGCAAACTAATGATGTACCGGATCACTGTTAATTAGCAGGCTCTTTTTTGCAAAGTTCTCTTCAGCTAATCAGTCCAAGGCAAATTGCTTAAGTGTCACTGCTGCTGTGAGGGTTTAGATCAAAGATCTAGAGCAAAGGGATGGCAAGAAACCAGTTGATCTTCCATCATTATGGTTTCTAGCAATTGATCTTTTATAATTTTGCATTTATGAACTAGAAAACAGCTTAATGGGACACTTTTCCAGAGAAACATCTGCTGGTGATCATATATAATTTGAAATATTATTTCACTTGTTGATTGCTTGAACAAATGATGAGATTATATGCGTTGAAAAATCTTAATCCAAGATAATTTATTTTGCGTCCAGTTTTATTATATTATTAAACTAGAATTTACTACCATGTCATATGTATTAGATTTCTGATCTTCTCCTGTCATTTAAACATTGCAATTTTTCTTTCTTTTTCTAAAATTCCTTTATATTAGAAACCTACTAGTTTTCAGCATAACAGTCTGTTTCAATTCGCAGTTTTTTTATCCTGCTGGTTAGTTCTCTGTCTTCTCTGCCAGCTGCAGCCTGCATTTCAGGTCTTCATGGATCTACCCCATATTTCTTCCATCTTCTCTTCACTAGCTGTCAAAAATCAAGGATTCTATTTATGACATTTTTCCTTTTACTTGCAGTGGTAGCTCTTTGTCTATGGTAAATAGTATGAGACTGACAGGAGACAGACGCCTGGAGCCCGAGCCAACATCTGGAATATTGAGGTCCAATGAAGACATAATGCAGGAGATACTTAACACAAATGTACTTGTGGAACAACTAGAGCAAATTCGAACTGGTAAGCCTATTTCTTGTCGTAGGGCTCTGTAATGGTTATTCAGTAGATTCATATCTACTATGAATCTATCTATTCAGTAGATTCATGAAATGAGACAAAGCTGAAAATCCTCACTTTCTGTTCATGTTTACAGATAGTACATCACCACTGTGACATAGGGTACCCATTTGTGATATAGTTTTATACACAAGTATACCTTTCACTATAAAATTAAATGAAATCTGGATAGCAGTTTTTTCCTGCAGGTATTAAATTATCTGGAAAGCACTTAAATTACTGGACTGCCAATTACAGAAATACAGTCTAATAGAGTATACTTTCTTCTATTATTACTATCTTTTCCTTCCATTAAAAGTAGAAGAGGATATAGAAGGAACTGGCTTTCTATTCTTAAAGCAATTGCAAAAAAGGTGCTCTTCAAACTCTTAATTGTCTTCATACCATAGGAAAGGCAAGATGAGATATGCGTATGTGCCTTATTTATATATGACATGCAAGTATACATGTACGCATTCATGTATATGCTAATGTATCTGTATAAACATACTACAAAACTTTAATACTTATAAGATTATATGTAAAAAGTAATATAGATATGTATATACACCTGCAGACTGAAAAGAAATTATTTAAATGTTTATTCTTATGAAACTTAGATCCTACAACTCTGAGGGGTAATGCAGAAATGCAGAAGGTGGAACCAGAACCAATCAAACCAGCTGCAGATGATTCTTCAGTTCTTCATGACTTTGCAGCTGGAAATACGGAACTTACGAAGCAAGTAGACAAAACTGAGAGGTTTGAAGACTCATTTAATACTGACTTTATTCCTACTGTCTCTTAAAATATGCAGCTGAAGTTCAGGTGTAGTATGCAACTGTAATGGAAACAGTGTGCTCACACTGTGTGTGTTTATACAGATAGTGTACAGTTTAGACTTCAGGTTTTTCTCCCTTGCCTGTTGTGCTACAGCTTTTGGAGACAGAACATTAACTTTCGTTTGGTATTTCAGAACTTACCTTGCTGCGTAACTGTCTTCCATGAAACTGCAAGGAAATGTTAGAGTTGATTCATTTAGAAATGTTAATGAGCTTATAAGGCTTCCTGCTTGATTGTACTTTCAGTAGGAATGTCTCCATTAATCGAGTTAGAGAGGCCTTGCCCTGAAATTCTTAATGTACATTTGTTCAAAGATTATGCATTCTGTTTAGTACAGCGATATAGTTTTTAAAGAGGTGTTTTGTTTCCTTGTAGTTCCATTGGATTCAAATTAAATACATTGTAACACTGAATTCAGCGTTTGTGCAGGGTATCTTTGGTTTCAAATTAACTAGATATATACCTTGCAGAACAGAAAAGCAGATAAGAGGTGCTTGTGGAAATTCAGGAGACTTAAGACATCTAACTGCATCACCCAAACCTGAAAAATCACACCTTGGACTAGAAGATTATCCAAATGCAAGTTCTGTGGATGAACTGTCTGAGCGAAGTCCTTGTCCTCCTGAGTACCATATATGTACAGTCAACTTTACTCAGGTAAAGAGCAAAAACTTAATTACAGTCCAGAAGTGCCCAGATTTTGAAATTCTGTAAAGAAAGAGGTTTTCAGTGCAAATGTACTCAGTAGTTCTAAAGACCTGGTACTTCAGCTGGTAAATGAAACTTGCTTTTTCACAGAGGTGTATCCAAATAATCTTTCAGACAAACTTAATCTTTGTAAACTCTGTTTAGAACAGAGTAATGTATTACTTATTAGTAATAAGTGATATGCATTAGCAAAATTGTGAGGAATTTTTGAGAAGTTTTAGTGGAAAAAGTTACCTAGGATTTGTGTATCCATTCAGAGTGACCTCTTACTGTTATATTTGTTTACATTAAAATGAAGTAAAAATGTTAGTGCTTGGATGGACCATGTTCATTGTCACTTTCATTTGTTTTGTTTGAAAGAAACTGCATCCTTTGTTATGCTCTTTCTCATTTATTTAAAAAAAATATGAGCTTTACATCCATATTATATGTCATACACAAATTTTGCCTATTTTTACATATATCTGTATAATTTATATCATCATTATGTATGTTGTCACGGGCAAACAATATGTCTTTCACATCCATTTCTTTGCAGTGTTTTGTGTATCCATGTTTTATTATAAATGAGAGTTACTTATTTCTTTACAGAGAAAGATTAATTCTCAGTTCCCTCAGGGTTTCTAGTGTTGTCTGAGATCAGTGAGCACGTAGTTACAGTGGAACAGCTGATCCATAGAAGCTTGTTTTCCAAATGCAGCAGGTTGCTGTGTAAAGGCTGATTTCATATTAGGACGATGTGCAAGAATGATGCTGCTCTTACAGGCCTGGCAGAGAGTATGAGAAAAGGCAGCTTGCAGGAGATTATTTCTGATTTTAGCAAAGGGACAAGCCATAGAAGGGAAGAGATAGATGAGCTGTGGAGCTTGGTGTTTTTCTTTGGCACTCAGTGGTTTGTTAAGTGCTTTCTTACTGCCACTGAACAATTTATTGTGTGAGTCATCTCTGACAGAGTTGTGCTGTAGGAAGTATGAATTTATTTTGACAAACCATCAATACAGGCAACAAGCTGCACATAAATTTTATATTTCCCCACTGTTTTTTGTCCTTTTTAGGCTAATACTCTTCAGCCTAGAACAGCTAGATGTGAAAACTGACAAATGAAATAATGATTATGTGATTGGATTTTTTAGCTCTTCTGCGTTTGACATGCTTTGTTTCTTCCTGTTTCCTAGAGTAATTTCCCAGATTTATTAAGTTGTTTTATTTCAACTGTGTTGTTTCTAGAATGAAGCTTGTACTCAGGATGCTCAACAACATTGCATAAGCAGCACAGAAGAAACTTCAGGTATAATGTGCTAATATTCAAAGCTAGCAAAAGCTCACATTTGTGTATTGCAGTTACTAAAAGATAAATTAAAACCCTAAAGTTTTAATTAAAAAAAACCCTAAAATTTTCATTTTAATGAAATGACATGATTAATCAATCTATTCCATTAACACAAATAATGATCTACAGCATAATGACAGTCTCCTCCCTAACCTCTTGTCTTTACATTTTGTTAAAAGAAACTAGACTTGGGAACTATAAGAATAGTCCTCCATTAAGTTTAAATATCAGAGGAAGGGAAACTTGTTCTCTTTGCCCTGTTGTGAGCTTCTTCTGCTTACCTTGTAGTAGGTATAGCAGTTTTTAGAGCCCTTTATGCACTTCTGACTCACCCGTCAAAAACTGAACACGACAGAGGGAGAGAAACTGTGTAGTTTTCCACTGGCTTAGTGAGCTATAGTTTCTCATGAAGTTACCAAGTGAATGTTGTTCTCAGAGTTGTGTGAGTAGGAGGGCTGTACTGTGCAAGTATGGAGCAGGAGGGAAAGGAGAAGCATAAGACAATCAAACTTCCTTCTTTAGCTGTACTGAGTCAACAGATTAATGCCTAACTGATAAGGTGTGATGAAAGTTACGAAGATGATTTCAGCTCTTCCCTAGAACAAATTGAAGTGGTTAGTTTGGAACCACTACTTGTCTAACATATGGGGTGATCACAGTGGTGGAAGCCCAGAATACTCACTTTACATGGAAACTGCAGTCCAAAGCTGTAACTCATGAGCTTTTGTAAAAGATTAGGCTAATACTACTTCTTAGATGTCTGTTGCTATGCTTTATTATTGCAAGAATCTTGAGATGAGGCATCTTAAATCATGTTTAATTAGATGAAGAATCCAAGCAAGTTGAGGTTGGAATAACAGCTTTACATCAGGAGCTGTCTTAAATAATGGAGTACCATTTTTTTTTCCGTCTTTTGAAAGCTTTACAAATGTTTGTCCCTTCAATTCTAACAGATGGCAGCTGGTAGTTATCTGTTAATGTCTGTCTTTCATCTTTTAAATTCAAGACTATGCTTTTCAGATCCTGTTCTGCCAATCCGTAATGAGGGGGGAAATCCTGTGCTTACCTTCAAAACAGCAGACATCTGCCATTTAAAGAAATTTACTCTTAATACCTGAGAGTTGCAATTAAAGACAGAGAACCATTTGACCATCATGACATACGTTTAATTAAATTGCAAATTGCTCTTTAATACTAGAACACCCATTTAAAAATCTTCATCATTACTAGGCATTTTTAATATTTCTCATTCTGAGTGGTAATCAGGATTCCTGTGCAGTGAATAAGCACTAGGAGATGATAATGTGTATCTCATCTGAGAAGACAGGAAGCTTATTGTCTCAAGAATATGCCCAGTGCCTTTTTCCATGGAGAAATGAGCCTAAAATTTCAGTACTTCATGTAGGGAGGACATGAAGAGAACAGCATAATTTCATGTTTGATTAATAGTTTCTGTTATTTATTTCCCTGAAAAAAATTTTAGTAGTGAACGATGATCATAGATGTCCAGAGGAAGAACAGACATTCATTTTAACATTGGTGGAAATCCCAGCTGACTCAAAAGAGTTTGATGCATCTGCTATGGTGGAGCAAACTTCTGAACCAGTACTACCAGCCCCAATACTTATCAGCCCAATAAACGCAAGTGAAACAACTGTGACTGAAATGGAGAGGTAAATTTTTCATTTTTCACCAAAGTGAAACACTTTTTGTGTACCTTGATTGTTCTCTGAGTGTGCAGTACAGATTAGAACTTCTCAAAAGAAGAAATGCAAGAGGAAGTAATTTTGACGAACTGGTTAGAGAATTAAGAAAGTAAAAAGAGTTCTAATCCGATTTGAAAAAGATTCTATAGGTGTTTTAAATTTAGTGTTTTAGTTAGATGGGATTTTGGTGTCACTTTAATTCTGATTTACCCTTAAGAGTAGGTCTTCCTTTTTAGTAGAAGTAATTTGTCCAGCTTGAGCCTTATTTTGCCTTATGGATATTTGCAATGCAAAGAAATTGAAGTCAGAAAATCTAAGCATGTTTGCATTTTTACAGTAGTTTTACAGCCTTGTAGAGTAGCGGTTTATTAATTGCTCTTCCAGATTTTTCATGTGGATGGTCTTCTGGAAAACATGATAAACAGTAGATGTAAATTCTTATATTATTCTCTTGAGTTTGCTCTGTTCAAAAGGCAGACAAGATGAAAACACAAACTAATGAATTACTCCAAAGAATAATAGCTGGTTTGTCTACTACAATCCAAAAGGGTTTGAATTTCTTTTACTAAGAGTACTTCTGAATGCAGTGTAACAAATTTTTATGACAACATTACAGTTGAACTAAATCTCTTAGTTTGGGAGAAAAAAAAACAAAGGAAAAAGACATTTTGAAAATTTGAATTGTTGCAAAGTAGTAAAACACTCACAAACCCAATACTATACAAATATAAGTCCTCAGATCATAACTAGAGATATGATGCAATTCCAAATGATTGTGGAGAATCTTGCCCTGTGATATCAGATGCTAATATCATTCCTTTTCTTGAAAGGATAGGTCTTTGAGTGAATGTTGGCTACACAGTGTAAGAATTCTAACTCCCGTGGAACTGCTGATGGTAAACAGAATTGCTGACAGGCAGAGATAGAGTACATGTTCTGTCTCGTTGTTCCTGTACTGCTTTACCATATTTTCCTAGTCTCTGCTGCTTCTCTGTATGTCTTATATATGTCTGTAGAGCATGTAGGGGTTCAACTGTGCAGATAAATAATACTTTATTTTAGCGTTTTCTAGGGCAGTTAATAAGTTGCCATATTTTTGCATCGTATGAAAGGACCAAGTGGAGTTCAAATAGAACAGCTAAACTAGGTTCGATATGACCAGAAAAACTAACTCCAGATAGCACAACGAATCGTTTCTTGGTAGTAAATGATACATTTGAAGTTAATATTGACATTGAGCAAGAAAGAGCCTCAGCATAGATTCCTATGTAATTTCCATACACAAACCTTATACAAAGTAAATTTTGGCTCCTTCTACTGTCACAAATAATGACTATATATATATATATATATATACAGTATTGGATCCTTTACAACTGCAGCTGGTGAAGTTGCTGCACCTTTAAACAGCAGTATGGAAACCAAGCAACTAGAGAGTGCAGTAGACCCTGTTCCAAAGTTGCAGACAGCTCAAAAACGGTTGGCTGCTGAGCTTGAAGAGAGTGATTTTCCTCCTTCCAAGAAAGCCCTATCTACTGTTGCACTGGAAGATAACCTGGAAACCACGTACAAGGTGAGATCATAATCTATGAGTTTTCATGCATGGGATAGATGCATAAAAGAGCATTTTAATTATGTTTATTTTTTAATGGTGTCACTTGCTTAAATATGTACTGCCTGAACAACTTAAAAGGAAAATCAATACCCATAGGTTGCTTTTGATTTTTAAATCTGCAACAGGTTTTGGGTGTTTGTTTATTTATTATTAGTGGTTTTTTGAGAATCTCTAGGCTCTCAGGTTTTTTAAATTAGACTTCCTAGGAGACAGACTGGTAATATGTCTTACTCGGTTCATCCTGCGTCGCTCTTATGACAATGGTATTTCAGGAGAGGAAACTCTGGAGGTATATTGGATGACAGGCAGGATGTCTGGGTTCACTGAATGATGTTTTGAATCTGCACTGTGTTTGTTACATGAAGAAGCTGTTAGATAGATATGTTCCTATTGATTCTTAACATAGCAGGTACTAGTTTAAAAGAGCAAGCTGCTAGTGAAAACAAACTACCCTCTTTCCAGCTTCCTTCTGTGCTTTTTTACAATATGACCAAGCTTGTGGCAGCAACTACCTTTGATTTTTTAAGTGGGCTAAGATTGTATAGTGTACCTTGGTGTAGGAATGGTGGTAATTTCCCACATCATTCAGAGAGCTTTTCTAAGAAGGGATGGATAACAATCTTCTTCCTTCTTTGATCTCTTATCTCAATATCCTTGTGTTGAGTAATTTATCATAAGAACACATTGAAAAGCCTGCTCAGGAAATGAGTTAAATGATGAATGATGCTGTCTTTTGTATCAGTCCTGCTCTTAGAACTATTTATGTATGATATGAGTTTATCAACTTCATTGTCTCTTCTGTATTGAGAGCAATGAAAAAACTTTTATTTTCTTTTTTAAATACAGGGTTATTCAATTAAGTCTGCAGATGTGCCAGTGGTAACTTCTGGTAGGTACACTTAAACTTGTAAATCAAAGTATAATGAATGTAAACACATCACAACTTAATATTAGTTGTCATGCTAAATAGTTCTGTCTGAGGCCATCTAATATAAAAGTAGAAACAAATTTTCGTGGTACTACACTAATACCACCATTCCATGCTTTCTGCTAAAAATTATGAGTGCCAAATTATATAAATGTTATTTAATAATGGTTCTAAAAGCATTGCTGCACCTAGTTTATTAGTAAATTTGAGAGGGTTTTTTGACTAAGCACATTATAAGCACGTTATATTCTGTTAAGCAAATATTCCACCTGTTGAAGAGACTAATGATTGAAAGTATTAACTGGCATTTTAACCACACTATGCCAAAATAGTTTGGTTTTATTTTGTTTTGCATTTTTATTAAAAAAGTATGTAGTTGTTTAGGAGCTTAATCTGCCTCTGAAGAAAGAGAGAAAAAAGCAGAACTGCTGACAATGCAATCTTTGTTGATCTGAGCCTGTGAAGGGCTTGGTGAATTGTAATTTTGGCCCAGAAAAAGACTTTAAATTAAAATTTAAAACCACACTTCTACCAGCTTTTCCCCATAGCATCTCTATGTTCTTAAAGCTTTAAAAGTAGACCGTGAACTTTTAATTTGTAGTAGTGACTTATAAAAATAAATGGACAAATAAAACTAAACAAAAATTCAGCACTTCTGTTGTAATGGTGCAAGCTATTTTAATACAATTTTTTTGGGGCTCTTATGTTACCACTGAAGTCTTTGACTCTCAACTCCTTTTACAGGGAATTCTTTTCAAAAAACAGAGTCTTCAGCAAAGGAAAAAATACTTACATCTGTATTGGTGTCTGAGCCTATCTCACAACTGGCTGAGAGAAGCCAGCTTGAGACTTTGGAGAGCTTAGGGAAAACACCACTTGAGAATCCAGCATCCAAAAAGGAAGAGGAGGTTATGTCTAGATTAACCTCTAACAGAAAAGCAGAAATAAGTAGACAAGGAAAGCAGGAGAATGTGCATGAATCTGCACAGCTGGAACATACTGGAAGCCCAGCATCATCTTCAAAAACTCCATTACTCAGGTATTCAATAATTGCAAGAATGTTTTCTCAGCTTGTTCTGTAAAAAAAGATAATGTTTCTGTGTTATTTCTATCTTTTCAGTACCATTGTTTGTAACCTGTATGGCTAAGAGTTAACAGTATCTATAGTCACCTGCAAATCAGAAAGGATCAAACTGTCTGCTTTGACATTTGCATAATTTTACTCATTAAGAATGAGTAGATCAACTGGAGGCCACTACTAACATGTTGTGAGTCTATTTAGACATGATAGATGCCTCTTGTCAGGCAGACATCCATTGGCTGTGATAGGAACTTAGGATAATTTTTTGTTTTCCATAGGTAAGTCTCATGTTGTGACATATATTCATCCACTTGTTTTGGTGTTTGTCCTGCCAGTAAGATTTGTTACTGGTACAGTACTGAGCACACTGAATTTTTTGGACTAACTTCAGTCATTTCCACAAAGGAGTTTCAATCTTGACAGCTCAGAGGATATTTCTCCTACATGTCTGTTGACTTGATTTGTTAAATACACCTTTCTGTACTGTTTGTTTAAATGTTTTGAGTTCCTGCTCTCTGTTGTCCTTTCTCAATTAATTTGATTGTAATGCTCCACTGGCGTCTTCTAATCTGTCATTTTACTTTTTCATTATGCTTGTGTGAGTACCAATACTGGCTATTTATACTTGGGACATCCACAGCAATTGGATAATGATGCAGTAACATCAGAATCCTTGCCTTAAAGTTTACTTTCTAATTTGTAAACTCTTACCAGCATAAAAAGTTAATGCTTTGTGTACCTCCTCAGGTGACTTCCTGAGCTCACTGGTCTGGGTTTGCTACTGTAAGGCTAAAATTTAGGTAGTCTGCTGTAGCCCCATCCTTGGGGATCAGGTTTTGCATTGATTACATGAAGGATGCTCAGAATTTTCAGTTTGTTCTTCAGGAGTGTGTCTCCATCCTTCTTGGAACCACACTGAAAGTCTGGTAGCTTGTTACAAGCTGTGGATTAGCAGCAAATAATAGGTTTCTGTTCCTAGGGTTAAAAATTGTCAAGAATCTCTGTGACTGTTCGCAAAACCTCTTATACCAGAATATTCAGTAATACGAAGGCCTTTCTCAGAATGATGTTTTGGTGTTTTCCTTAGAATTTTCATATGTCCTGTTGGTGTGTGTTTGTTTCCTGTGTAATGAGTTGGACTCCTGCAATGCTATTTACATCTTCCTTTTATGGAGCAATCCTATGACGCCTTGACTATATTTGTTTTGAACAGGGGTGGACGAAAACCACTGGGGTTTTTATCTTTAATTTGCAAAAAAAGTAATTCTGAATCTGCAGAAGACACCAAAGGGAATAGAGGGAAGATCCAAAAGCCTCGAATTGTGACTCCAAAACGAAGTCTAAAGAAACCCACTCCATCCACTGAGGATGATAGGGAATCTTGTTCCTTTCCCTCTACATCATCATCTGTGGAACATGAGCCTGTAGCTGCTGATGCTGCAGTTATGGTATGAGTTTACTTTTGAGCACCCATGCATTTCTGATGAGTGAAGAGCAGAGAATTAGTTTCAGGAGTGGGTAGATGAGTGGGTAGCATTCATGTTTTGGGACCAGTATCTGCTCTGGTTGACAAATTCTGACATGTGCATGCATAGGAAACCTGTAAGGGAACTAAGTAAGTTGATTTTTCTCTGGATGGATATCTATTTATTTCTCATTTTCAGTAAACTCTGAAAGTTTACTCTTCAGAGTAAACTCTGAAAAGTTTTTTGTTTTCCTTTGGTCAAAACTTCCTACATAAATAAAATACCCCTACAAAATGTGCATATATATGTAAATGTATTCACAGATACATATGGATGAAGACCATAAGAACAACCTTTTCTTGTTTTATCAGGTTCCAAGTAACAACTCATCTGAGAAGCTACCTCTTTTTGGTAAAGATCAAGAGAAGGAAGGAGAGCCAACCAAAATCTCTGAGTACTTTTTCAGTGACATCTTTATGGAAGTGGATGATTCAGAATAGCAAATGGGTTTTATAAAAACCTAGGATCACAGAATATACTGCAACAAGATAAGAGTATTTAAAAAGTTACAATTTGTTCTGATATTCATTATGCCACATTTACTGCCAGCCAGTTATAACAGTACCAGATAAAATACCAAGAAAGTGGTCTCTTTAACATTCAAGGGAAACTGAACATTCTCGAAAAGTGATGTAGCAGATTCAAAGGAGAAGAAGGAAAGGATGGGCTGAAAAGCCTCATCCCCTGCTCCTCCTCTAAAAAACTGTGTGCAATTACTAATAAACTCCCAAAACATGCTACTGGAACTAGGCCGCAGAGTAGGATGAAGAGCCATAAACTATTCATATCTTGAACAAACTCCAGTACCTTTGTAAACTCCCTATAAACCATTATCACTTAGCCCAGCACAGTAGCAACCTGAATCCATGCCCCTCTACTGTAAAAGCTATGTGTCAGGGACACTACTGGACCTTTCTCTGCATAAGAAAATAAGCCTAGGGACCAGAAAGTTATTAAAACCTCAAAAAAGCCTAGGGACCAGAGACACAGGAAGGGCTCCACCTAGAGAGATATTACGAATTCAAGCAACATGCCTACTGACTGCTTTATCCTAATACAGAGTAAGGTCAACCAAAATGCAATCAGTACAGGATTTTTTCCACTTCTCAAGCCCCACGTTGGTCGCTAAGAATGTATTTGTCCTCGTTTAGGGCAAACTTGGGTGGCAGCTTTCAAAGGGGTCCCTCTAGAAAGCAGATTCAAGTGGCCACTCCCCTAACCGATTTGGGAAAAGAATTCCTTTAAGAAAAGTGGAAAAAAACTGTTTATTTAGCAAGCAAAGTATTCACAAGCATAAAAAATGAATAATATTAAACAATAAAACCTCTCACTCTTCTGAAGAGATGGCAAATTCAGAAAGTACTTGTGGAGTGTAGCTCAGTTCACTCAGTTTCTTATCAGTCCCTCTGGTGCTGGAAAATGCCACATCCTGGGCCCTGGTGGGCCACAGGTGTGAGCTTCTGGTGGTTTTGGGTTTTCAGTCCAGAGCAGGGGTGCTCAGTTCCAAGAACAAGAAAAGCCAGAGTCCGGGGAACTTCTCTGCCTCAGCTAGCTAAAAAAAAACTAACTAAAGAGTAAAGGAGAGCTCTCTCCTGGTGTCTGGTGTCCGTGCTGCAGACAACACAGTCCGTGAGAAGGAATGCGGGGCAGTGAGTGCAGTTTCTGCAAACAAACCACACGCTTCTTTTCTCCCCCTTCATTCTCAGAACCAGTCTTAGAGGTGCAGAACTTAATATCCAGCATAAACAGAACACATGATTGGGGATACAAGTATCATAAAGGCACCCTTGGGCATTTTGTTAATGCTGTGAAGATGAAATGGATTCTTTCTGAAGCAACTCGGGCACTTTCAAAATGCTGACATAGTCTAAACCACTACAGTGATGTCATTGGACCAGATTACTGACTGCTGGTTTATGGTTTCACTTGTTTAGACATTTATAGTGAGTGCATGACTATCCTACAGAAAAGTGCAATGAAATAATGTTTAATCTTGCAACAAGTATCCTTTTCCATTTTAATGCAAAAGTTTTTTGGTACTGACTATTCAGGTTCTTCTTTTAGTGAAGTATGGTATGTTAGAATGAGGAATTAACTTTTTGGGGATAATGTAATATCTGAAAAATACTGGGGGTGGTATAGTAAATAAAAACGTACATATGTCAAGCACTGCAGGTATTTTTATTAGAATCTCCAAGTTAAGTATTTTTGTAAGAATTTTTTAACCAGATAATTTAAAAGATCCTAACCTGAAAAGCCCAATAGGATTGGTTAAAAATGTGTTGAAAACTTAAGAACACAACTTACTAAAAGATGATAACACAAGGTTAATATTTGCAACCTTTTTTATCACTTGGAGGAAGAGATTGATGTTTCCTAGTATAAATGTTAATTTTCTTCTAAATTGGAAAACAAAGCTACAGATACAATTTCTTTTTCTTGTTTTTACATGTAGTTGTTTGTGTATTTGCTGACTTCCTCGGTTTCCCTTGTGCAAAGTAGCACAAAGAGACAGGATTTAAATCATGATTAAACAGTGTCACTTTTGAGGATTTGCTGCTTTGAAGCAGTTGAATTAAAAGGGTTTTCTTATGTTGTGTGTCTACTTGTACTGTAATTTGCTATAAAATTCTGGTGTAGCTTTAGATTTTAGTCTAAGTTTTTCCTTACCTCATCAAGAAATTTGTCTTCATGAGGTATTTAGGTTTATGCACTCTCAAAGTCAGGTGGTCACAGAAAGATTCAATATTTATTTGGAGACTCCTGCTTGCACGAGCTTCAGTAGTTTTAAAATTTTCCCCATTACTTCATAGTTGCAGGTACATTTGAAAAATGATTTATTATGAATTGTGAAACTGATGAGGTGAAACTGATGTTTAAATGGTATTGTTAATGCTCTTAAGAAACTTATCATTGGGTTTGGACTGCCTTTACTGGCAGGTAAATAATATAAATATGTAGTTAATTCAGAAATAGTTGATGAAGTTTGAGAATGTTTTTCTTTTCAGAAGTTATTACGAAGGCTTCTGAAGGAACCTTTAAAATTTTGTCAGAGAGGAGAAATACAGAAAAAAGCTACTGTTACTGCAAATCGGTATGTTAGCTGGTCTCTGCCAATGAAATGTCACTAGCAGCAGTATTCCTTGAGGTGATGGGAAAGGGACTCGTGGATCCAGTGTAGAGTATCTTGCTTGAAATCATCTGATCAACCCACCTCACCCCCCAAAAAGCCTTCTAAAACACCAACAACACTTTCTGTTCAGATGGTATCTTGTGCTTTGCCTGATCCGTTTGACTTGAAATGTTTAAATATTGTTTTACTGTAAACATTTTGAAAGAGATTAATGTATACATGTAACTCTATGTATTGTATATCTTGTAGATACTACGTATACAAGTGTTTACTTCCTGATATGTGTGGCATGTTTATATCACTTGCACTCATAGAACCTAAAAATAGATTGTTGGAGAGTGGCTATGAAATAATTGCTGTGAGTACCTTCTGAGTGAGTTCTGTGGGGGATAATCATTCTACATTTAGTTGCATACATTTTAGCTTGCATTCATGTTACAAATGGGGGAAAAATCAACTACTTCATTACTAAGATTTATGGTGCCTTATCTGCATTGTTAATTTGGGCTATGCTTTCTTTTTCCTTACAGCAAATTACATGCACTTTGTTCGAGGATTTTTTTTAAGAACAAATTTAATTTGAATCGAAATAAGACAACTTTGTGTTCTCTTTGGTGTATGGAAGTTTTATAATGATGAAGGATGTAAGAAAATACCATTGAAATCTCAATTACATATGAGTAGCACTTTTACAAAGACGTGGCATAAAACTGCTTTGCTTGGAGTTGTCTGACACCTTGTATCATCATATATAAGCTTTCTGTGTCAAAGGAAGTAGTCCTATTCCGTATGTAAATTATGTGAATAAATTATTTTCTTTTACCTCTGTTTCCTAAAGTATGAGTTGCTGTTTTTAAATACCTGTAAGTACAGAAAACTAACAAGGGTGAACTAAAGGAAAGGCTGAAGTTTGGGCTGCACCACTGGAGTGCACACAGGCCTGCTGATAACAGGTTGAGTGTGGTTTAACAGGGGCGTTGTCGTTGTTTTAGAACAGAGCTTAATTTACTTGGTATCAGAGTCCTTGGTGTTACCTCTCTCTAAAGACAAGGGCCTTGATTTAAAGTAAAACTGGAATGCTGAAGAATAGCAGTTTTCACGCAAGGGAGAAACTCGACCAAAGATCGTTTGGGTTTTAAAAAGATCTGTCCCTATTACTGTATGGCAAGTTTCTCAGAAGCGCAAGGACTTTCCTAAGCTGTACAAGTATATAGTCTTGCGTGAAAAAGACGTCCCAACACAATTCTTCCCAAGAGCGTGCTACAGCATTAACTTGTCCCGTGAACCGGGTGAGGCCTCCGCGGCCGGGCCCGGCCCCGTTGTGCCCATTGGCTGCGCCGGGGGGAGTGGCGGCAGCGGCCTGGGACGACCGCCTGGGCTCGGCTGCCTCAGCTCGGCTTGTTCGTGTCGGCCCGGCCCGGCCCGGCCCAGCCCAGCCCGGCCATGCTGCTGAGCACCCCGCGGCTGCGGGGCCGCTGCCTGGGGCTGCTGCGCCTGCTTCTCGCCCGCGGGTACCACGGCGAGGCGGTGGCGGCCGTGGGGTCGCGCCCCGACGCGGGTTCCGCGCTCTACCAGGTAGGGCAGCCGGGGCGGCAGAGCCCGGGCGGGCCGCGGGGCGGGCAGCGGCGGCGCCGCGGGGGAACCGGCGCCGCGGGGGCTGCGGGACGGGGCGAGCACGTGTCCCACCCTGCAGGGCAGCGCCGCGCCCCGGCCCCGCTCCGCCAGCGCCCGGGCCTATCTCTGTGGGCTGAGCCTACAGACACCGTGTGAACACTGCGTGCGTCGGTGCAGGCGTCTCCTCGTCGTGGATGTCGTTGTACCTTTAAATCAGGATGCCAGCTCTTGCTGCCTTTCAGGCTGATCGATACCGTGCTAATGAGGTGAAGGCGAGGTCTGTCAACAGTGGAAGATGGAGCCTGATGATTTCAAAGTTGGATGTTTCCTTGTGTTTGCAAATTTATTCCCGAGTTGAAAACAGGTGGAATAGCTGTACAGAGTCATGGGATTGCCTCCAAAAACATCGTCTTTCGAGGAGAGCTAGGTGTAATTCCAGTTGTCTTTACGAAGAGAGAGCAGTACTTCCATCTAGTATAAATAGATTTATTTTAAATTGGGCATTAATTAATTAATTAATTGGGCATCCTATTAAAAAATTGAGTTTACAGTTAGGTTAAGAAAAACATGGCTTTAGGTATGGATCAAGGCTGATATGAGGGCATGTGTTCCTTTTCATATTTTTTCACATAAAATATAAAGCAGTGCGTGACACAACGACATGTATTCTTACTGACATAGATCCTTTGGTTCTGTGCTTTGTTTAGCAGAAACTAAATTTGGGACAGAAATTAGGTGACTGAACCTCCTGTGTAATCTCGGTATTTGTCTGTATGTATATGTATACATATATGTGCATATATATGTATGTATGTATGTTTATATGTATACATACAAAGCTTTTGTATGTTAAGTGTGTATTTATATGTGTACACGTTCATATTTTGTGTACCAAAAAATGATAGTATTTTAATAAAGATGTTCACTCATCCAGTCTGTCCCCAGATTCACAGTTATGTCTGGGTACCTTTCAACCTCAGAAGAAAAGCAAGGCTTGGTAAAGTAGCTAATAGTGTTAGTATTTGGTAGAAATAATTTATGGAACACTGTAAGTGTAAGCACTGCTTTACAAACACAAAGAGCTGAGGTCTCTGCTGTGAGGCACTTAACCATCTGGAAAAGAAGTAATACACGGAATAACAGTGCAAACACAAGATGACATTATGATACATAATGAAGGTCTTGACTTCTTTGGCCAATGTCTACCTTTCTGGCTGTGAATTCAACTAGACAGGCTGGCCTTTATGATGCAAACTGTCTCTTGAACCAGATAGGAAAAAAGGTAATTTAAAAGTGAGTCTAACTTCTGGAAAATAAAAGAAAGGCTTTTTGAAGATTCCAGGGACTAGCTCTTACATCCCCTTTGGTGATGTAGCAGTAATTCTTGTAGCAAGTGCAGTAACTGCAGGGTTATTCTGTACATTTTGCATTAAAATTTGAAGAAATCCTCGAATTAACAGCAGATTTTTGCACAACTTGCTGGTGCACGGACCAGTTTCCAGAAAAAACCTGGTGCCAGTTCACTGACCTTTTTTTCAGTATTTAATGACAATAATGAAGAGCTCATAAATACATGGTAGAACTAGCACATTT